GGGTTGGAGCTAAATTCTGCAGGAAGCTCTCCAGGAACAGGGTTGGTGACTAGTGTATATATACTCGTATATTATGTTAAAACAAACTTTTATTTTAGATCCGATTTAATCTTTGCCCAGCACTAATAATTCGCTATTTTTATCTCCATGTCTCTTTGTGTTGTTTTTTTTCCTGCAAGTTGTTGGCTTGTTTAAATGAAGCGAGATCTCATTAATTGGCTGAGGTTTTGCCAGCATGCTCAGATCTCTCTCCAGTCTGTTCTTAGCCTCGGCTCTAATTTTATTTTGGTTCATATTATCCTTAAGGATCATTTACCTCAGTAACACACAGAAAAGAACTTGCAGTTAACAAAATATGCAATTCAGGAGTGTACGTTTCCTGTGACCTTTTCTCTTACACCCACTATTTTTTTTTCCAACTCCATCATTTTGCTTTCCTCTGAATATATAATGTAGACACTGTGTTCATGCTGATAAAATTTCCAGTTTGCTCTGCTCATAAAACACACATTACGTCCACCTAAATGCAGACCTCTTAGAATGCATCTCTGCCGCAGAGAATCGCTGTTAAGAAAGAACTTGTCATAATTCACTGGATGAGCTGGAATTAATTGGATATGCACCACTATCTTTCAGGCTGGAGTCTCTGCTTTTGAGAGGTGAAATATGTTTGTATTCTAGGCCTTGAGTTGCAGACAAAAACTGGTGCTCTTGGCAACATCACCCCCCCTCACCCCACCCAAACCCGCTCCACGGAAACAACAAAGCTCTTTTCTTTTCTGTCTGTAAGGACGCCCTTCATTCTACATTCCCAACTCACCCTGAATTCACCCTCATGGATCCCGTCTCTGTCTCAATTTTTCTCCCATTGCGTTGATGGTGTGTGAGAAGTCCTCCTGCTGTATTTCTGTCTGTCATTTTGTGGCTGTAGGTGTCCTGTACATGTGACCTTAGAACATGTTGCCTCTAGTGTAGTTCAGTGTTAAGATAAACTACCACAGAGAGAGCTATTCCAGGCCTTGACCGTCTGCCATAACCGGGGCTTTATGGAGTCCAACGGTGGTTCAATTTTTCTCACACATGGACCGTTTGCCTTTGAGGCTTTTTTTTTGTGTAACCTGCCTAGAATTTTAGAAAGCGAGAATATAAATAAAAAGACTATTAATATTAGTAAAGACAGGGTGTTTTGTTTTGACAGAGAGTGGCATGATTTATATGTTGTGCGTGTAGTGGGCTTCCTGGAATAAAAAAAATGCAGAAGTGATGAATCTTCTCCGTTTTGCTGTCTCATTCTTATGAAAGCAGTCAATGTGACAGAGTGCTGTAATGCAGTTTCCATTAAGCTTTGGCAATGCTGGAATTCTTTGTCCTTGTTTTAAGGCTTTTTTTCATCAGGAAATGCATCTATATCGATGACTACCTTATCGTTCTAAATCAAGACTTAAGTAAACCTTATATTAGATAACAGTTCATATTTATATTGAGCATGGAGACATTAAATGGATCAAAGTGATATGAAATATCTTGATAATACTACAGTTGTTTAAGATGCTTTTTTTATTTAACCTTAAAAAGTCTACATAGATAAAAAGCAGCATTACAGTCTTGATAATAACAAATGTTTCTTCACTTAAATGGATTCAGCTATATGTAAGAAATTATATGCAAGACTATCTTAATTGTCAGTGTGTGAATCACTTGCAAACAAAAAAGACCCTTCCTAATTTTCTAGGATTCTATAGAATAAAAAGTCTATAGATTGATTTTTATGTTCACTTGTGTTAATTTTTTTTTCATCGTATGCCAACAGGCTGACAGTGAAATGTAGAGCTTGTGCAAACATATCCATATTGCTATGATCGTGTATATATATATATATATACATACATACAGTTGAAGTCAGAATTATTAGCCCCCCTGAATGTTTAGACCGCTTGTTTATTTTTCCCCCAATTTCTGTTTAATGGAGAGCAAAGTTTTTCAGCACATTTCTAAACATAATAGTTTTAATAACAAATCTCTAATAACTGATGTATTTTATCTTTGATTATCTTTGATATTTAAAAAAGAAGAAAAATTTAAAGGGGGCTAATAATTTTGACTTCAACTGTATATATATATATATATATATATATATATATATATATATATATATATATATATATATATATATATATATATTCTCACCGCTGTTGTTTTTCTTGGGCAGTTATTATGCTATTGATAGTAAAGTGTGCAGCAAATCTTTTCATATTCTTCCAAAAATCTTTCTCAGTGGGATTGACTTCTGCAGTTTTAATTATTAGTTAATCACAGCAACAACACTTACTGGCCACTTTTTAGGTACAGCCTACTAGTCCTGGGTTGGACAACCTTTTGCGCTTAGAACTCTCGTAATCCTTCGTGGCAAAGATTCAACAAGGCATTGGAAATATTCCTTAGAGATTTTGCTATATATTGACACGATAGCATCACACAGTTGCTGCAGATTTGTCAGCTGCACATCTATGATGCGAATCACATGCCAAAGCTGCTCTATTGGATTGAGGTCTGGTGACTGTGGAGGTCATTTGAATACAGTGAACTCAATGTCATGTTCAAGAAACCAGTCTGAGATGATTCACGCTTTATGACATGACATGTTCTGCTACTGGAAGTGGCCATCAGATGATGAGGCGCATTGATGGTGCATTGCTATTTTGAGAAACTATAATAGACTGTTCTATAGACCAGAACAAAGCTGGCTTATTGTCCAGCGCAGAGCGCGTTAGTTGTGCGCCTTATTACACATTGCTTAATACAGACAAGATGTACAGCAATACGTAAATGACTTTACATATGAAAAAGAATTCAAATATTAAGTGTATATATATATATATATATATATATATATATATATATATATATATATAGGATATTTATTGGATATACATATAATGGTTTAAAATATTACAAAACATAATTTTCTAGCCTACATAAATATAAAAACCATACTTTAATGCCTTCTTCATCTCGGTGGGGGGCTTTTTCAGTTTATTTATTTAATGTGATTATTATTAGCAGTATTATTTATTATATGCATATTTATATTTGTTTTATTAAAAACAAGCTTAGATTTTGGAATGTTATGTCAATATTGTTATCGCAATATCATTCCTGTCAACATTAGGATGATACAGCATAGTAAGTACACAAGCTGATCTGTGAACAGTGTCTTTATATAGAGTGTACCCATCAGTAAGCACCGATACATGAATAGACTGATTCAGAGGTTGCTCAATGCATAGTTTTAATGAATATAAGGTGAATGCGGTCTTTTTATATTAATTTCAACGTGCTTTCTAGCCAAAACAAAGCAAAAGCGTTATTCTCTTAAACAACTCTTGCAATTACAACACATTTAAGATCGGATCTTTGATGCTACATTTACTTTTCATAGAAAGATTAAAAATACTGGAGAAATAAATTACTGGAAAATACTTAACGGGATAATAGAGGCATAAAATGGTAAAATACGGGAGAATCTCAGCAAAAATGAAAGGGTTGACCGGTATGTGCAATACTCGACAACAATTTTGCATATCGCATATTTTCCCAGTATTGTGCAGCCCTAGTTCACACTCTATGCAATGAAAAAAGAGCTTAGGCTGTGTCTGTATGTCTGTATGTGTGGGAGACAGCTAGAGAACAGAGAGAGAAAGAGAGGGAATCACTGGACAGATTGAGCTGAATCCTATCGCTTTGTGACTTAAAAGCGGCTGATGGGATTTTATCCTCTCGCATCAGTGTTTCATTGGCACCGTTAGCAGGATAGTGCTCTGATTACTGTCAGAGGCGAGATTGCTGCAGGTGACATGGCAGGGAAAAGTGAAGCTCTGAGCCACCTTAAGCGTTTCGTTTCAGTCACGTCCAGCACCTGATCCCCTTTTATAGAGTCATGACATCACTGTTTTTCCATATTTGTTTACTGGGCTTTCACAAAGGAGAGCCAAAACGGTGTGAGATGCATTCAACACATTATGTAAAGTCCACATTAAGGTTTTACCATATACAGTAGCTTTTTTAGTTCTTTTAGTTTTAGACCCACCACCACAAGAGGAGATGGTAATAATGTAATCACCCTGCAAAAGTTTGGGGCCGATAAGATACAAATTATATAATAACTATAAAAGCTTTTCTTTGAGCATGTTTTTGCTTAATATATAATAGTTTGACAGGAAGTAAAGTTGTAGAGAGAGAAAGGGAGAGGGGGAGGAAGGTTTGGGAAAGGTTTGCATTTGCAAGTTGGGACTTGAACTCAGGATGCTCGAAGCACAATAGTACTATATGGCGCACTGCCCATGAGGCTATAGGCGCCAACATGTTTATGGATTTCAATTAACCAAGGATGCTTTGAGTTAATCACAAATAATGGAAAACAATGTTTCTATTTCAAATAAGTGTTTTTCTTTTGCTTAAAGTATTATAGTTACCAAAAAAGAATTAGGCAGAACAATTTTTTAACATTAATAATAAGAAAAATGTTTCTTAAGCACCAAATCAAAGTTTTATAATAGCTCAGTTGAAGCATCATGTGACACTGAAGGCTGAAATATTGACTGCTGAAATTCACCTTTACCATCAGAAAAAAGTTACATTTTAAAATGTTGCCACAGAAAACAATACAATATTAAATTGTTTTAGTTATTTTAATATTTATATTATCTTATATTATTTTTTATCGCTTGTTTGCTGCATTTTGGGTCAAATAAATTTGTTCAAACTAGATTTCTTATGCAGACTTCTTATTCAGCAAATACCTTAGAACGGTCATGTATAATCATCTGTTGTAACCGAAAATGCATTGCTCAAGTGCAAGTCAGAAAGTTAAAGCTTAGACATCAGATTCTGATTTTAAGGCTCTGTTGTAATCCTTTTTTAACACAGGATTGCATCAAAACCTCTATAATTCAAAGTGACTTATTTCTAAGTTGAAATCGCTGTCTTTTTTTTTTCAATAGAAAACTGTGGACTGTATGACAACAATGTCAGTGCCCTCGACGCTGGTGAAATGCCTGTATTTGTTTTTTGACCTGCCCCACATGCCTGAGGTTCCTGCTGCCACCCAGACCGAGCTTCCTCTGGCGGATCGCAGGGCTCTTCTGCAGAAAGTCTTTGTCCAGGTCTGTCCATCTTTAGGAGCAGCACTTTCTCTACAAAATAGCCTTTAATTAGACACTTTGACACGAACTGCATCTTTTGTCTCTCAGATCCTGGTGAAGTTGTGCAGTTTCGTGTCTCCAGCAGAGGAACTGGCCCAGAAGGATGACCTCCAGCTGCTCTTTAGTGCCATCACCTCCTGGTGCCCCCCACACAATCTGCCCTGGAGGAAGAGCGCCGGAGAAGTGCTCACCACCATCTCCCGACATGGCCTCAGCGTCAATGTTGTCAAGTACATCCACGGTAAGTTGTGATGATGGGTGTTTGACTTTCTTTCCTGTGTTTGCTTGGATGCATAATTCTGTCATCTTATGAACCCTAGTAACATTTAACCTTATATAACAGACTGCCACTATTGTGCTGTTAGTGTTTTTAGAGGTCAGTGAACTTTGGTTGCAGACGCTCTTGCCATAGAGTTAAACATTTTAATTTTGTAGGTTATTTTGCATTTTTTACATTTTTTTTTTCCATTATATAATCTAATAGCTGTTGTTTCACAGATTTATTTTTTATTTTAATATTCCACAATTGCATTTACAGATAATTGATGCATATTGGTTTCGCATAAATCTCCTTTTCTTAAGGAGTTTTTGTATTTGAAAATGTGAATTTTTTTACATAGAGTTTTATTGATTATTTACAAATTTTCCCTGTACATATACAAATTTCTTTGCAGAACTAGTTGTTGTTTTTTTTTGGACAAAATTAAACTATTGATTTTTTTAGTCTGCGGTAGATTTACACCCAATCATATTAAATTTTTTTTAATTATTTTTTTATTAAATTAAATTAAATTAAATTTTTGTTTAATTTTATGGAATTTTATTGAATTTTTTATTCTATTTTAATTTATTAATCCTGTGGCATAACAACACGCTACGTGATGAGATTTGCAGTGATAAGCAATTGGACTGTTTGCACCAAATTAAACACAACAGAAATTTAAATACAGCCATTCAGAAGCACAGAATAGTGTACTCACAACACTCCAACAAAATGATATGGTTTATAATTTTATTAGTCCCTATTAAATCTTTTAAACATTATTAAATGTACATGCTGAATCACTGATATGTGTTGGCTTGCACTGAGTCACTGTTCTGACCAGACCATTTTCACATTTCCGGCTTTCTCAGTAGCAGAAGACGTGATAGTGGTGGAGAACTTAGAGCGCAGTGAATGAGAGAGTACAGCAAATGTTTTTTTTTTTACAATCTTATTTGCTAAAGTAATAAAATAAAAACTCTACGATGCTGTTAACAAGACTTCAGAAAAAGGAAATAAATGGTTTGAGACTGATGACTGCTACCAGAGGAGAGAGTAAAATCATATTCACTGTCTTGTCCTATATACACAGCGTTTGAAATACCTCACACAAGCGGTAATCCGTTTTTTGTCATTTGAAGCAAAGATGATATAACACATACATAAATGCATATATATGTTCATACGTTTAAAAAAAAAATTATATTAAAACTTTCAAGGAATTAAGATTATGATGACCGTTAAACGTCATAACAGGCTTTTGAAAAGGGTTCATTTTATTTTCAAGATCTGAGGTGAACTATCTGCTGCTGTTTTCAGTAGTATGGCAATAATTGTCATGTAAAATGACATTCAAACTCCCATTATTAGCATTTAACACTGAATATTATTGTCATTTTCAGTTTTCTATTTGAAAATGTTTTTTTTTTTTTTAAATGTCATTTTTACAAAAAATTTTATTTAATATTTACAGATGTTCCCTGTACATATAGGAATTCCTTTGCAGCACAATTTTTTTTGGGGAAAAAATTAAACTATAGATTTTTTAGTTTGCAGTAGATTTACATCCAATCATGATCAAAACCATTTTTCACATTACCCTTTTTATTAATTTAATTTAATTTAATTTAATTTTATTTTATTTTTGTAATTTAATTTAATTTAATTGTTTTTGTGGCATAATGTCTTAATATCTGAAATTCATTTATTGATCTGGTCTTTTATTTCTAAGAGCCTGCTCTGCTGTGATTGTTTAGATGGCTCAGTCTGTTGAGATCAGTCTGCTGCTTACATTGCATGTTGGAAGGGGGCCCATTATCATGTTTGAATTTCCGCTTTGTAGGACTCCACAGCATTGATTACCGTATTGAGTCCTCATCCTTTGGCAGCGCACGCAAAGTGGATTTTCTTTCACTCTGCAGAAAACAGTGTCTTTTTGACATGTCAACAACACAAACTAAACTCCTCCAGGCCCTTCAGCCACAACTACAGTGTTTGAGGCCAGGTCAAATGAGTAAAGTTGAAGTTACTTAATGACTAAGGGGTTAAGAATCTGTTTAGAATTTGTTTAAAACTCCGTTATTTGTGAACTTTGTCTTTGAAGCTTAGCATATATTTTTATTTTCATAACAACTGTTACAAGTTAAGGTTCTGTATTACCTGAAAAACCTAAATGAAGCACATTAAGAGTATACAATCTAAACTTTTTTTAAAAAAAAACATATGGCTTAAAGCGGTGGTTCGGCTGGTTTGGCTCTGGGACCCACATTTTCCCTGGTCAGTAAGCCTTGAGCCATTAAAAAATAATTATTATCATAAATTGAAAGATTATAACTAATACTGATAAATAAACATGAAATAGTTTTTAAAAGCTATAGTGTTTGTTTATACAATAAAATTAGTAAACTGGTATGAGCCACAACAGTTATTTCGCTCTTTAAGCCAATTTATAATGGCCTACCACTGAAACCTCTCGCCACTTTCTGCATTTCTACCTTTGAAAATGGACACTCAGGACTGCAGCATTCCAAAAATTTAATCTGAATTTGCCTTTTGGTGAACATGTTTTTTTTTTTTTTCAAACACAAATGTTTTGTTTTTCAAACTTAAAAAGCATCACAAAAACATTTCACGACCCATTCAAAATGCTTCTTCGACCCACCAGTTGGAAAACAGATTTAAGGGATAGTTCACCCAAAAATGAAAATTTACTATTTACTCAACGTCCAGTTGCTCCAAACTATATGAGTTTCTTTGTTCTGTTCAACACAAAGGAAGATATTCTAAATAAAAAACAGTGATTGACTTCTGAAGATCAATGGCTGTTTTTTCCCCAACGTTTTTCAGAATATCTTATTTTGTTTTTAACAGAACAAAGAATTTAAAAATATTTAGATAAACGGTAAATGAGGAAATTTTCATTTTTGGGTGAACAAACCCTTAAAGTGACCCTTGTAGATTTTACCTAAAATTTTATATTATGACTAAAATTCATAACCGACATGAAACAATTTTTGTTTTGGCAGAGAAAGAGTGCTTATCAACATGCATCCAGAACATGCAGCAGTCAGATGACCTTTCTCCTCTGGAGATTGTGGAGATGTTCGCTGGGCTCTCCTGTTTCCTGAAGGACTCGAGTGATGTCTCTCAGACACTGCTGGATGACTTCCGCATGTGTCAGGGCTACACCTTCCTCATAGATCTTATGATCAGGTGACTTATTTGTAATTGTTTATTGCATGTTTAAATGTTTAGTGTTTTATATTGTTTTGAGCTCTGGTTATCAGCGCGGCATTGTTCTGTTTTTATTTTAAAACATGGCTTTAACAAAACATGGCTTAACGGATAAAACTTTTATTTTGGAATTCATTGAGCACAACCATTCAAAAACTTGGGTTGGAAAGATGAAAAAATTACATCTTTTAATTTGATTAAAATACAGTAATCTTATTAAAGTTTATAATAATTGTAAGAATCAAGTGTCACATTATCCTTCAGAAATCATTCTATTAAGCTGATTCGGCAACATCTGCTAATGATTGTGTTTTGAAATCACTTGTGCTGAATAATCATTTTGTAAAAATCTAGACATTTATGGATTAATTGATAAATATCAACTTGTTTTTTATGTAATAGCTTCTAGCAAGATAATAAAGCAATCTCTTTCAATTACATTTCTTCTTTCTATTGTTTGGGATCAGTTAAAAAAATAAAGAAATGAATACTTTTATTCACAAGGACCGATTAGAGCTAGGGTGTCCAAACTCGGTCCTGGAGGGCTGGTGTTCTGAAGAGTTTAGCTCCAACCCTAATTACACACACCTGAAGCAGCTAATCAAGCTCTTACTAGAAAAACTAGAAACTTCCTGGCAGGTGTGTTGAAGCAAGTTGGAGCTAAACTCTGCAGGACCTCGGCCCTCCAGGAGAGAGTTTGTACACCCCATATATTCGAGGAATAGCTGAAAATTCAAAAATGCTAATTCGGTCATCATTTACCTACCCTTGACTTGTTTCAAACCAGTTTAAGTTTTTTTTTCTTCTCTTGAACACATAAGATATATTAAATAATATTGGAAACCTGTTATTATAGACTTATATATTTCCTTAATGCTTCCAACATTCTTCAAAATAACTTCTTTTTTGTTCAACACAATAGCAAAGCTCAAACAGGTTTGGAACAAGTCAAGGATGAGTAAATGATTTTTGGGTGAACTATCCTTTTACATTATGTAAAAAGATCACTTACCCCTAAATATTTGTCTTTTAAATGTGCTAATAAAAGTTTTTTTGCAATCCTGATACGATCGATTAGTGATATTCTCTGTTGTACTTGCTCTACTTCTTAGGTTGGAGCAGGCCAAAGAGGATGAATCCAAAGATGCTCTAAAGGACCTGGTGAACCTGGTGACCGCTCTGACCACATATGGTGTCAGTGAGCTGAAGCCAGCTGGACTTACCACCGGAGCACCCTTCCTGCTTCCAGGTTTTGTGGTTCCACAGCCTTCTGGGAAAGGTCAGCCCTCTATAAAATAGCATACACTGGAGTCTTGACTTGTGTCATTGCACAGCTGGGTGTGAAAGCTGGTGATGTGAAATTCCGGGTGTGTTGAACTTCAGCCAGGAAACACTAAGAAATCGAGGCATTCACAGGATTCAGATGGCAAGTTTGCAGTGTTAGGGCTTAAGTAGGGATTTAGTGTGCTTTTATGTTTGCGATTATTCTTTTTTTTTTTTTTTTCAATTGTTTTGCTTTTAGGACTTTTCGTAGTCAACATAAAATTTAAATAATGATTTAATCTCTTCTGGACAATTGGAAATTTTTGTACTGAAAATTTAGACTGATGTTCACCTCAGATGCGGATAAAGTGTCAAGTGTGAGTGATTTACATGTTAAGTCAATGTATAGATGTGATCAGACATCATGCGGCACTATTTGCGCAAATTAGGCGGCGCGAATGATGAGATGACATGGTGCGAATTGAGCATTTGACGTGCTTAATGCATGATTCCCGAACAAATCTACACTGTTTTTCAACCTTTATAAGCACACAAATTCTCCTATCTCAATAAAGTCCATGTCAGTCATTAGCAACGAAACCAGGCAGACAGACGCCCCTCCCATGACACGAATCCGCATCGTTTCAAGTTAATTTTTCCAAGTCAATCTGGCACGCGGATGAAGTGAGTAAATTCAAAATGTTCACACGTTTAATTTTATGCGAATAGCACGATTAATTCGCCCAAGCTGCGTCTTGTTTAAACGCCTTAAGATTCAACTGTATTTTTTTTTCCAAAATGATGGGAATGGTACCCAAAACCCTATTTAAAACTTTCAGGATGAATTAACCTAGCTGTAATCAATGGTTACCGAAACCGTTAGCTGAGATTAGCAGCATTCTTCCTCATTTTACATTTATTAACCTCCTCATCGCTGTCTGCCGCTGCCTCCCTTCATCAACTAGATTACTCTTTTAGTCACACTGGGAGAAGAAGGGCCTGCGGTTTCTGAGGGAGAATTAAAACATTAGCGTTCACTGGCTGTAAATGGCATTAATTGGTCAGGAGGAGGCAAACGGCAGACACCTACTGTGTAATCTGGTTAGGTTATTTGTTTGGCTTGTCTTATGCCTCGCCAAGAGCCATTAAATGCTGTAATTAAAATAATGGCACCAGATAATGTTGTTTATGCACCCAGTCACATCAAGACTTCCTCTTTTCCAACAAGCCAATCATAGAAACAGTTTGCCGTTTCGATTCTGGTGTGGCATTTTTATGCAACCAGCATTAATGCTTACTGCAGTGGGAGTTTTCTAAAGGTTGAACGCACAAGAATGTGTTTTTAAGGGTTGATGGACTGATCATGTGATGGCTGCGTGTTCTTGGTTAATAATCCATATGGTATGTTTTCTTGAGCATTAGTTAAACTGCATGATGACTCGATTGAAAAAAATAAACATCAGTAATGAATTCTGTGCTAAAAATTAAAAGCTTAGAAATGTTAGACAAGAATCAAGGATGTTTGCTGCAGGAGTCTTTTGAGGACTATTCAGCAGTGTTGTAAGCTAGAGAAATGCCCAAAGAGGTTTGAGTTCATGACAAGACAAAGCAAATCGCAGTCTTGGCCTTTTCCAAGAGCGTTTGAAAATTTTTTAGTAATAATAATAAATAAATAAATAAATATAGCAGCGTTGATCAGCTGATCGGTTTATGAGTAGGGATGGAAAAACTTAATATAAAACCAAATAATACAGCAAAAAATAATAATAAAAAACAAAACAACAGCCCATTTCTCTTTGGACTTAAAAATATGAGAATAAAACTTTTGTCTTTAGACATAAATGATAATTTTACACTAAAATTAATTACAACAATAAATTAACAAATAAATAAAAATAAGAATAAATAAAAAAACAGTATTTGTCTAATGTAAATCTTTTGTAAGTATTTCTCTTTTAAAAAGAACAAATGTAGTCAAAGGCTGCTGAACCTCTATTTTGAGGCACTTTTGATTATTTGTCATTTTCTTTTCGGCTTGGTCCCTTTATTAATTTGGGGTCGCCACAGCGGAATGAAGCACCAGCGCATCCAGCATATGTTTTATTCATCACTGGCAAACACCCATACACTCTTATTCACACATATGCAATACGGATAATTTAGCTTACCTAATTCACCTATATTTATAATTAACCACGCTATCCACGTTTCCTCTGAGTTTTGTTGACACTTTTTTCCTCCAAATTTGTAGTTCTAATTAAATTCACATTTAATGCGCAGTGTATTGTGGGCAATATTTGCTGATAGAGTACGGATGGTTGTACACTTCATATTTTCATTGGAAATAGTAGAGCATCCAGAACTTTTGGCATACTCTTGTCTAGGCATGGGGTATAAGATTCTGACGGTATGATAACTTTGGTTAAAAATATCACAGTGTTGTGATTACTGCTCTAAAATTTATTCTTTTTAAATGTCTGGTTAAAAAAACAACAACCTTTTCCCCCACTTTTTTCCTGATTTCTTTACAATTTAAAACGACACCTTTGTAGATCTTTTCTGCTGGAGATACTGTTGTCCTAAAAACAAAACAAAATGTAAATAAAATCTTTTAGTCACACCTTAGAAATGGGTTGGCAGATAATTTTGACGGTTTAAAACCTTGACTTTTCCAAACCGTGCTTTACCTTGAAAACGGTTATTGTCTCATGCCTACTCTTTTCAACATACTACGAGATTTGGGACACCCTAAATCTTTTTTTTGAATTATGTTTAGGATGGTTCCCAGTGATAGGTTGCAGCTGGAAGGGCATCCGCTGCGTAAAACATGTGTTGGATGAGTTGGCGGTTCATTCCGCTGTGGCGACCCAAGATTAAGAAAGGGGCTAAGCCGAAAAGAAAATAAATAAAAGTATGTATTTAGAAAGGATAGTATGCAATTGGGGATGCAGCATGTGTTTGTTAATTTATTTCTAGATTAACTGTCTATATATGTAAAACTTTACATGTTCTTGCATGATTGTTACAGAGATTTAACACAGATTATAGGCCATGATGACTGAGGTGTGACCCAGCTGTACAGTTAAACAGATAAATATGTGAGATTTAAGTTTGACCAAATATCTTTTGGACCATTTTGTAAAACTCTATCCGGTATGCCTTAATCATATCACAGATCCGGAATACAACCATCATAGTACCAATATTAGATTTACATTTAAAACAGCATTAAGAAACAATAGGAGCATGTTTTTTTAACCACCTTATTCATCAAATGAGACCATTAGAAATCACAAATTGTGACATGGCGTAGCAAAATTTAGTTATTACATGTACGTTAACTGGACAATGATGAAACCCATTTATTCATCTGATTGGTATAGGAGTATAAAATGTTATGATCATGCAGCAGTAAATAACGAATACAGCAAGATTAATCTACCTTTTTGGTAACAGTTAAAGCACATGCAATGCAGCTTTCTTAGCACCCTGCTGTGCTGATCAATGCACTATCAATGGTCAGATATTATTTAGGCAAGTTTTTAGTTAGGGTCTTCATACCATTGGTCTTTAAGTCAGAGACAAGAGGATCACAGGCTTGTCATAGACTTGATTCCATTCACGTCCATTCATATTTGTTATGTGCTTTTCAGATTTGTTTATTTTGCTAGCTTCCGTTGAGCTGTGTTAAGGCTATTGAAATCAACCCAAAGCATATAATAACCTATTTATTGCTTGTTTTTATTAACAGTTTAGTTCAATCCAGGATTATAATAATGCAGGATATTGGATATTGCAATATTTTTCTTTTTCTGCCATAACTATTGCGATATGAATACAGTATTGTTTTATTGTTATAACTTCAGAAGAAATTAGGTAGAATTAAGAGTTTTTCCTCAAAACAAGCTAAATTATCTACCAGTTGAATAAAATAATCTTTATTTTTGCTTTAAAATTTACAAATTTGGACTAAAAACAAGAAAAAATTCAAAATAGGAAAACTTTTTTTTTCCTTTTGCATAAATCGTATAAATGCTGTAAATACAGTTATTAAAGCAATTCTTTTACTTAATTTAATTTAATTTAATTCAATGTGACTATTGCAGATGCACACATTGCGATGCTTAAACAATATATTGTGTACTATAGTGAACTAGTCTGTCATCATTTACTCAACCTTTAACCAGTTTCAGATTTGTTGTTCTGTTTAATTATGCAATTCTAAATAAACTTTATATATTTTCATACAAAAAATGTATTTTAATCATACTGCTTAGAATGAACTCACAATCATTCAAACCCTAACCTTATTAAAACAAATGCTGTATGTTGATTTCAATTGCAGTAAGCAGCCATGTAAACAGCTTAATTGCTTCATTACTGCTCTGACCAAAGTATTCAACAAGCAGTTCAGCAACATTGCAATGTTTATCACAGCACCGGTGTTTGACCATGTTATCTTTGCATAGGCTACACACTGTATTGTGTGTTAAGCTCTTAATTGCAATAACAAATTGGCAAAAATGCCTTGATTGGTGACTCAACTCTGTTTTTGTAGTCTCACAATTGATTCAGCCTCAAATAAGCTTTTTGCTTATTTATTTGCTAATGATTTAATTGACCTACAGTGAAAAAGTAAGTTCATGTTAAATTGTAGTTATTATTAAGACATTTTTCACTATTTGGCCAATTATATTATTCTTCTGGTCAACATTATTATCCCCTTCAGGAAATACAGGTATCTTTTGTTGATTTTTCTACAGAAAAAAAAACAAATTTTGTCCAATCACCTGCCTAATCAACCTAACTCACTTAGTTAACCTGATTAATTCATTTGCTTTTCGGCTTAGTCCCTTCAATAATCCGGGGTCGCCACCGTGGAATGAACCGCAAACTTATCCTGCATATGTTTTACGCAGCGTTTTATGCATGTTTTTTCCAGCTGCAACCCATCACTGGGAAAAACCCATACACACTCTTTCACACACATACACTATGGACAATTGAAATTACCCAATTTACCTGTAGCGCATGTCTTTGGACTGTGGGAGAAACCAGAGCACCCAGAGGAAACCAACGCAAACACAAGGAGAACATGCAAACTCCACACAGAAACGCCAACTAACCCAGCCGAGGTTTGAACCAGCAACCTTCATGCTGTGAGGTGATCGTGCTACCCACTGCGCCACTGTGATGCCTCCTGATTAATCTAGTAGGCTGAATAGTAGTATATAGGTAGTATATAGCAAGATGGCTAATAAAATATTATGTACAGCCTTCATGACAAAGACAAAATCAATTATTTATTAGAAATTATTCAATAACACTTGAATATTTTAAAAGATGTTGAAACAAATCTTCTCTTCATTGTCTCTTCTCTTCATATTTTGCCCTTAACTGACCTCCTGTTAGCATTTTTTGCTAATGGAAATATACTCCGATTAAGAGGAAATGAAAACGTTTTTATGTTACCAGCTCAACAAGAGTTCACAAAGGTCACTGGAGTTTTCAGGCTTTCATTATGACCATGGTCACAATATGGTGTAATGTTCAGCCAAAAACAAGCATACATCATTAACTCACTCTGCCATGTTGTTTTACCCGGTCATCTTCTGTGAAAACACAATAGCAGTCATTTTAAATAAATAATTAGTTGTTGTTTTTTTTTTGTTTTAAATGTTTACAGATGAGTTTGATTTGTCTCTTTTTTAGGTCACACTGTCAGGAACATCCAGGCTTTTTCTGTGCTTCAGAATGCTTTCCTGAAGGCCAAGAGCGGTCGATTAGCACGTATGATCCTTGAAGCCATTGCCAACATCTATGCCGCCGACTATGCCAACTACTTCATCTTAGAGGCCCAGCACACACTCTCACAGTTCGCGGAGCGGGTAACAAAGCTGCCAGAGGTGCAGTCCAAGTACTTTGAGCTGCTGGAGTTTGTCGTCTTCGGACTTAATTATGTACCATGCAAAGAGCTTTTTAGCGTTAGCGTGCTATTAAAGTCGAGCACCTCTTACGGATGCAGCATCACAGCCACCCGCACTCTTCTCAAGCTTGGACGTCACCACCCTGTCTTCAGTGATGTCTTCCGTGAAGTTGGACTGCTGGAAGTGCTTGTAAATCTGCTCCACAAATATGCAGCGCTGTTGAAAGACCCCACGCAAACCCATAGCGATCAGGGTAAGACTTTTGTAAATTAAGTACTATTTATATATAATACTATAGTGTTCATTAATGTATTTATTGTATTATAACAATGTTATTATTAATGAAAAAACATAGTATACACATAACATTTGCCTAGAATGTTTACATTCACAAAAAAACAAATACATAAAAAATAATAATAGATAAATTATAATAATATAAAAGAGAATAGATTGCATTCATTTGATTTATCCTGCATTAATTTTCTATATAAATGGGCTTCATGATTTTTAGTTGGCAGATCATGTTTAATAATGTTTTTCTATATTTGTTGGAAATCTTTACATTTTTTCCCATTGTTTATGCTTTGTGATATAGTGTTGCATTTGTATATATCTAAAGAATTCATTCGTTTTCAGTGTAAATCTGTAAGATAATTGAGAAAAGGGTATTGAGGCCTCCCCATCAAAAAATTTAGTAATTATCTTGAAACTGCTGAAGACACAAATCCATTATAGATGGAAATAATTCTGGGAATAAATCTTTAATGGGTATTGCACGTGATGAGGCTATTGTTCCTTTGAATGCTTATTATTCAGTTTTTACAGGATCATTTATTTATTTATTTTGTATTATTACACATTAAAAAAATATGTATTTGTATTTTACTTGATAATTTCATTATAAGTTTTTATATTTTTAATGTTAGTTTTTTATTAGTGTTATCTATATACTCTTATAGTGCTTATTAAAATAGTTATTATGTTAAAATAATAATATAACAATGTTATTATTACTCATATAATAAGTATTTTTTTATTTTATTACTTATGATTATGATGATGATAATGATACTTATTATTATTATAATAATAATTATTATTATTATTATTTTATGCTTTTCTATTTCGCTTGATAATTCATTGTTTATTTTTGTTTTGTTTTTTTTTTTTGATAAAAATGTTTGACTAAAAGCACTTACTGTCTGCTCTCCGTCCCTCTGATCAGGTGATTCCAAAAACAATGTGGCTGAAGAACAAAAACAGCTTGCCTGGCTTGTCATGGAGACTCTCACAGTCCTATTGCAAGGCTCAAACACTAATGCAGGTGCGTGTGTGCATGACAACATTTACATGGTTTCTTCTTTTTCTTCTTTTTTTTTCTTTCTAAAACAACTTTATTGTGGTAGGAGATTTTAGAGAAAGACAGAAAATATTTGAAGATGAGTGCAGAGAACTAGACTCAAAAAGCACTATTCCACCACATGTCGGAGATTCACCCATAAGGCAGAAAGTTCTGACTTCTGCTGAGTTTTGAAAGAGGAAATGACAGGCAGGCTTGGATTTAGACTGACACCGTAGATTTGGTCTCTTCTGCTTTATTCTTAACTTGAGTCACAAACAATCTCTAGCACAGAATTGGAAAGTCTGTGATTTACAGAGTTCCGTTTGCAACACAACATCTTTGTTAAAATGATACTTTTGGTATTGCTTAAGTGCAACTAAATGTGAGTATCTGTAAGAAGCATGTTTTATTGAACTGTTCTGCTCTTAATGTTTGTAGAAGGCTTTTAGAAGGTGACATGAACTCACTAATAAAAGAGTCAGTAAAGTTTTACCAGTAAAAAAATTCACATTTTTATCATATACTATTGTAAATGATCTGATGCAAATTACTTGCTTGTTAGTTTGAATAGTTTTTATTAGGGGCCAAGCACCAAAGGTGAGTAGGCACCTATTGTATCTGTTCTGGTTCTAATTATTGTTCTTCCGGCTTCTTCTTTTTCTTCCGCTCTGGGAGTCTATGGCAGCCCTATGAACCGTTTGTGGCATTTGACCAAACTTTGGTACACTGATAGAGGGCAGTCTAATCTTTAACCACAACAAATTTGGACTCTCTAACACAAATTCTCTAGTGCCACCACTTGTCCAAATTTTTACCTATGTTTATCTTTATAAATTTTGAACCCATTGGGCTAAAATAACTTTTTTTCCCCTCTGTTTCCTTGACTCAAGCCGATTCAAACGCACCCTATGACGTCTTTTTCCGTCAAGAAAATTTTTTCGCCATTTTGAATTTTTTGCAAAACCTGTTTGATCGAACTTGTCCTAGGCCGTTTGTCCGATTTTCACCAAAATTGAATCACAAAATCTACAGATCACGCTGACCAAAAGTTGTTGAATTCAAGTTGATTAGATGAACGGTTTTCTATTATCTTGCGAACATATTTTACATAAAGCTTGTGAAAATTGACTTAAAGTGTTATCTCCATAACACATTGACACATTCACCCCATATCTTGGTGTGTGATATCACAACCATGGTTTGAAGTTAGCTGCTGCGTTTTGGCACACTGACCCCTATAGGTCTGGAGATACAAATAAATGGCTTATTTGCTTATAAATTCTCAACCCTTTTTCTAAAATTCATTAAATGTACATCCAGCGGAGCATGGCGATTCGAATGATGTCTGATTTTCCCAGGTCAGACATTTTGGCCATCTGCCATTTTGAATTGTCAAAAAATTGCTGTATGTTACAGATGCTTTGGCAAACTGTTATGAAAGTCAGTATGTGTCTTTGGGACTGTGCCTTGAAGATGCTCAGAAAGCACCTTTTGGTCAAACGTTATAATGATATTTCTAAAAATGCCAATAACGTTTTTTAAATTTTGCCTTTTGTTATGAAACTTGTCTTGATACATTCCTTGGGATGTCCTGATAATATTGAAACCAATTATGCCTTAATTGAGCTTCCTGTCCGCCATCTAGCCTAGAGTCAAAAACCTACTTTTTTAACTCCGCCTACATTGTTTGGCTGATTTGCTTGTTGTCACTGAATTTGACTCATCATCTTCAGACCATGACAAAAAGTTATTGAACTCTTGTCGATAGGTAACAGTTTTTGTTTACAGCATCGACAAATGTGATAGCATGATGCTTGTCTGTCTGTCTGTCTGTCTGTCTGTCTATCAATCAATCTATCTGTCTGTCTGTCTGTCTGTCTGTGTCTGTCTGTCCTTTAGTGATATCACCACTGTAAATTATTGCTACTTTCTGCTCAGGTGATAGTGGTTTTAGGAGGAGTTGCATTCTCTTTCTGGGCAGCCTTTGTTCGAATGTGTGCGGTGCAGGATGAGTCATCAGATTATTTTCATCATTTTGTTGTAATAAAAGGCTTATCGTAGCAGAACACTTAGCGTAAACAGTAGATGGTCTCAAACATAAATGTGTTTTTATAGTGTGCTTTCATAGGGTCTTACACAGAAATAAAGGATCAACAAATACGACATTGCTTTGTTTTAAAACAGTACAGCACACCCCTAAGGCTTTCATTATAATTACATTATCGTTGTCCAAGTTTGCCTTTTGTTTCCAAGCACTCAGGGACGAGGAAGAATTCATTTCCATGCTCTCAGACCCCGCAGTTGTCTCAGTCTCAGTGCTGAGTCAGGTCTCTGCTAGAGAAACTCTCTGGACTTCAGCTCTCTAATCATTTCTCCTTTCTGTCATGACTGCTGATAGTCTCACAGATGCGCTCGTACTTCATTAATTGTCAGCCAATCAGAATGGCTTTGCTGCAGAAATTGAGTCATTTAAAATGCTTTGCTTCCTTTGAGGTGATCAGTCATTCCTAAATCTCATTATTACCAGCTCTTGATTGTTCTAATGTTTACATAAACAGAACATTAAACTTGTTGCCGAGCTGTAATGTTGAACATTAAACTGAACATTGCTTATTTGACATGGAGATGAGTTAATAATACAGATATGTCAATCTCTCAGGGTTGTTCCGGGAGTTTGGGGGAGCGCGGTGTGTGCACAACATTGTGAAGTATCGTCAGTGTCGTGAGCACGCTCTGATGATCATCCAGCAGCTGGTCTTGTCGCCGTCTGGAGATGATGACATGGGCACTCTGCTCGGCCTCATGCACTCCGCTCCAACAGCAGAACTACAGCTCAAAACTGACATCCTGCGGGTGAGGCACATTAACAAATCTGCCATGCTTTATTTAAATAGATGGGAAATAGAAGCAGAATTCACTACATTTTTTTCCATATTTGCATGAATACATTGGCCTTCTAAAATTTGAGGTTTGGAAGTGTTTACTTTTGTTTTATTTTATTTTTTATCATTTCAAAGTTTTATCATTACAAATGTTTGTATTATCGGTTTAATGCATCCTTGCTGAATAAAATAATTTGATTCTATATATAGCTATATATAACTGACAGTTATATAAAAAATTTAACCTATAAATTCATAAAATAAAAATTTGTGTTAATTTACTCTCCCCTCAGGCCATTCAAGATGTAGGTGTTTTTTTCAATAGACATTGGTTTTGGAGATTCACAAAATGCCAGCTTACCAGCAATTTGACAGATAAATAAATATATAATTTTAAAACATTTACAGGCAAAACCACATTAATACCTATGGCTCCTGAAGATACAATAAAGTCTTGATGGTCAGAATATCCAGGAAACTGAAAATTGTTTACAGCATAATTACCTATAATTCATAGCCATAGATACATGGGCTGTGTACGAAAGCTTTAAAAGGTAGGAAGGCATCAGCGCACGTCCAAATTTAAATTCTGTTTCGTTTTTGCCTCAAGAGGTCCCCACTTTTGATCAAACTCCAAAAGGCTGAATAGATTTACTCTTTGCTGCCTTCAATATCTCAAAACCCTGTGCATCCCATTTGTGACAGCTGAACTAAAAAATTGAAACATTAAACATCTCGAAGTGCTGTTTAGCTGTCATTTTGTATATGTGTGTTTTTCTGACCAAAGTATTCTGCTTTTGATGCCATCTCTAGCAAGTAACAAATAAAGTAAGTAAATATCCCAAAGTAAATATATATATATATATATATATATATATATATATATATATCACTCTGAATGCAATATGATAATCAATATAATGCTGTATGATCTTATAATCATTCAGAGTTGGGGAAGACCAGTTTATAAAATTTATGTCTTATACATAAAAGAAATCCATATTTCTCATCGTTATTGGTTGCTTTGATATAGGTGTTTTTGACTGAAATTTGACAGGAGCTGTTGACTTGTGTTTAATGAATGGTTAAAAATCTGGTTATACTTAAGAAGAATCTATTTAAAGCATTTTGAGCTAAATTTTTGAATGGGCAGTTAACTTTCATTCTTATTATTTAAAGAATTGCACTTGACATTTTGTGTTGTTTGTCATTAGGCTCTGCTGGCGGTGCTGCGTGAAAGCCACCGTACTCGCACCGTCTTCCGCAAAGTGGGTGGTTTTGTTTATGTGACCTCTCTGCTGCTGGCCATGGAGCGCTCTCTCTGCTCTCCACCCGTCATCGGCTGGGAGAAGGTCAACCAGAACAAAGTCTTTGAACTCCTACACACCATATTCTGCACTCTAACAGCTGCCATGCGTTACGAACCTGCAAACTCGCACTTCTTTCGCACTGAGATCCAGTATGAGAAGCTGGCCGACGCAGTGCGACTTTTGGGATGCTTTTCTGACGCTAAGAAAGTTGGTCCGGCGACCGTCTTCCCGTCAAACGCCCAACCATTCCAGCGGTTACTGGAGGATGAGATCATACCTGCTGAAAACGTGTGTCCCACACTCAAGCACTGCAGCAAGCTCTTCATCTACATGTACAAGATGGCCACCGACTCATTTGACAGGTGTGCATAAACCTCTTTTCTTAAAGGATAAAAAGGGTGATACTTGTTTTGGTGGATTATCAAAAAATGGCTGAAAAAAGTAATCTATTATTTCATTCTATGAAAGTTTAGTTTTTATGAGAAATGCTTGAAATAACTTCAGACAGGATGAGTGTTTTGAGTGTCCCAAAAAAGTAGCATGAATTTAACATGTCCGTAATTTTTTTTTGAATAGAGATAAAGTTTAATAATAAAAAATAACGGTTTTATAAAACAGTGGGCTACTTCATGTGGTATTTAAAATATTCAAACTGATTAACATATTGACCGTATTCTAAAATGTGGAAGTGCGCCTGTTTTCGCGATTGTTTTAGAACTTCCGATTCTGTCGCCCATGGGAGAAATGACTAGGAATAATAAACAGCAGAAAACGGTCAAACTACCTGCTCTACAAACAATTGTTTGCATGACTAAATAGACCAAGTAGAATAATATAATAAGAAAATATTAGTTTGCAATTTAAGTCTCAAAGGAAACCCATTTTATCTTATTCAAATAGTGTTTTGTAACTTTACTAGTTGAGTAGTGTGCAAAACAATTACTCAACTATTTTCTATCTGACAAGATGCAAATGTCCTCACATGCTATCTGAATGTGTCTGTGCTTTAAGCTTGTGTTCGTGGTAGATTTGCATGATCTGTAGTTCCTCTAAGCTGTATATTCAACAAGAACTAACTGCCTCCCTCTGTTGCTCTTTGTCATTTCTCTGTCTCTGGTAACCTCTGGCATTGCCTGGCTGCACACGCGGGGTATGTGTGTGTGTGTGTGTGTGTGTGTTTGTTTGGATGTGTGTTTAAATGGTTGTAGTCGTGCCGAGCAGGTGCCCCCCTGCTTGACTCACGAGACCTCGCTGCCCTCCCCTTGGGGCACGCCAGCAATCACCAGGAAGAGGTACTGCTTTCTGCCACCTCTTCCTTTTTCTCCCTCTGTCTTTTCCTTCTTATTTTCTTTTTCTGTTCTCTGCTTGTTGAGTGATCAGACTTTTGTCCTCCCAGTCTGTTTCCTTTTCCTTCTTTTATTCTCCTTTTTTTCTACTAACAACTTAAATGCTTAGGTTGTGTTATAGTGTTTTTCTCTTCACTTTTTTAAATATATAACTTTACAACTCCCCTAGATGTAAACATTTGTTTTATCATTTTTTAATCCATTCAGATTTAGGCTGAACAACAATATACTGTTTGAGCATCGATATCGCAGTGTGTGTGTCTGCAATAGTCACATTTCAGGATTAGATAATTTATTAAATATTATTAATTTTTTTTTTATTATGTATGCAATGACAGTGTTGCGCTAGTTACTGAAAATAGTAACTAGTTATAGTTACTAGTTACTTCGTTCAAAAAGTAACTCAATTACTTTATCGATTACTTACAGTAAAAAGTAATGTGTTACTGTTAAAAGTAATTTTTAAGTTAATTAATGCTCCTATTAATATTAATATTATATTAATATTAATATTATATTAATATTAATATTATATTAATATTATATTAATATTAATATATCCTATAAGTTCTTATAAGTTGTAATATAACATCATAATATGTTAACTTAAGAAGTGATAAGTGATATGACTTGTTAATGTAAATCAGATATTTTTCCTAACAAGCCTTGACAAGCATCAGGCCATTTAGTGGATGTTTTTATATTTGCAGCAGTTACTTTGCCAAGCTCTAAATATCATTAGTTCAAAATCTTGCTCCTCAAAGCTGTACATTAATTGTAAAATATGTTCTGATTGGCTGATGCTGTGCAAAGCCATATTTATTTTCTCTGTTTTGACAGACAAGTTGCTTGTCGTAGGAAACGCACTGTCACATTTGATCAGGACTGTGTTATTCATCTGCTTCTCACACTGATCAGAGTAAAAGTTTCCTCTGCTTGATCATTTCTCTGACCATGTTTTCATCTTTCTTTGCATCTCATCTGCCATGTTGAGCTACTTTGTACCTGTAAACCTTTGCGGTTGCAAAATTTCTTTCTTTGGTTGTGCTGACAGCATTTACTCAGTCTTTTTAGCTTTTTAAGCTCTGTGTGTCAGGTTTTGATTCATAATTAATATTATTTCAAGGGTGATGTTCTTAAAATTACACTTCACTGTAAGCTGTCTAAGCTTTGTACTTAAATCTGGATAAAACTGCCAGGCCAAGATGTAAAACTGTATAAGTGAATTACACTTTTACACTGACAGTAAGCAAAGAGACTAAGAAGAGCAATTAAGCGATGTTTTTCTACCCAGTAGGCATGGCTATAGCAGCTCATCCAACTCTGCTTCTGGTAAAGCCCTAACGGACCTAAAACTGCACTTGGGGAATTCGTCCCAGCATTCCTCAGACCCTGTAGTCATCCACCCTGGAGCAGTGCTGGCAATGCTCGACCTCCTACCCTCCGTTTCTTCTGACACACAGCCTGAGGTATGAGCCACTCACAGACGACAGACTCTACTGTAAAAACTATAGAGAGCTGACACCATGTTTGATGCCCACACAATTGAAAAACCGAAGTTTCCATTCTGACAATCAGCTACAGTTTGTAGTGTGCAATAATTTGTGTATTTAAATTGTGAGATTGTGTCTGTATGTACGAGATTTAGATTGTGTCACTTATTAGTATAATTAAATTGGTCAAAAGTAACATTAAAGGCAGTTCTAACATTAAAAAACTACTTGTTTTAAAAAAATTCTGCCTTTTGATCGGTTAAAGTTTCCAAAAGGTGTTTGGAAAGTGACCGTTTCTTAAGTATTAAATAAGCACAATTTAGTGATTTTTGAGGAAGCATATGATACTGAAAACTGATGCAGTTTTTTTTAAGAGTAAGATCATGTCTTCAGTTTGAAGATCTCATCTTCTTAGCATGATATTCATTTTCACCTCCAGTCAGTTGTCAGTTGAGTGAAAGATTTCATGAGATTGAAAGTGTCTTTTGGGGATTTTGTGTGAAACTAAAGGAGGTTCCCATTAAGGAATTCTGACAGGATTTTTGTCATCTCTGCCAGTAAGTGGTAAATGGTGAGTTACATACTTACAATGAAAGAATGTGAGGCAACATATTGGTATGTTGTTTGTTTATTTATTTTGGCACTTTTTAATTAGCTAGTTTTGCATTTCATGGTCATTAAACTTCATGGTCATGCTGAGGAAAAAAATTAATTTGAATACGACCAAGAGCTTTATTTTATGATTCAGAATCAAACCTTTATGAAATTGAGGTTTTTCGGGTTACTATATTTTCCAGAAAAACGTTCTGTTGATCAACTGTAAGTGACACTGGTTGCATTGATTTATGTCACAGTTAATGATTTATGAGTAGCCATATAGAAATAGTTTATTTGATTTGTGAGCAATAGATCAATAAAATATAGCATGAGAAACAGAGTCGTTTTTAACGTTTATATACATTTTTACTTGGTAAATTAGCGAAGGGATGTGTGAAATGTGCTCACAAATTTGTGCCAGCACATTTTGCTGGCTTAATGTAAATTACATTATACTCTTATATTGTTAAAAGTTTTGAGACATCTTCCTTTACAGGCACATGGACTTTAATGACATACCAGTCTTTAATATGTAGTTAGCTCTCTCTTTGCAGCTGTTACTGCTTCAACTCTACAGGGAGGGCTTTCCACAAGGTTTAGGAGTGTGTTTACAGGAATGTTTGACTGTTCTTCTACAACTGTGCTCAGGCACTAATGTTGGATGTGAAGGTCTGGCTTGCAGGCTCTATTATAATTAATCCAGAGGTGTACAGTTGGGTTAAGGTCAGTATTCTGTGCAGGCCAGTCAAATTCCCCCACAACAAGCTCACTTATCCAATCATGTTGGAGCAGGAAAGGGACATGCCAAAACTAATTAGGAGCATGAAATTGTTCAAAATGTTTTGAAATGTTATGTAAATGACAATGTCATTGTAAGAGTTACTGTACTTCACCCATTACATTGGGCTTCTATGTCTGTTCTTGAGCTAATCTGAGGTCACATAAGGTTTGGAGGTCTGTAGCTATTAACTCTACAGAATGTTGTTGAATTCTGTTTACTGTGCACCCCAGAATCTGCTGACCCCGCTCTGTGAATGTACATGACCTGAGTTGTTGTGGTTCTCAGTTGCTTTAATTTTGTTATAATGCCATTAATAGTTGATGGTGGAAAATTTAGTAGTGAGGAAATTTCATGAATGGACTTATTGCACAGGTGGCAACCTATCACAGTACCATGCTTCAATTCACTGAACTTCTGAGAGCAACCTATTCCTTCACAAATGTTTAAAGCCCCTGCAGGTCTAGGTGCTTGATTTCATGCACCTATGGTCATGGAAGTGACTGGATAACCTGAGTTGAATGGTGTAAAAAAAAAAACTTGTGGCAATATAAAGTCTATACACTAAACCTAAACTAATCTTTAACTCTGAAATCTGGACTTTAGGGTAACTATATTAAGCTGCTTTGACACAGTCTACATTGTGAAAAGCGCTATACAAATAAACATGATTTATTTAATTTTAAACTATTTAAGTGTTTAAACTATTAAAAGTATTTAAGATAATTTTTTTATTTTAAACTGTTAAAAATGTATATTTAGGGAAAATAATGGATGGATAATTTTAAGAGATATTTTTTTTTATATGATACTGAATACAACTGCATAGCCCACAGTGACTGTTTGATTTTGTTGTCTTTTAACTAGCCTGATAACTTACCTGCCGTGTGGCATGCTGTGCTAGGCTTGTTCCACTAAGTTTTACATTTCAGTGTTTTAAGTATCAACCTGTGTGTTCACTTAACCTTTGCTCTTCTCCTCAGCATGCTCTGGACCTGCAGCTGGCGGTTGCTAACATCCTGCAGCTGCTGGTGCATTCAGAGAGGAACCAGCAGATCCTGTGTGAAGCGGGTCTGCATTCTCGCTTGCTGCAGCGCTGTAGCTGCGCTTTAGGAGATGAAGATCATCCACTCCACCCTCCACTGCAGAGGATGTTTGAGAGACTGGCATCTCAGGCTCTGGAGCCAATGGTGCTCAGGTGAGAACAGTTTTATTATGGTAATCATTTCTTTAAAGGACACTGGAAAGCATATATATATATATATATATATATATTTATAGTATGTGTGTGTGTGTGTGTGTGTGTATGTATATGTATATATATATATATATATATATATATATATATATATATATATATATATATATATATATATATATATATATATATAAACTATAATGTGGGTGTGCATTTTTAGGCGTGCAAACTTGTCACTTTACCGTGTAATTCGCCATTTTCATCTTGAAATATGTAAATCAAGCAGATTGGTAACTAATTGTGTTTGGGGGGTCTAATCGTAAAGGCTGCAATATGAATGTGATATGAATAAAACATTTTTTTACTCTGTCCGAGAGCACATACATGGCTGTCCTCTTTGCGTGACAGACTTACTAACCAATAGAGTGAGCACATATTTATTCTCTCCAATCAACAGCCCTCAAACCAACCACGGGTAACGCCCACCATAAACAAACATTAGAGATCAGGGGAGAAAACATGATGAGGCACAAGAGTTTGAACCAATAATTGAGTTTAGACAAGGAGTGTAAGGACTTTAGTTTAAAATAAGTTGCCGCTGATACATTAACACTCATCTGCTCTTGAACAGACTTAGTGAGTTGGCCTACACAAGATTGCGGATGTGCAGCAGATTTGATGCTTCATAAACTCCATCATAAGCAGGTCAGGATGCTCATGCAGACATGTCAACTAAAAACCAAGCCTAAAAGCACTTGATTCCCTGCCAATTATAAGAGAGCTCTGTGTTTTACATGTAACGGTAAACCGAGAAAGCACTGGAGTCTCACACACACATACACCGATGCGCTTCATGCAAATCATGTTCTTGTTTTAACATCAATGTTTTTAACAAAAACAAAAAAAAATGTTACAATTTAAGAAGTGTGCTTCACAAAGGTGAGTGGGCTTGACAAACCACTTGTAGAAACACCTTTTTCTCTCTTGAAAATACCCACTTCCCCCTCCTTAAAGCCTCATTCACGTTACGAGCGACTCACAACGGCAAATCGACAAGCCATTTTAACGGCGAGTGAGAGACTTCTGGCGACCTCCATCCACGCGAGCAACATTGACAGTGGAGTGTCGATCGATGCGACTAGGTTGAGGATCCTTCAACTTTATGCAAATCAAGAGCGACTTTTTTGAGCGACAGCCAATAGACTGATTACACTCGACCGCCATTTTTTAAAGCAAATTCGAGTCTGTAGTGGGAAGAAACCCGGAAGTATCGTTGGAAGTTACATAAGAACGATGTGTACTTGGCTGTATATCTTATCAGCGAAGAGAAAATGACAACAAATTTATAATTTCAAACTTGAGTTAATGAACTGATTCTTTCACTATATTAGACTTGTTACGATACTGAATTAATAGAAAAACTGTCAATTTCCCGGTAACATTTAAGGCACTGTTAGTGGCTTTCTTAAAACAGTGCTGATTTGCCATTGTGTTCACGTGCTCAACAGAAATTACTGTGATTAGCTGAGAAGGTCATAAGTTCACCCTCCGCTGTTTACCGAGTACAAACACAGACGAGCGATCTGCTTGATGACTCGACTGATCTTCACGACTGCTTCGCGCTCCAGTGTTCGTGTATCTGTGTTTGCACTGGGTGAAGAGCGGTAAACTGATTATCACTGTTGAACACCATGGTAAATCAGCAAAGTTTTTAATCGCGTTTAGCGGTGCTCAAATGTTAGCTGGAAATTAACGTTTTTAAAACTTCAGTACCGGGAAAACACTTTTACAGACAACACGAGGGTGTGCTACAGAGGACTGCATTGTTTTATCACTCACAGGGTTACATAGGCTAAAGCAGGAAAGCGTCCCCATGGTGTTTACCTCATGCCATGAAATGAAGCCTAGGAGGACACTTGAGCATATTACTCTTACAGAGATTGTCATGTTGTTTGATGCTGAATTGTTTTTAATTGTTTAAATTAATATTACTGTTTGATATTAAAGTGTTTACACCATTTTTGCATTTTGAAATCTCTGCCACAGATGGAGGTTTGTAGTCCACAGCATGTTACTGCAATGGTTACAGTGCTGGTCCTACACTTCTGGGTTTCTTCCCACCGCAGCCTCGCTTTGGTTCTTTAAAATGGCGGCCGCGTGAAATAACCATTAGAGCTCATGTGATCCTCTCTCAGCTCGCTCAGAGGCGGGCTGTATTCTCTTTGCTGTAGACCTACACAGACCTGTGTTTGCCACTCAAGAGCAACAGGCAGCTACAAAGTCGCTGCTAGTGTGAATGAGGCATTACTCTTGCACTTTGTTCACAGATCTTTAGTATAATTAACACTGCTTATGTGTATTGCTTTTTGTTGTTAAATTGCTGAATGCCTTCTGAATGAAAACATCTGCTAAATGACTAAATGTAAATCATGTCAGTTAAACACAGACAGCAGGATTATTCAGAAGCCTGACAGGTTATCAGTAGTAGCGATTAGTACCAATGATGTGTCAAGCTTCACAAATTTTTATAAGAAAACGAAATGTAGAAAATGTTTGTCTTTTGACCCCCCCACACACAAACAAATACTGTAAGTGTAAACTAGGCCAAGGCAAGTTTATTTATATAGCACATTTCATACACAGTGGCAAATCAAAGTGCTTTACATAGACAGGAATAAAAGAGACAAGTATAAGAAACTAAAAAACAAATAATAAAAATGATTAAAAATAGATTAAAATGTGTTAAAATGCGAATGAAAAAGTAAAGAAAGACATAATAGTATGATCTGTCAGACGTAGCACAGTGCTCATTCAGTGAAGGCACAGCTAAACAGATGTGTTTTCAGTCTCGATTTGAATGTGCCTAATGTTGGAGCACATATGATCATTTCTGGAAGCTGATTGCAGCAGTGAGGGGTGTAGTAGCTAAAAGTGGATTCACCTTGCTTTGATTGAACTCTTGGAATTTCTAGTTCATTTGATACTAAAGATCTGAGTGATCTGTTAGGTTTGCATGCAGTGAGCATATGTGTAATGCATTGAGGTCCTAGACCATTTAGTGATTTATAGCCAAGTAATAGTACTTTAAAATCTTTTCTGAATGTAACTGAGCCAGTGTAAAGACCTGAGGACAAGTGTGATGTGCTCTGGTTTCCTGGTTTTAGTCAGCTCTGTGTCTAGTTTGTCACTTTTTCACCCCTGACAAGTTTGCACCCCTGATTATTATATTAATATTTCAGCTGCCTAAAGTTTAGTAAATGTGTAAGTTTATCTGCTTCAAGAAAAAGTGACATTACTACCTTTATACTAAGCATTCCCGTTTAAGCTTTTCAATTGCAAAGCTTTTTTGTTTCTGTAAAGTTGCAGGGCTGCAATGACAACTATGTACAGTGCATGTGCGTATTCTATTTGTGAGCATTTCCATGGGAGAAAGAGCAGATGAATGTGTTTTTCATTGCCAAACATAAACAATGTTTTTGGTTCGGTCAGTCTTTGTGGGTTTTGGTTGTGTAATGAATTGGGTTTTTGTTGGCTGTAACGTCCAATGAAATAATCTATATCAGTGATGCCCAAACTAGCGCCATCCCATCTGAGAAGAGAAAGGGAATGGGTCCCACTTTATATTAAGTGGCCTTAACTAATATGTACTTACACAGGAATTAATCGTTTGTTACAATGTACTTATTGTGTAAATACATGTATTTACCTCGTACTTATGCTTGATTAAATACATGTATGTAATTACATCTGTAATTAACTTTTGTAATTATATTTGTAAATACACTATTGGCCATCCCTTACACCTTAACCCACCCTTAAACCTACCCATACCACCAAACCTGTCCATAACCCAACCTCTGTCCCAACTCAAAAGCACCACAAGTGTTCTCAAATACATTATAAACACAGTAAGTACATTGTACTTATTTTTTTGAGGTAAGTACATAGTAGTTAAGTACACTTTATATTAAGTGGGACCGGGGAATGGTGGGGATGATTTTGAGATTGTCAGTTTAAATTTAATGTAACCCTTTATTTGTTGTATTGTTAAAATCTAACTAAATATTTTAATCAAATGGTGTAAATGAATCAGATTTTGTTTAAATGTACATGCCTGATCACCTGACAATGCAGAGACTTTGGTGAGCAAATCAAGTCACGGCTGATTCTGCTTGACTAGTGTATTCAGCATTGAACTTTACTGTGCTAAAAATGTGATTGTTTCTTTTTATTGCAATAAGTGATCATTTTAAAAGTTATACTGCTTTAGTTAATAATATTTAAAGTAATGTTTTCTGTTTATTTTAAAATATTAAGGAAATTACCTACGGCAAATTTAATGTAATATAATTTGGTATATTCACTTTTGGGCCACAGCTCTGAATGATATTTGTTTTTTGGCCCTTCATATGAAAAAATTTGGGCACCCATGACCTATATTACATAATACACAGTATGATTTATAAAATATAGTATACAGCTGTACAATGAGCTCAGTCAGCCTCTGTGATATTTATTTAGCTTATTCATATTCATGAGTGATATCTTAATGGAACATATTTCTGCCCCCAAACCTTTTATTGATTGGCCTTCCATATGTGAGCTTCTTTAAAATGATTTTTGTTGACAAAAAAGCCAGATGAGTCGGTTAAAACCTTTTTTTTCTAGGGATCGTGAGTGATTGAGTCTTTTTTGATTCAATCTTATCCCAGCTGCATGTTTGCATAAAAGGAAAATGATCAAATTTGCCACATCTCAATATTATTCAAAGCTCTCCATGGGTCGTCTCCAAGTCAAGCGGATTAGCGATTTCAATTTTCCGCATGACTGGTGTTGCGTGATAGAGGATGCAGATTCACTTCACTACAAAATAAATAAAGAAATACATACCAAAAACAATTCACTTCATCTCATTTAAGGAATCAAACACCGCATGTGTTCTGGACTAAATATCATGCGGCTGTTAGAAAAATCAGCTAAGGAAAAATCCATCCACAAGAAGAAGATGATGTTATGTTTATGTTATGTTTGTTATTTTTATATTATGTTAAGCTATGCTTTTCAATGCTATGTTATACTATGTATGTTATGCTTTTAGTTTTGCTTTTGTTATGTTATGTTTTATGTTTTGTTTTGTTTAGCTATTGTATACTATGTATATTAAAATGTATACTATGTGTTTTGCTATGTTATGTTTTTTTTGTTTTTGCCGTGTCTATATACAGTATTATACATGTTATGAATGTTATATATGTATACATGTGTGTATGTTATATACTGTGTTTATACTATGTTATGCTTTGGTTTTGTTTTGCTATGCTATGTTTTAAAATGTCATGTTTAGCTGTTTTGTTTTTTTTGTATTTGTTATGTTATGTTTTTTTAAATGTTTTTTATGTTTTGTTTTGTTATGCTATTCTAGGTTAGGTTAGGTTATGTTTGGTTGGGTAAGGTAAGGTGATGTTAGGTTATGTTAGGTTATGTTATGCTATGCTATGTTATCTTGTTTTTTGTTTTGCTATGTTTTGTTTTGCTATGTTAAGTTATGTTATGTTACCTTTTGGGTTTTGTTTTGCTATGCCATGCTATGTTTTGCTATGTTAGGTTATGTTATCTCTTGGCTTTTGTTTTGCTATGCTATGCTATGTTATGTTATGATATTTTGTTATGTTATGTTATGTTATGTTATGTTAGGTTAGGTTAGGTTAGGTTAGGTTAGGTTAGGTTAGGTTCTGTTAGGTTATTCTATGTTATGATAAGTTAGGTTAGGTTGTGTTGTGTTGTGTTAGGGTATGTAAGGTTATGCTATGTTATGTTACGTAAATTTTAGTTTTTTGTTTTGCCATGTTATGTTTTACTATGCTATGTTATTTTAGGTTATGCTATGTTTTTTGTTTTGTATTAGTTAAATTGTTTTTTCTATGTTTTGTTTTACTATGCTATGTTATGCTATGCTATGCTATGTTATGTTAGGTTGTGTTGTGTTGGGTTATGCTATGTTATTTTATGTTATTTGTTGTTTTTTGTTTTGCTATTTTATGTTTTACTATGCTATGCTATGTTTTGCTATGCTATGTTATGCTATGTTATGTTATGTCTTGTTTTTTGCTATGTTATGTTTTACTATGCGATGCTAGGTTAGGGTTTGTGTTTTGCTATGTTATGTTTTGCTATGCTATGTTAGGTTAGGGTTTGTGTTTTGCTATGTTATGTTTTGCTATGCTTTGCTAGGTTTTACTTTGTTATGTTTTGGCTTTTGTTTTTTCTCTGCTATGTTTTACTTTGTTATGTTTTGATTTTGGTTTTTGTTTTGTTATGTTTTGCTATATTTTGTTAGGCTATGATATGTTTTGCTTTATTTTGTTATGCTGTGTTATGTTTTGCTGTGTCATGTTTTGCTATGTCTGTGTTTTAATTTTTTTTTTATTTTCATTTGTTACGTCATATTTTTTATTTTCTTTCGCTATGCCACTCTATGCTATGCTATGTTAATTTAGATATTTGTCAAATGAGGTGTTTAGTTAAATTAATTATAACATTGCAACTCAAATTGAATTCGGTAAAAAGAAGTGAGTTGAAGTGGGTGCTAACCACTATTGGCACAGACATATTTTTATTATTTATAATCAATAATAATATTATTAATGCAATGTTTTTTTATGCATTTTTTCAGGGAATTTTTACGACTAGGAAATCCTCTGAACTGCGGTGCCTGGGACAAAAAGCTCCTGAAGCAGTACCGGGTCCACAAGCCGAGCTCCCTCAGCTACGAAGCCGAAATGCGAAGTAAGGAGTAAAATGCATAAAGACCGCTCAAACTGTCAGTATGCTTTTGTGGCATCTCGAAAACAGTTTGTGTCAGTGCTCTGTGCTCTTGTCTGTGTATTTTCTCTGTGGGCCAGTGAAAGGAGGGACATTTACTTCAGGCTTCACTGACTGTGGTCTTTGGTGAAATGCCATCAATCACCATCAGAATCAAACAAAACATTCTCCTCTCGCTCTCCTCGGCTCTGCCAGCAGCGAGACGTTCAATTGAAGCAGGTTTTTGCAGGAGATGAGTTCCCAGCTTCCCTAATTACCAGTGAAATTACTTTTCTCCAAGCTCTCACCATGTCCAGCGAGTCCTTTTTGAACTCGCTAATTTAAAGGTTTCCTGCTTGCTTTGTAGAAAGCCTCCATGGATTCGTTCAGTCTGCCCAGGGTCCAGTGCAAGCGGCTATTTTTGTTGCTTATATCCACAGCAGATTATCTCAGATTGAGGTTATTTAACAGAGAACTCCAATTTAAACAGAATAAAAGGGAAAGGGAAAGTTTCTTACTGCTTTTACAGTGTCAGATTTATAACGTTGAACATCCAAGCATTTATTTTGCACTGTTTGTACACTAACAGAAGGCGAAGGAAAAATGGCATATTATTCTATTTATGGGATAAAAAAAATGTCTTGATATTTAGTTGCTCAGACTGAATAATTTCATTTAACTTTTTCTTAATTTATTTTGAATGTATGTCCTGTAAAACTAGAATCTACAGTAATTAAGGACTATTCGTAAACCTAAAAAAAATCCTGTTAAATTTATGTGATTGCTTTTAAAATCTTATTAAAATTTGGGACGTTACATTTCATTGAAAGAGTTTTAAACTATTTTAATGTTTTCTAGTACTAATTACTTTTTATTTATTTTTAAACCCATTTTAATACATACAGTTAAAAGCTAAATTATAAGCCCTCTTGTTAAACAAATTAATTTTAAAAATATTTCCCAAGTGATGTTTAAGCAAGAACATTTTCAAGTATTTGCTAGAATATTTAAGATTCTTATTTCTTTTAGTTTGGCATAAATATTTATTTATTTTTGGTCAGTGTTATTGGCTAATAATAAAAAATTATAACAGACTGTTCATTGACTTGCCTAATTAACTTAACTTGACTTGCCTAGTTAAACTATTTAAGCCAGGGGTCTCAAACTCAATTTACCTGGGGGCCGCAGGAGGCAAAGTCTGGGTGAGGCTGGGCCGCGTAAGGGATTTCACAAAAAAAAAGTCCTCAAATGTCATTATTAACAGTTTTAATTATTTCTTCTGAACATGAAGTGTCCTGAACATTAATAGAACATTGAGTGAAGATTATGAACAGTTCTTCTGAACATGGCATCTTTTGCCTACTTCTTGCTGCCAGAGACTTGACAGCGCTTCTTCTCACAAATCTGAACCACATTTGGCTTTAGAGCGGAAGCAGTTGAGACCCTCAGTATGGCTTGAAGATGATCATTATTAAGTCTAGACCTGTACTTTGACTTATTGAAGTCCTAGGGAAAAAAGTGGGGGAACTCACTCAAAACTTCCATTCCCTCACCTAAAAAAAGGCGTATATATGTATAAAAAAAAAAACACCCCCACCCCACTCCAGTCACATCAGTCTGTACCAGTCTGTATCTACCTATAATATCAATATATATAAGATGCAGGGCAGGCACGTGCACACATAGGGCTCAACCTGTGCAGTGCACATGCCCTTTTTAGTCTTGCATAGAAAGTGCCCTTTCAAAATGATCAAAAGTGCCCCCGTGACGCGACACACCCTCGGTCCCGCCCTTCAGTAGGCGCGCGATAACACAGCTGATCAGAACGTGCGCGACAAGCGCGCTGTGTACGGATAGAATCAGCGGAGCGGGGAGCGCTCTCTCTCCCCGCTCCGCTGATTCTGTCAGAGTACAGCGGTCGGCGCGGGCCACAAAATATTGCACTGAGGGCCGCAAATGGCCCGCGGGCTGCGAGTTTGAGACCCCTGATTTAAGCCTTCAACTTGTACTTAAAGCTGAATACTAGTATCTTGCAAAATAACTAGTACAGTATTACATATGTACCGTCATCATGGCAAAGACAAAATAAATTTGTTATTAAAACTATTATGTTTTAAAATGTGTTACAGCACTTAGGCAGTATTTGAAAAATTATTTCAATTTCACAGAAGAACTAATAATTATTTCTTGGGCTGCACAGTGGCGCAGTGGGTAGCATGTTCGCCTCACAGCAAGAAGGTCACTTGTTCGAGCCTCGGCTTGGTCAGCTGGCATTTCTGTGAGGAGTTTGCATGTTCTCCCTGTGTTCGCGTGGATTTCCTGTGGGTGCTCCGGTTTCCCCCACAAGTCTAAAAAGTTTAAGAAGTGAATTTGACTGACCCTGTCTACTTTATATCTTGTTATTTTAGATATTAAAAACATGAATTGGGTAGGCTAAATTGTCCGTAGTGTATGTGTGTGAATGAGTGTGTATGAATGTTTCCCAGTGATGGGTTAATATGTGTTGCCTTCTTAACAACTAAAGGAAAATGCAAGCGTAATAATAGCAGTGAGGAAACAGTAGTTAAGAAAACATCTATCACAGATTTATTACAAGATAAAAAAAGTCTCAATAGTTTAAGAAGTGAATTTGACTGACCCTATCTACTGTATATCTTGTTATTTAGACTCAAAAAAACATGTGGTACAGGTGAATTGGGTAGGCTAAATTGTCCGTAGTGTATGTGTGTAAATGAGTGTGTATGAATGTTTCCCAGTGATGGGTTGCAGCTGGAAGGGCATCCGCTGCGTGAAACATATGCTAGATAAGTTGGCAGTTCATTCCACTGTGGCTACCCCAGATTTATAAAGGGACTAAGCCAAAAAGAAAATCAATGAATGATAACAATCTCTTAAAATGTTTTTTAAAATATCAAATTAAACTAACAAAAATAATTAAATGATAAAAACTACTGACATCACTTTAAATATTCACAGTGCATCATGATGCTGAAACAGACTGCAATATTCAATGTCCAACTAAACACTGATGTGGTGGCAGTAGAACAGAGCAAAATGGAAATGCTTAAATGAATATGTTTATTTTTTATGTATAATCATCAATGGTGTTTTTGGTAAATTAAACGTTTTTTGTTATGGATTATGTTAAGATTCTGATTGTAAAATTTGTTTGCATTTGGATATCTTTACCCTATATAAGCCGATGAAATACATGCTAAGCTAACTAGGGTCAAGTTAATGGGTAACAAGCAAGTAAAACAGCCGATAGGTTTTGCTGACAAGACTAATTTAAAGATCTTGTGCTGTTTGCAGCACTTTTCTCCGTTTGGTATTTGCAGATCATGTACTGTCAAACCGATGAAGGTGGTTTTATCTATTTTTTGTAATAAATTTATCAATGACTCCCTGATAACGAACATTCAGATGCCATCCACACTGCTGAGAGTGACATTTAAATTAAAATGTTAATATGTGTTGCCTTCTTAACAACTGAAAGAATCATGCAAGCGAAATAATAGCAGTAAGGAAGCAGTAGTTAAGAAGTCAACTGTCACAGATTTATTACAAGATAGATAAAGTCTCAATAGTTTAGAAAGTGAATTTGACCCTATCTACTGTATATCTTGTTATTTGAGACTCAAATGAAACTCTTTGCTGACACATTGACAGTAAACCGTAGAGAACATCTTTTTGTACATTACCTGAACATTGTATAAGCATTTTTCCATGCTTTCGTAAATGATCGGGAAGCTCACAGAAGCTTGGCTTAAGCATTACATCCTATTGATTGTCGTTTACATTAAAATAATCAGTCTTTCATAGACATCCTAGAAAGTCTAGTATTTATTAGTGGAATATTAAGTGAGCCAACCTGAATGTACTTTTTGACCTTGTGCTCCTCCAGACAGCATGACCCTGTCCATGGAGGGTTTTGGCCCGGATAGCGTCTTCACAATTAATGAGGACAACAGCCAGTACCGGATCAGCCGAAGTCTGGTGCGCTCAGCCGAGGGCAGCACTGTGCCTCTCACCCGAGTCAAGTGCCTGGTCTCCATGACGACGCCCCATGACATCCGTCTCCACGGGTCCTCCGTCACACCCGCCTTCGTGGAGCTTGACACGTCATTAGAGGGATTCGGGTGAGTCTTTGAAACATGTCTATTTCAGCTCAGTCACTGTTTGTGAGCAAACATCCGTTAAGGCATCAGTGATTTATTGATTTATTGTTTAGCAGACGTATGAGTCAATCAAAAATGTATTTGGCGGTGTGCTTTTAAAAGCTTGACCTAGTTTTAAAGCTGACAGAAAAACAGAGAGCTGAAATGCGCTTACATCTCCGAACTTATCACAGTTCAAAGCGCAACAAAGAATCCACACTGAGCCTCCATCTGCTTCTGTTTAACATAATCCCATCAGGGCACACGCTAAATTGAAAATAACAGATCTTTAATATTTCATCTTTTTCATTAATTATGAAGGCACAGCGATCATCATTTGTCTTCTTTCCAAATTATTAGCTGCCTTTTTGCGAGATTTATGTGTCGGAAGTTGGTCAGCGGTTGTGTTTTTGCACACACATTTTATGAGACCCAGTAAGATTTGTTTTGCACAGGCTGAATTTTGACCGTTTTGATGTAAACCATTGTAAAGCTTCCCTTAAATACCACACATCTTTAAAACTGTACAGACATAACAAATGATGTATCTTTTATATGTCTTATCCAGAATCCTCCCGTGTCTTTAAATATTTTCTCCTACATCTGAATAGAACATGCAGCTTAGAATAATTGAAGATGTAAAAAACGCCTGTACTGGCCCACATTTCATCTTGCGAATGCTGAGCAGTCGCGCTCACACACACACACACACACTCACACACACACACACACACACACTTATACACAGCGCGCTCCCCATCTGCCTTCATGAAAAATTCATGTAAACACGTTCTGTATTGGCCCATGCAGACCAGCTTAATGGTGCCGCCACAGCTGGGCTTAGGGCTTTTTGGGTTATGAGGGAGTCCTTAAAGGGAGGACATTAATGCCCCTCTATGCCCCTTTTTAGATGGATGGATGGATGGGTGGGTGGATAGATTGATGGATGGATGGATTGATAGATGAATGGACGGATGGATGGATAAATGGACGGATGTATGGTCGGATGTTTAGACGGATGGATTGATGGGTGGCTGGATAGATGAATAGACAGACAGACAGACAGACAGGCAGATAAAGATGGATGGATGGATGGATTGATGGGTGGGTGGATGTATAGATGGATAGACAGACAGATAAAGATGGATGGATAGATGGACAGATGGATGGATGGACGGACGGATGGATAGATAGATAGATAGATAGATAGATAGATAGATAGATAGATAGATAGATAGATAGATAGATAGATAGATAGATAGATAGATAGATAGATAGATAGGTGGATGGGTGGATATGTAGATAGATAGATGGACGGACGGACGGATGGATGGATGGGTGAATATGTAGATGGATGGATGAATGGATGGATGGACAATAGATGGATTGATGGGTGGATGGACAGACAGATAAAGATGGACGGACGGACGGATAGATGGATGGATGAATAAATAAATAGATGGATGGGTGGATATCTAGATAGATGCATGGATGAGCGGACGGATGGATGGACAGACGGATAGATAGATAGATGGATGGGTGGATATCTAGATAGATGCATGGATAGACGGACGGATGGATAAGTGGATGGATGGTTGGATGGTTGGATGGTTGGATGGATGGATGGATGGATGGATGAATGGATGGACGGAAGGACGGACGGGTGGATATGTAGATGGATATTTTGGATAGATAGATGGATGGACGGATGGATGGATGGACAGATGGATTGATGGGTGGATAGATAGACAAACAGGCAGACAGACAGACAGATAAAGATGGATAAATGGATGGATGGATTGATAGATAAGAAATGTTCATGGACCAATGAGATGACCGAACTGAAATGGTATATAGTATAAATAATTAAGTGAAGTTAAATTATATATAATTTATTACACAGTTTCATTTATATTTAATAATGTATTATTTAATTGTAAAATATGAAAACAATTTTAATATATATTTTAATTTATTTTTTAAGTTATTTGACTTTACCTTCTTACTGAATCATTTTCCAAATACACAAATATTCTCAATGGAAAGTTTTTCAGATGTAGCTCACTTAGTTTCAAAAAACCTAATTTGTCCCTAAATTGAACCCTTCTTCACACACTTCCATGACTGTTGGGAGTGTTAATGTTTAACAGTTTTGGGGTGGATGCTTGTTTGTGTGTGTGTGTGTGATGTGGGCTGTTTTTTATGCCACAGCTTTTTCAATATTAAAATGACATAAGGAGCTTCCTTTGTTTGGGTTAATTAGCCTCCACAGAGACTTGTTTAGCTGTTTTGAGTGACACTGAATGTATGTGCGTTTGTGTGTGTGTGTTTTCAATGAATGACAGAATGTTTAAAGAAGTAGGGACTGACAGGAATCTTGCATTGGTTTGCAGCCACTTTAATGATCTGCTTCAGAACATTTAGTAATATTTTCTCGTGTCTGAATGGGTTTTATCAGTGAATGTTTGTAATGTTTTGTTAAGGGTGTAATTCATTGGTGTTATGGAGAGCGCGCTCTGTCAGTGTTACATAAAGCACGACACCCACAAATAAACATCCACATCTCCTCTTTAAGCCGCCCATGTGAAATGTTTTCCACAATTTTATGACACCAGGAGACGGGAATAAAATGTGCAAAATGTCTGACATGCTGCCGCGGGATTCCTGATTCATTTAATTTTTTTATCATTTCTCTACAGCTGTTTGTTTTTGCCCAGTTTGGCCCCTCACAATGCACCGTCCAGCAATGCCAACACATCTGGAGTGAGTGACGGGGCTGTGGTCAGCGGCATGGGAAATGGTATGTGCTTACAAACACACACACTTCCCCCCTATCCCCTGTGGTTTACACAATAGCAGCCAGCAGCTCCCACTCTTTGTAAATCTTTTAGTAGAATAAAACCCAATCTTTTATTAGAAAATCTGGAGGTAATTTTGGAGTGTGCTGCAGGTAATGCATCTATTAGGAAAATGATAATGTACAGCGAGAAGCTCATTAGCACACAGTGAACCTCATCTTGGTGATTACAATCCCAGAAGCAGAGTAATGATCAGCTTTTGTATATTAACTCACTTAATAGACAGAAACGTACTAATGTGTCATGGTCCTCTATTTCAGTTGATATCATTTTATCTCAGATCGTTGGTGTTATTGAATTGAAAGGGGCCTCCTATCTTAAATTGAAAAACAGTCTGTTTAATTAGCCATTTTATTAGTCAGTTTAAATATTACTCATTTTTAACTTTAGTGCAATATGAATATACAACAATACAATAACAATAACAAATGGATCTTAAACAAGCGTCTGACAAAAAAATAATCTGCATCATTGGTAATGTGAATGTATATTTCATTTGCATAAAACTGAAAGGAGTACCATTCATCATTTAACTGAAGTGTGTGCATGTGTTATAGACGCTTTCTGTGCAATACTAAAGAATGTCAAAGCAGCCATAGAAGTGTACTGAAGTCAAATTTCCAATGACAAGTAGGACTACTTTAAATATTTCATGTTACACTCAACTAGAGGTATAGAGGAAATTGGCCTCAGGGTGTCGGTAGAGAGAGAGAGAGAAAAAAAGTGAGAAATGCACTAAAATCCTTCAAACCATGAATGATTAGTCCTAACGATGCCCCTGAATTCAGTCCCACATTTATGGAATAATAATGATTGCCTTTCATCCTGCTCTTTATATGTTTTTCTTGTTCTTCCAAAAGTATTTCCATTTCTGCATTAAAGGGTAAGCTGCACACCCTGATGAGACGTAGGCTCAATTTGTTTTTACAGTTTATTTATTTGCCACACAAAAGTGTTCTATATGATTGTATTTGAATCACTGAAGCCACATAAAATGTTTTGGTTCCTTTTCTGGACTTTGAACATCTAGGGATCATTGCACTCTCTGGAGGCTCTCAAATTTAATTAAAATAAAATTACATTTTCTTCCAAAGATGAACAAAGGTTTCAGGGGATTAGAACAATGTGGGTTTAACTAATTAATGTGTTCATATTACTTTTTGGGTGAACCAACCATTTAACTGGTTCGCTTCACATATACTCAAAAGTGTACACACACTAGGCTATCTAAATTATCCACAAGAGCATCTGACCCCCCAAATCCCTGTTATTTTTCTTTTTTGCTGTTATATTTTACTCACAGTTACATAAGAAAATTGTATTACAATGTTGATTGCAATGTATTTTGTCCTATATTGAACTACTGCCATATTTTATTTTATTTTATTTTTTTGCTTTATTAGGTTCATCTTGGGTTGGACAGAAAATAACACTGTAAATAGATTGTATAGATTTAATAACACTGTATAGATTTATAAAACATGCCATAAAAATCATGCACTGATACAATTCACCAAACAAGAAATTATCAGGAAAACATAATTATACACTAAGTACGTATATAAATAATAAGGTCAGATATTGCATATATACATAAAAAATACACACAAGATAACATAAAAAATAATAAAACAAACAATAGGAAAGAAAAGAAAAAAAGAAAAAAATATATACAAAGAAAAAAAAACTATTGATATAGGTGCCTTCTTAAAAAAATGTAGAAAATGGCTCCACAATTTCTGGAGCTGTTCTGGCTTTTATTTTATTGCGAACCAAATTTTTTTCATTTTAAGTGCATGAAAAAATCAAAAACCCATTGCAATAAGAAGGAGGGGAACTGCTGACTTCCAATTCATAAGAATAAGTCATCTAGCCAGTAAAGTTGCAAAGGCTACACTCCCAGCCTGTGATGAATTTAATTCAACATATTCTGGCAGGATTTCAAACAGTAAGGGGTTTGGGTCTATTGATCTCCAAAAATCAGCCAATTTCTAACAAAACCAGAAAGGATGTAACAGTGTGGCTGGTTCGGTTGTACAGCGAAGGCAAGTTGGGTCAAGATAAAATATTTTATCCAGTTTAGTTCTAGACCAGTCTGTTTGACTAATGTCTTGGTTGGAAGATGTGGGATAGAGCACGGTTCTAATGGGCTCATGTGCGGAACGCATGTAGTGTAAGTTCAAAGTTTACCTGAGTGTAATGCCGAGTTCAGACTGCATGATTTTCAAAGTAGTCGTGTCACAGATGTGTTCACACTGCATGACTATCTGGGCTAGCGTTTCGTCGCTGCTTTGTTTACACTGCAAGATGGATCGGGGACAGGGGCTTTCAGATTGCATGACTTTACTATAGGAAGAATCGCCGACAACTTCGTCCAAACTACGTTCTCATAACTACATAATGAGAAAGAAGCCTTTAATGGGGTAGAACATGTACATGTTTGCTCACCTGGGTTTAAAGGGAATTAGCCATTTCTCCTCAACGTTGAAAATAAACTAATTTTTTTCTGTATGAACCGTCAAACAGACACGGTTGCTCCTGAGTCCTGTCAAACCTCCACTAGTTTTTCCTCCATTTCGTGAGTCCAAATAAACCGAAAAAGAGCACTTTTAACTTCTCCCTCAGCCTCCCGCTGGCCTGCAGCAGCTATACACACACACACACACACACACAAGTGAAAGCTGCTCTCTCATTGGCTGTAGGCGATCGCTGATGTTATTTTCAGTCAAAACTCAATTCACACGGCATGATTTGAATCGCCGACAGCTCCAGATTTTCAGCACGCCAAATATCTCGCAGGCATCGGCGACTCATCGGCGATTCTCTCAGATTGCGTCTTTGATCGTTCATACTGTGTGATTGTCACTCACGTGCACGAGCAGCAATTTGCCTGTGATTTCAGGCATTTGTCGGCGATTTCTCAAAACCTGTCGGCGAGCCAAAATCGGGGCTAAAATCACGCAGTCTGAACTAGGCATAAAACAAATGATGCCTTGTCACTTAAAAGTCCCAAATGAATCAGAAGTTGTGATCGCTTTTTTTTTTTTTTTTTTTTGTATTGAGACGCAGTTCCTAGAGAAACTGATTTTTGAATGAGCAAACGGTGGACGTGGCTTGTTTTTTCTACTGTTGGCTGAATGGATGTAGTTAAGTATGCCTTGCATTCAGTAAGATTATGAAATGGGTTTTAGATGTGTTATTACAACCTCCTGTTACAGACACCTCCTGTTCACAATTTCTGTTTGTTGTCTAAACTGACAGTTTGACCGGCATGGTTAAGTATGTTAGCCATGCCCATTACCCCAAAACCACACAATCTGATCATTTCACTAAAAAACAAACAGGAAGTGCATTTTCAGATTTCAATTTAAAGATTAGAAGGGCAAACTATTTGTTTTTTTACTTTTGTTCTTAATAACATGCACAGATGAACTGTTCTCCACAGAACTAGCAATGTGAGCTAACAAATTCACATGGTTAGTTTTGATTTCTTGGGGTCTTTAAGGAACTGTTCCTTATGGATTCATAACTCATTCTTACTTGTCAATGAACAGGAACAGTCATAGTCTATTAAAGATGCAAACCCCTCTCTTCGCTTCAGCTGCCACCTTCAGCAAACCTCCTAACATGTGCAGCACAATGACTTAAACATTTATGAGCGTCACTGTGTCCCAAACGACTCAAAATAACTTCACAACAAGATAACTAAAGCAATCTCCGTTGTGCTGAGCGAGAGCACTTCTCTTCCTGTTTTGATGCAAAGTGGACTGTTTGGGGAATGGGGATGGGTGATAATCGCTCTCAGGCTGTTCAAGGCAACCATGCCTAGTGTGAGTACACCTTCAGATGGATAGAGAAGTACTCCAAGGTCATTCCAGTATTTTCAGTAGTCACATGGTGCTACAGTAGTTAGCTATTCACACTAGTACTGGATATAAAAGGACAATTGACTGATTAGAAGCATTTAATAGAGTAGACTATGGTCAAATACTGTATACTGTTAAACATTTGTTCTGGTAAAAAAGGTTACAACAAAGTATTCAAAGAAATGTGGAAGTTTTTTTGTAATGTGGGATGGTGAAGGAGGGCGTAGCAGCTTGACAGAATTTCAGAAGCAAGTTGGCTTATGACAGGTAAAAGAAGCAAGAGCACAGAACTGTGACTGATTTTTTTTGCAAAGACAGCAGAGTCTAGAGAAAAGAGGAAGCGAACTCAAACTTGACGGAGCTTGACAGAGATTGTTTGTGTGGCGTTGCTCCTGTTCGATTGCCACCGGCTCACAGCAGCCCTGAGTGGGTGTACAAGTGCCTATGTAGTATTAATGAGGTGATTCAGGGCTCGCTGCATCTCCATCTCACTGCCTTCCTGTCTTTCTTCATTTACTGTGTCTCTCTCTCTCTTGTTCATCCTTCCTAGTTCCCCTCCCTTGTCTCTCTCTCTCTCTTGAATGTAAATGGATGATTTCAGTATTTATAGATAGGCTCCTGCATCATATCCTCTGACCTATTTTAGTCGATGACATCATCATTTTTTGCTCAGAGAGTTTGGTTTAGATCCCCAGCCTTCTGGTTTATTGCTGCGCTCTCTCTCTCGTTCCAGGGGTTTCCTGGATTTAGGGTACCAGCCAAAGTGGATTTAGTGTATCTAAGTAGCTTAGGCTGAATTTTCAAGAATGCAGGCTTGATGTAATAGATCATTAAGCAAAGTCTAGGGAGATTTATCACGCGATTATGTTGGTACTCAAAGCACATCATAAATCCATGATTTAAATATTTGTTTGACATTAAAAATAAATGTTTAAAAATGACCGTTGACAAACAAAAACCTTTAATAACAATACATTTTAACAGGGACAATGCCCATTATTCAACAGTAAGACTGTATATAAGCCAGAGTTAGCCACAACAGCTCATTCTTATCTGTTGCCCCCAGCCAGATTTAAAAAAGGCAACCTAAAATTAAAAACACATTATCACAAATACAAAAACAGTGAAGTTACATACAACAAAATGATAAAACATATAATAAGAATTTCATAAAAAGTTAGAGAAAGGAGTTTGTATTTAAATGTTGAATAATTTGTAATACCCCTTGCATGGGTTGCACGGTTTACCGGTACTGTGCTAGTATCAAAAATCCTGCTCCAAAATACTGGCGGTGCCACTGTAGTTTGTAAACGGTAGTATTGTCACTAATGGTCTGTCTACAATGAATAATGTTGCATGTGGATAAATCACTAAAATGCTCACACGTTTGTGCAACAATAGACCATTTTATTTGAGTAGTCTGTGGAGCCCTTTAGGGTTGCACGTTTTCTGATGTTTCAGACTCGCACCTGAATTTGTTGATTTCTGTTCCTGTCAATATGATTTAGTAGCAGCAATCTCTTAAAAAGAGCAACTCACAAAGTGAAATTTTTAATTATTTTGTATTGTTACCTGATAAGAAAAAAAAAACTATAGGTGGAAAAACCCAATAATAGCAACAGGAAACATTGAAACTATTTTTGTACACGTCAGATAGCCTCATTTTGTTGAAAAAGACTTTCTGTGACAGATTTTGTTTGGTATAATTTGTATCTTTATTTTAATGTATTTTTTGTTGACAAGTTATATACAAAATAAACAAAAAGAATCAATACATTTAAGTTGAAGTGACATGCAAATATTACTATTTTTAGTAATAAGGGAATTATGAATTGAAGTAGACCTATTATAACATGAAAAATATAGTATTTCTGACAATTTTCTTTGTGATTTGAGTTATGACTTACAGTATCGCAATACTACTTGGTATTGTGATACTTCAGCTGGTATAGGATCGTAACATGAATTAATTGTATCGTGACTACCCTAGCATCAGCCACATATTTCATATTATCAAAGCTCAATAAATAATGTTCTTGTATTTTATTACAATGATGGTACTTAATTGTCTTCTGATCAAATACTTTAAGTGTCTGTTTATATATATTATATATTATTATTATTATGATTATATTTTATAATATTTATATATTATTGAATAATTTTAATAATAAAGAAATGCATTTTACTGAAAAAAAAAAACTAAATTTGACAGTAATGTTAATTATAATTCCATTGTGATAAATACACTATAAACCATTTTTTGGAAAATTTCCACAAAAATATTTCCCAACACATTTTTTATTATTATGAGAAGTATTTCTTGAGCACCATAATCATGTGACTCTAAAAAGAAAAACTGGAGTAATGATTGCTGAAAATTCATCTGTATAATTTGAATTTGAACTATTTTTCATAAAATCTATGTATCTTTAAATGTGTAAAAAATTTAAAACTGCTGTTTTTACACTGTACCTATGTTCAAACAAAAGAAGCATGTCATCATGAGAATAAGAAACATAACAATTACTGCCTCTAAATCTTTAAACAGATGTGTAAATTGTACTGCGAAAAATGCTAAACTCATTGTTTTCTACTTTTTTAGGCAGTTAAGGATCAAAATAAAAAAGTGATCTATCTGTCCAATAAAATTGACATTTATTTTTAAACAGTCAGCATTGTTCTCCGTGCAGCACTGGACAATATGTCAAACATAACTTCAAATATTGAATGTGTTCATTTCATCTCTCCAGGAGAGCGTTTCTTTCCACCTCCATCTGGTCTGAGCTACTCTACATGGTTCTGTGTTGAGCGCTTCAGCACGCCACCTCAGAGTCACCCGGTGCGTCTGCTCACAGTGGTGCGGAGGGCAACCTCGTCTGAGCAGCACTACGTGTGTCTGGCCATCGTGCTTTCTGCTAAAGACCGATCTCTCATTGTGTCCACCAAAGAAGAGCTCCTTCAGTCATATGGCAAGTGTTTCCTAAACTTCCTGTATATTATGTTGATTTCAGCTAGAATGAGAGCAGTTTTTAATAATAAAAAAAAAATTAAGGGTCAATATTTTTAGCTCCCTTAAGCTATATTTTTTTCAGATTGTGTACAGAATAAACCACTGTTGTATAATGATTTGCCTAATTACAAAACTTGCCTAATTAACCTAGTTAAGCCTTTAAATGACACTTTAAACTGTATAGAAGTGTCTTAAAAATATCTAGTAAAATATTATTTACTGTCCTCATGGCAAAGATTAAATAAATCAGTTATTAGAAATGAGTTATTAAAACTATTATGTTTATAAATGTTTTGAAAAAATCTTCTCTCCGTTAAACAGAAATTGGGGAAAAATATAAACAGAGGGCTAATAATCCAGTGGGGATAATAATTCTGTCTTTAACAGTATAGTTCTTTAGTGAATGCTTAGAAAATAATTTAGTATAGTTTATATGCTTATTTAAATTGTCCGTGAAGCCACTGTCTACTGATGGTAGACAATTAAGCCATTTTATTTCAGCATTAGAAGGATGTTCCCCTGAAATACAGAGGAAAAGTTTTCTTTGTCTGTGGTTGATGATGTGACATCATTTCCTCTGTCTCCTCGCAGTGGATGACTTCAGTGAGGAGTCTTCCTTCTATGAGATCCTGCCCTGCTGTGCTCGTTTCCGCTGCGCTGACCTCATCACCGAGGGACAGTGGCACCACCTGCTGTTGGTTATGAGCAAAGGAATGCTGAAGAACAGTATGGCCACCCTGTACATCGACGGCCAGATGGTCAGCACAGTCAAGGTGTGGTCCTGCTCCTGATGTGGACAACCTTTGTTTGGTTTTGACTCCAGTTTAAGGAGTTAATTACTGTGCCATCGTTATTTTTTTCCGCACAAATGTCAGGTTTTTCATCCTCTTTTAAGGATTTTAACCTGGCAGTTTTCACTTTAGTATAGCTCAAATCTGGCGTTTGTGTGATTGTGTGGTTTTCCATTTGCTTTGCAGCTCAAATACTCAAGCTCAAGTCTACTGTTAAGCAATCATTGATCGGAACTTGTATCAAACAATAGAACCACATTATTTGTTCCTTATCTCATCGTAGCATACACAAATCTTATGCAAAATGAACACTTGCTAAGCAGGTAAAGCATTACCTTGTTACATTAAATTGAATGTTCTCCGCAAGGACTTTAGCACCATCTGAGGGTCAGATTATTAAATTGAACCAATTAGGTTGGCCAAAGGGTGGGGAATTGTCTCTATAAAATATTCAGTCAGTCTTAGTTGGTAACCACTATGCACACAGACACACACACATACAATTGTGTGGACTTCCCATAGACATGATTATTTTTATACTTTATTATATTAATGCATAAAAATATATTAATCCTTAATTATTATTATACTTGCTATAATCTATCCCCTATCCCTAAACTCATCAGTCACACAATTATTTGTTCCCCTCACTGGGATAAAAACAAATCTCTCCACATAGTTAAAAAACTACTGGCGTTACTATGATTGTATGTCTCCACAATGGGGAATACTAGGTACAAAAATAAATGACATTGCCATATCCCTATAATAAATTAAATATACGATATGTGACTATATTAGTAACACATAAATAAAATTACACTTTAATTACATTTCATTTGAATGCAGTTATGGGTTAGAAATATAGGGCATTCTAACATACCCGTTTATGTTAAAACCATCTCAAATTGTTTAGGTATTAGCAAGTTCTATCACTTATTTATCTGTTTCAGCCATGAATTAAAACTAGCGACAAAACTAGCTGCAGATAAAGGATTGCCCATCCCAACAAGTGATGTATCTGAAACAGAAAGTAAACAAGTGAATAGGTTTAAAATCAGTTTCTAGACTTTTTCCAAAAGAAAAAATATCAGACATACTGTGAAAATTTCCTTGCTCTGTTAAACATCATTTGGGAAATTTTTAAAATAGGGAAAAAAAAATCAATGGTGGTTCTGACAAAGTTCTGACTTAAACTGTATATATTCCAAAATTTACAGCTAAGGTACTGTATGTAGCATCTGTGCTTATGTTATCATTTTGCAGAGAAAATTAAGCATATTTTAAACAACCTTTATAAATGACTCTTAAACTTACCACTTGACAGTAAAGAGTTTGTGAGTTTCACTTTTTTTGCTCTATCTTATAAAATGATTTCATTTCTTGATTTCATGGCACCAGGGTAAACTTTCTGATGCTTTTACGACACTCGTATACATTAAAATTCAATACAGTCCACAAATGAACATGGAGGATGATCTCTGAGTGGTGTTCTTCAAAACTAAACAAAGAATAGACTTGGGCCTAATGGTGTGTGTGAGCCGTTTTGCGGTTGCAAGGTTTGTATGTATAATCACCTCAGAGGATATTGGGGGTCGCGAGTCACTGGCATTGTTATTTTGGGGGTTGTGGGCTGAAAAGTTTGGGAATCCCTGTATTATATCACTCACTCACATCATTGTTTCTTTTCACCCTCACCACTAAAAAAAGAAGATATAATATAAAATGCCACACTGTGAAAAGAAAAGGTCACCCTCACCTCTTTAATTCTTATATTGTGTTTGTCTTTGTAGCTGCACTATGTCCACAATTCTCCGGGTGGCTCAGCCTCCGCAAACCCACCTGTGGTGAGCACAGTGTACAGCTACATCGGCACACCACCGGCCCAGCGCCAGCTCTCCACTCTGGTCTGGCGACTGGGGCCCACACACTTTCTGGAGGAGGTGCTGCCTGCTGCCAGTGTGGCTGCCATCTATGAGCTGGGACCCAATTATGTAGGCAGTTTCCAAGCTGTTTACCTGCCATGTGAGTACCTTTCATTTCATACAGAGGTGGAAAAAGTAGGGACTCGAAATATGCCATTTGACTTAGAAACACTTTACCTGAATGGGGTGTTCATAAGACTGTCATAAAACTTTTATAATCATGACATGAATGTGAATGAGATTTTATGCATGCTTATGACAACTGTTATTATGTGTCCTTTTATGTCGTTTTAAATGCAAAAATGACATTGTTAAGGCAGCTTGACATAGATAAATTTGTCTTGATCAATCTTATGGCTCGTTTCCACTGACTGGTACAGTGCGGTAAGGTTTGAGTCGGTACGAGTCATCTTTATCAGGCTTGCGTTTCCACTACCAAGGGTACCCTTTTGGTGGGCGTGGTGTATGACAGAAAGTTTCAGTCGCATCATTCTCCCTTGAGAAAATGTCTACAGTAAAGCTGTACGGGGTCACTCACATATAGCATGAGCAGCTCTTCTCACAAAACAGACGCTTTACACACATAAATACTTGTGTATAAATGTTTATTACTAACTTTTTTATGAACAAGATTTGATTAAAACTGTAGATCAATGACAGTGCGAAATAGCTCACTGTAACATCTTTACTTATATTAAACAAATAAATAAATAAATGAACATATATAAACACATACAGCCCCTTACAGTCTCCGATATGTTACCAACTACAGAAAAAACTACACGCGTCATACATTTCATCCTTATTTAGGTTCAAAACAACACAAAATATAGCCCACAGTCAGAGCAAACCTCTCATATGTGTCTGTAATCTTCAGCAGCACGTGTAGCCTCTGTTAGAGAGTCATTCCATCATTCCCAGTTCAGATTAGTCCAAAAGGTGATGATAAAAATTAAAACAAGACAGTTTGTTCACGTTTGCTGAAGAAATAATGTGCTCCTTTTTTTCCGGCTTCTCCTTTTTTTTGCGCTTCACTCTTGCGTTTGTCAGTGTCTGACAGGATCGGCTTTCAAAAGCACGTCAATAATCAAGCGCATGATATTATTATTAGTTCAAGAAGTTTGTTATTTCAGATATAGACGCACGACGAGTGCAAGCAAGATAGCGATAACGCTCGTGCTTCAGATTGGCTCGTAAAAAACTACAAGGCACAGGGTGGATTCTGCTCTACTCCATGGCTTTGTGGCTGTTCATCAAGGTGATGACAAGGTTTGTTTGAGCTCGGATCGACCATGGCTCGTTATTATATGTATATATAATTCCACTGTAATCTCTCGGTTGTGTGTGTATTTTAAACATGGCTGGTTTTTTGTTTTTATTCTGGCTTGTTGCGTGAGCGAGTGACGTATAGTATAAATCAATAGTGTTCAGCTGCGCGTCTTGCTCCACCTTTTGGTACCCTTTATCGTGTTTGGTACCCTTTGGAAAGAGTGCCAAAAAACTAGTATGGTTCGGTTAGGTACGCTTTTTGACAGTTGAAATGGCCATAAAAGCGTTCCAAACGGAACTTTACCGTACTGTACCACTCAGTGGAAACGGGCCAATTAGTATTTGTCATGACAACTTGACATTACCGAGATATAATAACTTGACATAAATCTGTCATAAACATGACGTCATTACATGAGACTATTATAGTTGTGTCATGAATATTTTTCTTTTTTAGTGGAACAAACTGTATTGTCATGAAAAAGTAACATTAAATGTGTCATTGCTCTGTCAAATCATTTTTAAAAGGTTCATTAATATTTAATGACATTTTAATGACAAACTTAGCTTGTACCACTCTACTGTTGAGGTCCAAAAAATGTTAATGACAATATTATAAAATGCCATATTTATAATAACTTATTGACAGTTATGTTTATGACGATTTATGACAAGTGTTGTTGTCTTGATAGATGTCGTCAAGTTGTCAAAAATAGGTTGTGATATTTTTATTTACGTCAAGTTCTCATGTCATGTGTTTGCATTTAAAATATCATAACTGAGCGAATGACACTTAATGACGGTTGTTATTATATGCCAGGCGTGTCCAAACTACGGCCCGCTGGCCATCTGCGGCCCGCAATCTGTTTTGTGGCGGCCTGCGAGGCTTTTTATAAATATCAGTAGAATCTGGCCCGCTATACAAAAATGAACGTGATTCAATAAATAACCACCGGGTGTCGCTATTACATGCCTTCAATTAAGCAGCAGTTCTTGTTATGATCTATCTATCTATCTATCTGTCTGTCTGTCTGTCTGTCTGTCTGTCTGTCTATCTATCTATCTATCTATCTATCTACACACAGTTGAAGTCAGAATTGTTAGCCCCTCATTAATTTATTTCTTCTTTTTTAAATATTTCCCAAATGATGTTTAACAGAGCAAGGACATTTTTACAGTATGTCTGATAATATTTTTTCCTTTGGAGAAAGACTTTTGTTTTATTTCGGCTAGAATAAAAAGCGGTTTAAATTTTTTTATGAACCATTTTAAGGTCAAAATTATTAGCCCCTTAAGTCTTCAGAACAAACCATTATTATAAAATAACTTGCCTAATTACCTTAACTTGACTAGTTAACTTGATTAACCTAGTTAAGCCTTTAAATGTCACTTTAAGCTGTATAGAAGTGTCTTAAAAATATCTAGTCAAATATTATTTACTGTCATCATGGCAAAGATAAAATAAATCAGTTTTTAGAAATGAGTTACTAAAACTAATATGTATAGAAATGTGTGGAAAAAAATCTTCTCTCCGTTAAACAGAAATTGGGGAAAAAATAAACGGGGGCTAATAATTTAGGGGGGCTAATAATTCTGACTTCAACTGTATTTATATATATATATATATATATATATATATATATATATATATATATATATATATATATATATATATATGCGTGTCTGTGTGATGTATGTAAAATTTGGCCCGCGACAACGTTTGTTTTTTTGCATCTGGCCCTCGGCCCAAAAAGTTTGGACACCCCTGTTATATGCAATAAGCATGCATAAAATGTCATTTACATTCATGACATGTCGTCATGATTATAAATGTTTCACAACAGTCTTATGAACACTCCTTCAAGTAAAGTCTTACTTCTGAGTTTAAATTTCGAGGCATATTTTACATAAGTGGCTGTTGAGCTGATTAAATGTGTATGTTATGAGACCTGTATTTGCTCCTGTGTTTTGTTGCTTGAGGCTTTTGACAGTGACAGGATTTCTTATATCTGCAGGTAAAGACTCAAAAACAGAAGCTGTGCCACCCTGTCCTGTTGGACTGGTCCCTGAGGAGAAAGTCTCCTTTAGTCTCTTTGCTCACTCTGTATCTGCTCTCACTGTGGCCAAGATCAGAAAAGTCTACAACAAACTGGACAGCAAAGCCATTGCCAAACAGGTGTGTAGTGTAGGAATGGGTTTTAACCACGGCGGTTCGAACTGTAGTTCTGCCCAACAACTAAAAAGTTAACAGTATTGATGGTAAAAAACTGTACATTCTAGTCAAACCATTCTTCTGCAGTCTTATACCAAAAACGGAAATAAGGGCAGTATTAATAGCTTAAAATGTGGTAGAGCTTTGATAATATTTGATTGTATTGTATTGCAATATTGAGTAATTAAGTGTTGATGTAAATCAAAAGTAATTCACAAACACTTGATGATGAAATTATTTAATGACAATAACTTGCTATGGTTACAACTGAATTCGTTATAAATAACTGTAAAAATTATAAAATATGAAATGATAAAAAACAAATGATGATAATTGTAAACCAAGGAAAAGAGAGAGACAGGGGAGGGAGAGAGAGAGACAAAGAGAGCAGGCCCCGAAGATGGCTTATTTGCAGTTGAGTCAAAGAAGATAGCCTCCAGAGCAGAAGAGAAGAGGAGCAGGAAAAACCAGAGCAGAGTTTACCACCTATTTTGTCTCTTTCTTGACCATGTGACCAAAGCCCAAATACTGAGACATTCAAATTGACCAATCAACATGTGACCCATTGTAAAACCCCCAAAGTCCACACACCAGGCCATGATCTAATCAGTATCTACCTTTAATATTTGTGTGAGCCTTCTTTGGTGAAAAAAGACATGTTTTGCCATATAAACAAATACATATGATTATTTAGACTCTTACAGTAGCATTCCCCTCTTTTATGCTTTTCATGGCTTGAATGATAAATTGTTAAGAGATAAAGTACATCAAGGCAGTTTTTATCTTAGAATAAAGCCCGACAGGCTTATTGACAGCCCGAAGTGAATGGCTGTTGTAGAAGACTGAAGGGCTTTATTCTTGCAAAAACAACCATGTTGAGGTACTTCATCCCTCTTATTACACAGCTACTTGCCACAAAACAAAATCATTTGACGCATAACATTGTTCTGAGCTGTAATAGTTTATTATTTTATTTCTTTAATTATTCTATCATTAAAAGCAAGCTGACAAAAATGAAAATGGCTGACTGTAGCATACACTAACCTAAATTAGACTGACTGCACCAACAGTCAAAAACGTCGGCGTGACAGATATATATGAATGTGAACATTCACTAACAGTCAAGATGATTTGAAATACCCAGATGCAGGGGCACCTAAGGGGGAGTTAGGATGATTCTAAGGGCCCACGCCGTTTTGGGGCCCCCAGTGTTACTATTAGGGGGCCCAATCAACCACAACAGTGGTTATTATTAACTAGTTAATAGTGGAGAGATGCTGTGCAAAGGCTCTCACTACCGTAAATTTGAAAGTGAAATTAAAACACAAGCATTAATCGATAAAAGATTGCGATCTCGAATTGACAGTCCATTAATTAATGAATGAATGAATGAATTAATTCATTCATTCATTCATTTGTGTTATTTTCAGCTTAGTCCCTTTATTAATCAGGGGTTGTAAAAAAAAAAAAGTTGTAAATAACGTTCAGTTTGTTGCGCAGAGCGATTGCTTGAGAGCTACGCGGGAAGTATGATTTGCATGTTTTTTTTTTTTTCTCTCACAGTGACGGCAGCCATGAACCGCACTCGGCAGTGAAAGTAAAACCAAAATCGCGCATATCATTTAAATGATCATATCATATTGCATTTTAGAGTTATGATTATGACAAAGATTTTATTTTTTTTGTTCTTACATAGCAAACACAAAGTGGTGTGCATTAAAATAAATGTTTACTGGGTCAGTATAGCTACTCTAGCCTATATAATGTTGAATGTAATGCAAGAGGGAATCTGATAATGACAAATGTCTGATTTTACCAGTAGAATAAAAATGGTTTAATAATGTTCTCAATGACAGATTGCAAGCATGTCTCAAACACATTAATAACTTTAGAATTATGAACAGTTATATTCTGATGTCAACACTTAACTGTGAATTAACGACGAGGACATATTCAAAGTCTGTTCAAGTACACCATTCCAAGTCTATACAAAATATAGCATTTTAACCAACAGTAGACCTACACATAGGCCTACATTTAATATTGTTGTTTTACCATATGTTTGAGAATTAACAATAGTAATAATAGCCTGCTCATATTAACCTTTATTTTACATCTACAGAATCATGAGAAAATCGTGACCTTGATTTTATGCAAAATAAAAATCATGATTCTTATTTTAGCCGGAATCAATCGGCCCTATTTGGAAGGGTGCCACTTTTGGCTATTAAAGGAGCTGCAGCAATTGCAGAAGTCTGAAACAACCTGTTAGATTAAATTAGGTGTTTATTTAATAACCATGACAGGCCTAAATATTAATGATGAAACAATGATTTAAATAATACAAAATGTTTCAGTGGATTTTTGCATTCATTTTTTAAAATGTTTTCCTAATCTAAATAACTAATGGATAAGACTTCCTAATTAAAATTAAACTCACCAACCACCGAATGGCAATGCCCTAAAATCTCAATACTTTTCTAAAGTTTGGATTCAGTGAGATATTTGTAATGATTTTAAAAAAGATCTCCTGCTCCTACAGTATAAATATTTGTATGTTTTTAGGAATACTGCAATGGATTTTTAACATTTTGGAAAAAAATAACCCCCAACAACTTTTGCAACAATTGTTCGAAAGGATCAGACTTTTTTTGGTCATATATTTAAAGGCTGCTCAGAGTGATGTTTTCATCCCGTTTCAGCTGGGGGTTTCCTCTCATGAAAGTGCCACACCAGTCAAGCTTGTTCATAATGCAGTAGGCCATCTCAACGGATCAGCCAGGACCGTTGGAGCTGCAGTCATTGGTTACCTGGGTGAGTGCATTTTCATTAGGAGCGTGGACATGGGTGAAGTTTGTTTTTGGACAATAAAGCATTAAATACATGGATGATGAAAATAAGAGAAGCTGCTCCAGCTCTTTCTCTCCACCTATTTATAACTGCAATCTTTTTCCATGTAGGTGTGCGGGCCTTTGTAACCAAACCAGTGGCCACCAACCTCCAGTACATCGGAGGAGCAGCTGCCATTCTGGGCCTGGTTGCCATGGCATCAGACGTGGAGGGTCTATATGCCGCAGTAAAAGCATTAGTGTGTGTTGTCAAGAGCAACCCACTTGCGAGCAAGGAGATGGAGCGTATCAAAGGCTACCAGGTGGGCTGCATAGACAATTACCCGGTGAACTTTGAACCCAGGATGTCCTCTGTTCTCCGCAGCTGTAGCTGTAGGATGTTATGAGCCAATGAGGTGGCAAATGAAATGATAACATTGATGCTGGGCTGCTGTGACCAGTGACAGCCAGCTGATATGATAAGTGGGGGTTCATCAGGGTGGGGCATGATGGGATGTGCTGGTTTGAGCATAACAGATGGTGCATTGTTTAATTTTGCTGTGCTTTTATTGGGTTCTGTAGAGAGAATGCAATGTTTCATGCCGCTAATGTTGATTGTGTTGTCACTGTGTAAAGAAAACAAATGGCAGAGTGCAGCCTTGTTTATATTGAACTGCTCAGTGAATCCTGAAATGAGTGGGCTGACCAAAATATAGACCATCGTTCATTAGTTTAGACCTTCTGTTGTTGTTCTTTTGGCCTGTCAGCTTTAGTTCATGTGCCTGTAATATCTTCTGTTGTAGCTGTTGGCCATGCTGCTGAAGAAGAAACGCCCTCTGTTGAATAGCCATATCCTGCACTTGACCTTCTCCCTGGTTGGAACTGTTGATAGTGGCCACGAGACCTCCATCATCCCAAACTCCACAGCCTTTCAGGACCTGCTGTGCGATTTTGAGGTGGGAAAGCTGAACCTTGAGCATAAATCTCATTATTTATTTATTTTTTTTCTTTAGGGTTAAAAAAAATGTCTGCAGCTGTACAATATTATTGAACAACCAAACATGGCATTTAGGTGAGGATTGCTTCAATGACAAAATTGACAGCGGTGAGAACACCAAAATTAAGAAAGAATCAGATAATATTGATATAGACATTTATGCCAACTAACTATTTATATACCATTTATATAGGATCAGTTATTTACATACCATTTTGCAAAGTAGAATACAAGCAGATTTACTGTGTTAAATACAAAAAACTGTGGCAGTATTGAAAGCTGAAGATTTGCTTTGTGCTGATCTAGTTTGTTCATCAGTTTTGCCTAAGGTTTGTTGTGACTTTTAAGGAACATTTCACCCAAAAATTCTCACCCTTCTAGTTCCAAATATATTTGAGTCTCTTCTGTAGAACACACAATATATTCTGCAGCAGCCATTAACTTCCATGTGTGTTATTTGTTTTATTTTTTGTTTCTTATATGAATGTCAGTGGCTGCTGGTTTGCAACATTCTTCAAAATATTTAGAATGTGTTGTGTTCAACAGGAAAAAATCTAAACAGTAATTTATTTTGAGTTACTATGACAATATATAAATATGAAGAGTTCAGATGCAAAACCCTGATAAAAGTTTTATTTTATAGATAATGAAAAGGTTATTAGTAAATAAAATAACTTTTTTTCCAAAATGTCACTATAGACAATACTTTGTTTTTTTTTAAGGTAATTTGTTTTGCATCAAAACCAGCTAAATCCACTTCTGCTTTTTCTGCAAAAACATCTAAATCCACCTATTGGGACAAGACAGTGATATTAGTTGAAAAATTACTAAAGATGCGATTAGAAATTATTTTCCCAAACAAATAACACATAGACAAATCACCTGAAATTGAAAATTCATAAATGTGTCAAGTAAGTGGCGGTTCATTCCACTGTGGCAACCCCTGATAAACCAGGGACTAAGCATTAAAACTGACGTTAATTAAATCTTAACAATCTATTGTCATTTCTGAAATTTGGGATTTGGATTTGATGTAAGTAGAGCAATGTAAACAATGCAAACATTGTAAACTAAGCTTGTTAGATTCAAATAATGCAGTGTAAAAACATTGTGAAACATCAATATCTGTGAATTGTCCATTACTAAAAATTAATATCATTTATTGAAGTAATATAAATAATGAATAGTTTTATACATTATGTTTATCGTTTAAAACATAGCTTACATTAGCAAATAAAACACAAGGTAAGCCTACTGTGCAAAAAAGGGCATGTCTCTTAAAGAGCCCATATTATACATGAAATAGGGTCATATCTTGGTTGTAAGGGTCTCCAACAACAGTCTAATATGCATGCAAGGTCAAAAAACACTTTCATGGTCTTATAATCTGCATTTGTTTTTACCTAATTATCCCAGCGACTCCTGTATGAATCGTTCAGTGATTCATTTGTTCCCAAACCCCTCCTTAGCGCGAAGCTAATCTGCGCTGATTGGACCGATGACAGTCTGTCGCGATTGGTCGACTGCCTTCAGTCAAAGAGTGAAATGGCCAACAGCTAATCAGCAATTTAAAAAGTAATCACAGTTCATACACGCTAGATAGTGTAGGCGTGGATTTTAGCTGCCACACACACAAAAACACACACACACACCTCCGGACGAGAACGCTCCCGCTTCCGCCCGCACCCGCCAGGTTTTAGCCTTAGAACCCGCCCCGTATTCTGCCCGCCGCGCCCGATCCCGCTAAAGAGCAGGGGAGAACAAAACCGAAAATCCCCCAGATATACAGTCCAGACAGCCAAGCTGTCTGTATAAACACACACACACAGCACCAAGCATAAAGCTCTCGCTCGCGCTCTCTCTCTCTCTCTCTCTCACACACATACACACAAGCACCAAGCAGACACATCTTTCTCTTTCTCAGGCAGCCCGCTCCCGTCCCAAATCAAACCCGTTACCGACCGCTCCGGCGATTTATTCGGAAATTTATTCCCGCACCGCAGAAATCTGGCGCGGGGACAGCCGCGGGTATGCAGACCTCGAACGTTACCACGGAGCTCCATAAACAAAGCAGCACGCGTCGCGTTTTTAACGTGACTTTGAACGCGATAAGAGAATATAGCCAGTTAACCTGATACAGTACACGCGGTTACAAGTAACAAATCACAACTAAATACATTTGCAAGCTAGAGTCAACGAGGCAACAACTTTAATCGCAAGTACTTACACTTGAGAAATGGAAGAAACCCATCCTGATGTCCATCAGTAAGTTACTGATCCTTCCTTTAACAAACGCAGATGAAGTATTCTTTGTAGCATGTAGCTTCCAGAAGTTTCCAGTAGTTTCCAACTGCTTGGTTATAATGCTGAGGTTTCATCTTTGGGTAGAGACTCAATATAATATCCATCTGCAGTGTGACTTCAATCGACCGGCATGTTTGTGTGCGTGTGTTTGTGGGTGTGTGTGTGTGTGTGTGTGTGTGTGTGTCTGGGTTACTGCATCAGAGGGCGGGGCCTCAGGTTTGAAATCTTCCGGGTTTGCGCGTGCACGTGAATAACTTGGTTTCATTCGTACGTCATGGCGAAACACCTAATGAATCGGTATCAAGGCGACTCGTTTGAAGCACTATGAATCGACTCTTTAATAGATGAATCAACCGTTTTAAACACTGTATTCTTACAGATTTAAGCCTTAGCTAGATACTTCACTTCACTTAGAACTGTGTTACACACTACATGGAGGGGAATTTTCAAAAACCCATAATATGGGCTCTTTAAAAGTTGTCATTTATTCATCCTCACTAGATATATTCAAGGTATTGGTCTCTGTTTCATCCATTGTTTATCCTCATAGCATCCATGTGGGATAAAAGAACAGCGTCTTAACTTTGTCTTTTATGAAATGGAGTTGGCGTTTAATGTATAGTAAATCGGACTCATTTAAAGTAGCGTCACTGTGCAAACAAACGTTATGAATGCATGCTGCACTTCCGACTTTACATTGTGTTTTCTTTTTCTTATAATGCAGAGAGTTTTGAGGTAAGGGGCGTCTTCATTTGCCATTCACTGACAGTCAGACAGGCTCATGCAGTCCATCAAACTTTTTTAAAATCGATAACGGAATGAAACTGTCTCCTCGTAAAAGCCTGCGTATCAGTGCGTTGCTACATTGAAAACATATGATTCAGTTCGCGCCTTCTGATTGGTTCTTGGGATATAGCGGCTTTTGCTGTCAAAGGCAGGTGGTGTTTAGAGGCTTTTGCATATAAACTGTTATTTCTGAATGCGCGGATGCTACGATTTAGATGCTTTCAAACAAAACTATTTGTTAAATGTACTACGTGCCTAAAGCATTCACTTCATTATCTCATTTTTGGCAGAAGTGGTGTTTATCGGCTTTTGCATCTGAACTCTTCATATATTAAATGTATTTAGAAATTATAAACTGATTATTTAGCTTAATATAGATTAAGAAAAAAACATACCTTCTATGCCTAAATATTGATTATTGTAAAATGGATTTTTGTAAAAGTGGTATTCATAAGAAATTTTTACAGAAAAATTATTTAAAGATAATCATGCTCACACTTTTTATCACATCACAGTAAGTAAATTCTAGTGAAATGTATTGGAACCCTATGTAGCTCCATTAGTTGTTGGGGACAGTAAAAATGATCAGTGACCATGTAGAAAAATTACAACCACTTGCTTTGATCATTTCTGGCACATAAAAAAAATCCAGCTGTTTTTGTTTTTTGTAGACTACTTCCTAAGCTAGTTTTAGATTCTAGTTTGTGTTTCATTATATTATTACTAAGCATAAAGAACATTTTGTTGCTCTTTCAGGTTTGGCTTCATGCTCCCTATGAACTGCACCTTTCTCTCTTCGAGCACTTCATTGAACTTCTGACTGAATCCAGGTAATCCATCTGTACTCCCAGCACTCCTTATTGGATCTTTGACTCAGGCAAATCGATTGAAACCTTTTTGCGATGTAGTGGTACTTTCTTTGAGCTTAGCCATATTGAAGTGTTCTGGTGCACATTTAACATTATAATGCTTGTTCACCTTAAATTTGTTTTAAACAATTTTGTTAAAAAATCGTGACTAAATCTTAAATCATAAGATTAGTATCGTGTGACAAATCGAATCATGAGTCAGGTGAATCATTACATCCCCACTATCTGGACTTTACCACAGAAATGGTGCAGTGCGGTCTGTTAAGTTGTAATAACTTTCCCGAAACCCTTGTCTCAATCTTTCTAAATGAAATCCCTACTTTTATACATCCTATCAGCTTGAAATAGAAAAAGCAAGCCACAACCACTGTTTTCTCATTTAATATTCTTGTTCTTTTATTCTTCCAGTTTATGTATACTTTAAAAACAACAAAAGAATCAACACCAACATTGTGTCTATTATAAGCACACTTTATGTAGTTGTTGCTTTATTAGTTGTTCTTTAAAGTGCTGTAGATTCTGATTCAATGTTAGTGTTTTTATAGTTTATCGTCTACAAAAAAATCACTCTGGAAATCATTGTTATGTTTTTAGAGTAGACTCAAGTTAGACTGACTATTAATGGGATGGTTCACTGAAAAAAAATTTAATTTGCTGTTAATTTATTGACCCTTAGGCCATTTATGAATAGTAAGTCTACTACATTCTGGTTAGCCTGAGGGTGAATAAATAAACCACATGTTTTCATTTTTGGCTGAGCCATCTCCTAACATTGTAGTCACTGCCTTTTGTGTGAATGGTGATTTAGAGTAAACAATGATTCTAAACTTTAGAGGTGCAGAATGAGTTCAATATGTAGTTGGTTCAAAATGAACAGAACCGATACTAATGGAGTGCTTAAATGTTTCTGTTTTTAGTGAAGCTGCCAAGAATGCCAAACTATTGCGTGAGTTCCAGCTGATCCCCAAACTGCTGCTGACTTTGAGGGATCAGTCTTTGTCTCAGCCCACCATTACTGCCATCGGCAATGTCCTCAGTCTCCTGCTGCAGGGCTTCCCCAACACATATGACCTGCTCAGGTAAACAACATAAATGTGTGCCCTTTTTGATTGTGTGCTGTCTAAGCCAGTGGTTCCCAACCTGGGGTCCGCGCCCCCCTAAGGGGGGCGCCAGAGTTCACAAGGGGGGCGCGGGAGAGGATAAGTGTTGAGGTAGAAAAAGGCATAAAAATGCTCCACTATTATATAGGGCTGTACAAGTAATCCAAAATGCGATTTGGATTTCAAACAATTATAAAAAAAGCATTAATCAAGATAAACGATTATATGCATCATATACCGCCCCCTTTCCAGTTGTACACGTGTTGCGAAAGACCGCGTGCCTATGTGTGTGTGTGCTACACGCACACGCAGTCAGAAGCATGCGGCCGGTCAGCATTCGCACACTGAGAAGAGCAGAGGAGCGCAGACATCTAAAGTCATCTTAACGTGAGCGCTTTAATGGTCAAATAGGTGTCAAAACGCGGTGTTTAGTGATTATTTAGATTAACCCTCATTTGTGTAATAAACAAACGAGTTGAGGTTTAAAAGACGTGAAAGAGAAACCATTAAAGAGAAAGCGCAAAATATTCCTGCTGCCGCCTGTTTTTATGATTAATCAAACAAGGAGAAAATGTTTCTCTGCTCTTGACTGAAGGATTTTTGTAGCTAAAGTGTTTTTCTTACAGTGAAGATGATTAAAGCACAGTTTGTTTTATATTTTTATTCTATTGTATTTATTTCTCTTTCCTTTGCAGGGTGGAAAATAACTGTATATATACACTTGAAGTCAGAATTATTAGCCCTCCTGAATATTAGCAACCCTTTTCCTGCCCAATTTCTGTTTAATGGAAAGAATATTTTATTAACTTATTTCTGAACATAATAGTTTTGATATCTCATGTCTAATTACTGATTTCTTTTATCTTTGCTATGATGACAGCACATAATATTTTACTAGATATTTTTTCAAAATACAACCATTCAAATTAAAGCGCAGTTCAAAGGCTTAATTAGGGTAATTAGGCAAGTCGTTGTATAACAGTAGTTTCTTCTGCAGACAATCAAAAATATATATTGTTTAAGGGGGCTAATAATATTGTCCTTAAAATAGGTTTCAAAATATTTAAACCTGCTTTTATTCTAGCTAAAATAAAACAAATAAGCCTAGAAGAAAAAAAAATATTAGAGGAAATACTGTTAAATTCCTTGTTCTGTTAAACATAATTTGGGAAATATTTATATAAAAAAAAAATTCTCAGCAGCGCTAATAATTTTGACTTTAACTGACAATCGTTTTGAATAATTGTGATTACAATTATGACCAAAGTAATTGTGATTATGATTTTTCCCAAAATCAGCCCTACTATTATATATGTATTTTTAAGTACCAAAAAAAACAAAACAACACACATGCTTAAAATTTCAACATAATAGTAAAAATAATTAAAATAAATAATTTTAAATTATTTTTTACATTTTGCTCACTTGCGCAATGTGCTTGTCCAACTTCTCGTAAAGGCAAAATCAAAACAAAAATGGCAGAGAAACGTCAATGCAATGATTCTTCAGAGGCGAAGAAAAGCCAAGAAAAGTTAAGACAAAGCCTATCTAAATACACATAAACACACACATAAAGTAAATATATATATATATATATATATATATATATATATATATATATATATATATATATATATATATATATATACGGCACATATGTGTGTGCGTGCGTGTGTATTTATATGGTGGGGGGGCTCCAATGTTTGTATTTGTTCATGGGGGGGCCCCAGAGAAAAAGGTTGGGAACCACTGGTCTAAGCCATATAGTAGTGAAGATGTGTGTCAGAAGTAACTTTATTATGCTGGAAATATTTCTGATTTTGGGCTGTTTTAGATTGTGCTGTTAAAGAAAAGTCCTAAACATGATATTTAAGAGGTCTTTAAATTTAGAACTGAATATGGAGATAATACGTTATGTAAATATTGAGCTAATACAGTATTCAACATTTGAAGTGGATCAAAACCTTTCATCAAAGTTGGCTTTAGGCTATTAAACAAAAAAAGGCATTATTGTTTTAGTATAAATTTGAGAAACATTTTTGAACTACTTTAAATGTTGACTACTATAGTTTCTTATTCAGCTGGTCAGGCACAAAAATCAAACAATTAACAATTTTTGATATTGTTCATATTTTGACAAAAAAATGTGTTAAAAGCTGCATTGTGGAACTTACAATTTTATAAAATGTGAATCGTAAAGTCAAAAATGTATTTACAATAATTTTTACATTTAAGTTTTAAACTTGTTTCTAATTTTTATTTTATAATCCTGCAGATGCCCTTATATAATGCATTTAAATTTTATTTTATTTGAAAATTATTTTAATAAGTAGAATAATAAAATCATTATTTTTTTAATGTCAAGGTTTGCAAAATAATTCAGAAAATAATATCAGATTTTTTTCCCCTCAAAGATTTGGGCAGTTTATCTCTTCAACATTGCCAACATTTGCTGTCTGCGAGAAATTTGTTATTATGGAGAACACAAACGAGGAGAAGATCGACAGAGGTTAGTCCAAATATTACATAAGCTTTTTAGCACAAATACAGCAATGTTTCACATCACCCTTTTCAAGAGTTCACACTTAGATAATGCTTGACTATTTAAGCAAGTTTGGCATGCTGTCCTGGGAGGGTACCCTGAGCTCGGTGATAAATGAGCCCAAGGCTCCTCCCTGGTCAATAAGCATTAGGAGGCATATGAGATCAGGTAGTTCTTGATAGCTTCTCAACTTTAACTTTAACTTTTGTTGCATGGTTTTTGAGTGTGGGAGGAAACTGGAATACCCGGAGAAAGCCCACGCGAACACGTGGAGAACATGCAAACTCTGCACAGAGAGTATCGGTTGGATCAGCTATTGTTGAACCAACGACCTCCTTGCTACCGAGCCACATGTCGCCTGAACTGAGGATGAGGGAGAAGGGATGGATGGGGGTGGGGTTCCAAAATGAAGATGTGGAGTGAAGTTTAGGCTGGATATTTATATTGAATTTAGAGTGATCCGATTGGCTAGTTATTGATTAGTGATAAGGATTAGCTGTAGTCAATCCTATCACGTGCTCCTCTCGAAATTAGTTTAAGAAACTTCACTTATCAAATCAGACCCATACTAATCCAAGCATTGTCATTGTTTAAGCAAACTTTACTTTTTTTTGCACCTGCACTTCTGTAACACATTAGATGCAGATCAAATTTGATGGTTGCACCTTGTAAATACTCACTGCAGTTTTTCCCTGATTAATCAGCACTGAACAGTCGTGATTTCATCTAGAGCTAGTAATAAGATGCAAGAATCTATAGAATGAGGATTTTAGTATTATCTCTGTGGCCTTACTAGTCTTTCTGGGTGTTTTCAGGAGCTGACGAGGAATTCGGAGGCCTTCTGTCATCCAACCTGATTCTCCTGCGGAACAGACTCCTGGACATCCTGCTCAAACAGCTCTTCAGCTGCAAAGAGAAGGGCACGGTTAATGCACAGTGAGTGAGGCTCTTTATCAAATCATACATGGATTATTAGACCTCAGAAAGCTGCGCTGCATTTTACAGCAACTGTAACATTGTTACCTAAGCTTACTGATTCAGGGCTGTTATCTAAGATTGGATGCGCTTGGCATTGGGCTGATTATGTGTCAAAATGATTCGGTGTAGCCTTAAGTGTGCCATTTGTGTGCACTTAGGAATTCACTGTGTTAATACAATGTATATATATTTATATATATATATATATATATATATATATATATATATATATATATATATATATATATATGCACGTATATTTAATTGCACAATTGTAGTTTTTACATTATATTAACATATTTTTCGGATCTGACTATAAGGTCATAAAACTGCATTGCTGAAAAAACTACATGAGAAAACATTTTAAAAGTTTTATTAGTCACATAAAGGTAAATTATTTGCATTTTATAATTAATATAATTTAAAATATTGTAAATGTCTACAAACATAACAACAAGTACATTATATTTAATAATTATGCATCAAATTACGGTGTCAAATTTTGTTGCAATTAATACGGTATATGGTATTATTATGATGTTGGCGTAAGCTGCAAACAATAGGCCTATAAATAGAGCATCAATTTCTCATTCATGTCATTGGCCTGATTAAGATGAAAATGTTAATGTTTGAAATAACTGTCCTATTAAGTCTTTAGGCAAGGTGCTGTGATGGACTTCTACTGCCAATGCAACAAGCTGTATATTTTTAAAAGGCACTCTAAAAGTTTAAATAATAAATAATTATTCACTGTATTGTGAAGTGGCCATGAAAAAAATATCATGTCAGTTTCACGCTATACCATATGTATTAAATATTATCATTAATATTATCCAGACAGAAAAAGGAACAAAGACAACAAAAGTTATACTGCTATTTACTATAAACAACAGCCATTTTAAACAATATTCCTGAGTAAATGCATATCAAGTGAAGCTGAAACTAGCAGCTTATGGAAAATGCTTTGTACAAATTCCCCCATGTCCCTCTTATATTCCTGAAAACACAGTAATCCAGTCAAATTTTCCATTCTGCTTCCTCCCATAGGGCATGCGAGGAGCTTGTACGCACCTTGGGTTTTGATTGGTTGCTGATGTTTATGGAAGAACACATTCACTCCAGCACTGTGACTGCGGCTCTCTTGATCCTGGTGGTCTTGCTGAGTAACCAGTCCATCCTCAGCCGGTTTAAAGAGGGCCTGTCTGGAGGAGGATGGCTGGATCACACAGACTCTGTGCTCACTAATAAGATCGGCACAGTGCTGGGTGAGAAAGAGACTTGTATCAACACATTTGATCAGATTTACATGCTGTTTTAAATGTTCAGCGATAACACAGTACAATTATGTTTGGTCATAATAATAGCAACAGTGACTGTAAATTGTATAATAATGACAATGGTAACTGTATCATCTTTTAGGATTTAATGTGGGTCGCAGCGCAGGAGGAAGGTCAACGTTGCGTGAAATCAACAGAGATGCCTGTCATTTCCCAGGATTCCCTGTATTGCAAACTTTGTTGCCCAAACACACCAACGTCCCAGAGATCTACTTCATGCTTATGGCTCTCTTCTTTCAGCAGCCAATCACAGAGCTGCCCGAGAGCCTGCAGGTACATGTCAGTATGCAAAACCTTTTTTCCTACTAATCAATTGTATGGTCTTCTCTGTTTGTGTTTGTGTGTGTGTGTCTATAACCACTCCTCACATTCTTTTAATTGTGTATTTTTTCCAGTTTCTTATTTTTTTATCATTTATATTATCAGAATTGGAGTGTACTTTTATATCATTTTCATTTGAAAAGGGAATTTAAAAATGTCTTTTTTTTATTCTGTTGTACAAATGAGTTCATATTCTTAATGTAGTCAGTTTTCTTATAAGATTAATGACCTAAAGCATTCACCATAAAGCCTGTGTGACGGAGTTTGCAGGTAACAGCTTTCACCACATCTACACAATTTAACTGTGAGAGATTCTGTTTAATTCCTCATTTAATTGTCAGGCTGCTGTCAGCCGAGCTAATGGCAGCAATATGTAAAATGCAACACCCCATACACCATCTCAAAAGGGCTTGCATTCACTGAGATTAAACTAATATTGCAGCACATGAAAAGGCCTGCATTGCCATTAAGATGACGTATACAAATAATAAGTTATATGTCAGTAACGTGTGAAATATCAGACACCACCAGTAAGAACACATCACAGTTATTATCATTAACTAAGATTCATTCAGGGCCTGCAGGGCCGGTGGGCGCATTCATATATTTTTTGTTTGTTTGTTAGTTTGGATTAGTGTTGATTTCAAATGCAATGAATCTATGAATATAAAAATTGTAGCAACAGTGCTCATAATTGGTGGGTGCGACAAAATTTTGGCTGGTGCTCCTAAATTTTTAAAGTAAGGAGCACAAGTGATACAAAGCAAAATTGGTCATTTTGAGCCCTGTACAAATTTTGTTATGATTTTGAATTCCACATTTTCAGATCTTTCAGATTTCTTGACTAAGGTTAAAGTTGACTGTTTATATACTGGGCTGTTTATATACCGTGTTTAAAAGTGTATGGAAGCGCAAGGCAGATTGATTCCTTCACTGATTTCAATGCACTTTGCACTCGTACTCGCATCTGTTGTTGTTAGGCAACCATTAACTCTTCTCTCAGAGGAGGACAAACTGACAAGCCATTGCTGCAGCTATTGTACTACTTATCAATTAATATATCAATTCAAATACCCCACCCCCCTATCCTGCGGTCTCTTGAAATTAGGGTATCCAATAAATAGAAGTTAAAAGAAAAACAAAAAACAAATACAGTATCAGTATCAATTCTACAAAGAAGCTCTTACACTATTTTAGTTTATGGAGTAAATTCCAGTGTGTGTGTGTGCTTTATTTTGTCTGAGATAATGATTCTGCGTTTATTACTGAAATTTGTATATTTCGTAAATATTATGAGGCTGATTGGTTCTAGTCTCATGACGAAACCTGCAGCATTCTAAAATGTTAAGATGTTTTTTAAACACAAGCCACGCGCCTCCATTGGAATTAAGGAACTTGCATGCACAAAAGGCAATATGTGAATGACCTCTAAGTGTTCAAAAATACAATACTTTGCAATAGATTGTCATGCATGCTTTATGTGAATGATCTGCACTTGTGACTCTTTCTTCTCTTAGCATTGTTCTGTAACCCCTGTATATTGTTTTTGTATCTTGTATTTTTTTAAAGAAAGTTATTGAAATACAGTTTATTTTAATAATTGTGTTTAAACACATCAGATGCAGTTAATATAATTTTATGTGCATTTAAAAAAAAGTAAACACTATTTAATACATTTTGTGTTTTAGATTTTTAATATTTAATATTAAACCGTTTTACCCATCTTCTAATCTCAGTTTGACCTGGACTCTATCTGGACGTTTATATTTGGCGTCCCAGCCTCCAGCGCTACAGTGGTGGGCTCCCTTCACAATATGTGCACCGAAACAGCTTTCCTGCTTCTGGCCATGCTGCGCAGCATGCTTAACCTGGTGAGTCTTTAATCAGCCTGCCTCACAAACATGTATCCCAGGAGCCACTGTTGTCACCATGGTGATTGTTGCATTTATCATAGTGTTAATAGTTTACCAAAGGTTTTATACTACAGCTAAATAAGTATTCTGAATGAATGGAAGAATTTATGCTAAACTGGTGTTCAAAATTTAGAGAAATCAAAGGAAATTATTTTAGGTTAAGATTAAATGTTTTTAATATTATAGCCTTGGACACAGGCCCTTAAAACTAAGCTCAAAGCAGGAGCTGACATAGATTATAATATTTGTCTTTATCTACCCCGCAGCCTTGGCAGTCAGAAGAGGAGGGTTCCTGGCTAAGAGAATATCCCATCACTCTCATGCAGTTTTTCCGTTATCTCTATCACAACATCCCAGATCTGGCACCCATGTGGCACAGCCCGGACTTCCTGTGTACACTTGCTGCTACCGTTTTCCCCTTCAATATACGACCCTACTCAGAGATGGTATGCTGTTGTGCTGTTACTTTATCATTGTAACTGCATTTTGGGAGCTCAGTCATTTAAGAATGTATTCTTTTCATGTTCAGTGTGCACTTGAATCTGGTTATAATGCTGACAGATATCTTGTTTTCTTCAGGTGAGTGATTTAGATGATGAAGCAAGCTCACCCACAGAAGAGTTCAAAGCCTTTGTGACAGATACTGGTATGAACCGCAGCCAGTCAGAATACTGTAACGTAGGGAATAAAACCTACCTGACCAACCACCCAGCCAAGAAGTACGTCTTTGACTTCATGAGGCTCCTCATTATGGACAACCTGTGCATGACACCTGCCAGCAAACAGACCCCCATCATTGATCTTCTTCTGGAGGTGAGATCATCTCGGATTAATGGAGAATGAAGTTGCGATTTTGGACACTGCTACAGTCTGGTTTAAATTATATTTCAGTGATCAGTTCTTTTCAGTTTGTCTTGGTAGTTTGAATAGTAGGTTCTATTCTCAGGCCAGTTTTATTAGTTTTTTAAGTCTCCACAAAAAGTTTAACTAGTGGAGATGTAAAATATGTTGAATATATGCTGATGATGTGTGGAAGCATGTTCCTGGAGGCCCACCAGCTTAACATATAATCCGTGTCTCCTTAACCAAACACACCTGATTCAGATCAGCTAATTAATTAGCAAAGACTGAAAAACCTGCAGCGGGTGTAACAGACAAAGGAGACCCCTAAAACATGTAGTGTTGGTGGACCTCCAGGAACATGGTTGAGATATACTGGTGTAGGTGTAATTAAAGTATAACATTCTAGCAATTTTCTTCATTTTAACACACTTTTGGAACATTTTGACTATAATAACTAAATAAACTTGTTACTGGTCTTGTTGGGTAACATTTGTTGCTTTGTTTATTGCAATATACTGTATTTTTCCTTGTAAACTGTTATCTAACAGTTTTAAATATAAAATAATAGAAATTATATTTGTAGTTTGCCTTTATCACAAATGGATCATTTTGCTTATTGATGATGTTTCTGTTGCAAAAATGCAATTTGTTATCATACTGCCTCCCTTTATTAGAAGCCAATATGGTATCGTCCTGCAGTTGGGGGTAAACATTAACTTTGCTTCGTCTTCAGGCATCACCAGAGCGCTCCACGAGGACTCAGCAGAAGGAGTTTCAGTCCTACATCCTGGACAGTGTGATGGAGCAGCTTCTTGCAGCAGATGTGCTGATGGGTAAGTTGGAGAACAACTCTAAGTTTAAAGTCTCCATGAACCATAAATTTTTTTTTTTTTGTAATGTGACGCAGTTCTTAGAGAAACGGAATATTGAATGATAGAACAGTGGGCGTGGCTTGTTTCTACTACTGAGAGCTGATTGGATGTAGTAAAGTAGGCTATTCATTCAGAAAGACCGGGAAAAGTATTTGGGGAGAGTTATAACAACATAACAGACTCCTCCTGCTCACCATTTCTGTTTGTTGTGTAAACTGACATTTGCAGCAGCGTGGTTAAATATGTAAAGCCCTGCTCACTCTGTAAGATTTCAGCCTCAATTCTGTCATTTGAGACAAATTTAGGAAATCCTAAAAGATTCCTGAAATCCTAGATTAAAATCTGTGGTCTTCGATCGTTGGTTTGACATGTTCATTGACAGCCGCTTAATGCCCGTTGCAATCAGGTTTTCCCTCCGACAAAGTTCTGGGAGTGTCAGAAATTTCAGACACTTTCCTGCAGTGGGACAACAGCTGTGATGAGCATCAATCCAAGAACTATTAGGAGCTCCGAATTTGATGACGTGATTCTTGCGACAATTCAAATGACCGAGGGGAAATGTCAAAACAGTTTTTTTCTTCCTGGTTTTATTATTGTGACCCACTGTGTGCAAAATTGCCGCTATAGATTGTTTATGTTTGCTGTGAGGAATCATTTCAGAACGCGGGATAGTGAAGTGTCACTCGTGGATGACATCAAACTCCGGGGGTGTTTTCTTTCGCGTTTTGCGCATCTTCATTGTCGTTCAGTCTGACCTTATGACAGCTGAAATCTTACAATGTGACATGGGAGCCATATTCGTGCAGTCTGACATGCAACAATTGTTTAGGATTATAAAAAAGCCATGCCTAATTCCTAATATACATGTAATCTGACAAATTAACCGAAAAAATGGGAAGTGCATTTTTAGATTTCAAATAAAGATTAGGGGCTCTATTTTGACGATCCAGGCACAAAGTGCAAAGCGCAGGGCGCAAAAGCATTAAGGTCCTTATTTTAAGGACGGAAAAATCCGCTTTGCGCTGTGGCGCACGGTCTTACAGGGTTGAGCTTATTCTCTTAATGAGTTATAGGTGTGTTTTGAGAATAAACCAATCAGAGTCTCATCTCCCATTCCCTGAGCATTTCACTAGCAAGAAAACAGTTAAACAGAGCATCTGCTGCATGAGAATGAACCTCCTCATTCTTTACTTTCGCTTTTACTCTTGTGGATAGGGAAACGTGTTGTACGCACAGACATCCATTAGCCTATACATAATTATTTTTGTTTATTAAGCGCAAAGATTGGTTTCAAAACTATTTCTAAATTCAGTTCTAGTTTCCAACAAACGAATAAATGAACAATAATAACGAAATGTGTTAAAAAACTGAGTTTTATCCAAATACTCATGCTATGCCCAATATGGTCTAAAACCTGACAGGTGGGCTAATCTAAGCTTGTTTTTAATAAAACAAATATAAATATGCATATAATAAATAATACTACTACTAATAATGACACTATATAAAAGGAAATTGTTATGAATAAACTAAAAAAGCCCCCCGAGATGAAGACGGCATGGAGGCAGTGGTTTTTATATTTATGTAGGCTAGTAAATAATATTTTTTGTAATATTTTAATCCTTTAATTATTTTTCATTTGTAAATATATTTGCGTATTGCTGTACATCCTGTGTATATTAAGGAATGTTTAAGCGAGGCGCACAACTAAAGCTTTCTGCGCTGGTCTATTGAACAGTGTATTTTAGTTCCTCAAAATAGCAATGCACTAGCAATGCGCCTTAACAAGCCTCCTTTTTTAGACCAGAACGCCTATGGGCACATATGAGCGCAAATGCATTTGCTATTTTAACAGCGTGCTGCAAAATGTCAAACTGACTCTTGCGCCGAGCTGAAACTGGCAAACTACAATTGCGTCGCGCCTTGTGCCGCATTGCGTCTTGCGCCACATTTAGCCGGGTGTATGATAGGGCCCTTAATAACTTGCACAGATGAATTGGTCACCACAAAACTGCCAATGTGAGTTAACAAAATCATATGAATAGTTTTGATTTCTTGGGGACTTTAGGGAAACTCTTTGGTGCAGTGCTCCACCTGATTCATGTTCTCCAACAGGTGAGGAGGCATCATTGCCAATAACGACTGGAGGAAGTTACCAGGTCCTGGTTAACAACGTCTTCTACTTCACCCAACGTGTGGTGGATAAGCTGTGGCAGGGCATGTTCAACAAGGAGTCAAAGCTAGTGGTGGATTTCATCGTTCAGCTGATCACTCAGGTAAGAGTGGTTGTGTGACTCATACCATTTCATTCTGCCTATAATTAAAACATGTAGGCTTGTCCCCAATGTCAAAAAGTCTTTGACGAATTTATGTATTTGATAGAAATCACACAATAGAAAGTCAGAATCTTTCTGTAACATTTTTTGGTTTTAATATATTGTCTAGTTTGTCTATCTGATGAAAATTTCATTTTCGTTTTTTTTAAAAGCTCAATTGATTATTGGTACATGGACCAAAGCTCAATTGATAAATGGAGTGAATATTTTTATTTAGCAAGGACACATTAAACTGATTAAAAGTCACTATAAAACATTTAAAATGTAACAACAATTCAGTTTCAAATGAACGTTGTTATTAAGCAGTACATCTTTGATAATAACAAATAAGGAAATAAAAAATAGAAAACTTCTTTCAAAAACAATGAACAAAATCCTACCAAGAGCTTTTAAGCATGTGAACAAATAGAATTTTAAACATTCGAATGAAGTTTAAAGAGGATGATAATAAGCATTAGTAGCAGCTGTACTTATCTGTTTTAAGATGAGAAATTAATTATTAAACAAATATGGCAATGAAAATTCCAAACACTTTATTTACCCACCATGCATTTAAGAAAGACTCACAGTGTAATATGTCAAAGGCACATATAGATACTTATCATAAAATTATGATAAAATGATATTTATCATATCATATTATCCTTATCAATAATTATCCTGCTATTTCTTTCCAACTTTCTGTTACTAGTTCAGCACTTTTACTCTCTCTCTTTCTTTCTTTTACGTTTGTCATGTGCAAGACTTACGTTGCATTCCAACATGACTTATGTGTTTGGTGGTCTCTGAACAAATCTCCTTTTCTACTTTTTTTTTTTTTCTCTCTCAACAGTCCAAACGGCGATCACAGGGTTTGTCTCTCGACTCAGTCTATCATTGTCTAAACCGAACAATACTCTACCAGCTCTCACGACCACACAAGACCGTCCCGCAGCAGGTCACCCTGCTGGATTCACTACGTGTGCTGACGGTAAACCGAAATCTCGTGTTGGGTCCCGGGAACCATGACCAGGAGTTTGTGGCCTGCCTGGCCCACTGTTTGATCAACCTGCACACGGGAAGGTGAGAGAGAAAAACATAGAGACTGTATCATATTTTGAGCTTTATGATTTTGTAGTTTATGCTTTATTTAACAAGAAGTAAAATTGAAGGTTAAAAAGGTTGATCTGATATGAAAGGTAGATAGTGTGTCTTCCTTTAGACAGACAAGGAAACTCTGATTCTCTATATTTGTTTTTTCCTGAAAAATTAATTTATGTTATTACTAAATGATTAAATGTTATCTAGCAACATGCATTATTATTAATATAATACAGGTTTTAATAATATGTGTGTTATTGTTAATAACACATCGCTATTATCACTATTAATTTCAACAATAAAGCAGTATCAGTTTGCATCAAAATACATTCAGAATCCATTTATTTTTCTTAAAGTTGTGTTTAAAAACTCTTTAGATGGATTGCTGTGAGCTATTTAGAATATTATTATATTCTCAGGTTATGGAATGCTCTGCCTTATTCTGTAAGAAATACTTCCACACTAGCTAGCTTTAAGAAGATGTTATAAAACTCATCTTTTTAAGACTGGATTTTTAGATTCTTGATCATTCTGATGTGTTTATATTTTATAATTTTTCTATGTTGAATCCTTGTATTTGTATTGCGTGTTTGATTTGTCTGTTGTTTTAGAACTTTTGGGTTTTAGAAATAATCAAATATATATATATATATATATATATATATATATATATATATATATATATATATATATATATATATATATATATATTTTTTTTTTTTTTTTTAAATTTATAATTTAATTATTTCCAAAACCCAAAGTATACACATATATATATATATATTTAAAAAAAATATTTTTTTAACCATTTCTCTGTGAATATAGGCAACAATTATTGGTGCATTTAAACAAAACAAGTTTATTAAACAGTTATACATTAAAATAAGAGCTTAGTCACTGAACATCTTTAGCAATGGAAAATTTACATTTAAATTCAATGAATTATTGCAACAAAAAAAGATAAATAAATTACAAACAACAAAATTTCAACTCTCTCCTGATTTTTCATGTTTCATCAAATTTATATTTATGAGTAAGAAAATAAATATAAAAACTTTAGATAAAAAAGGGATCTATATTTTATATGACGTATAAATAAATCTTTAGTTTTAAATTGATAATTTGAAGAATTGATTTGTTGTTTATAGTATTGTTATATTTTGCAAGCTCTATTGTTACAAAATAAATGGACAGAGACAATCTGTGAAAATTACAAATGTGAAATATATTTGGATAGCTACACGTGATATATGAGCTGTTAAATGGCTCTTTCCATCTAACTAAATTAAAGACAGCTGGCTGGACATTATGTATGAGCTGTGACAAAGAATAATCCCAGTCTGAGGATTGTTCTGTGCTGTTTTGAGTCACAGTGAGAGACTCGAGGGGGAGGTTTATGTTGTCATGGCTCTACATTCAGGCTGACTCAGAAGTTTGGCTTCAGAGAGACTGAGAAATGAGAGCGGAATCACATTAGCGTTCAGTGCTGCTGCTACTCTGAGCCCCTGTGCTCTGCTGACGCTTGGAGATCAATACCTTCAACTCATCTGATTTCCAGCATCTGATGATAGTTCATCGTTCTTGCTGTTTGACAGATTTGTGTTATTCACTGACCGACAAACTGAATGAATGCGTCACATGATTTAGCACTGATAAAGTCAAAATTGTGTGGGGTATCACTGTGCCACATGTAAATGCAGCTTTTTCTTTGTTTTACAGTAGTGTGGAGGGCTTTGGTCTGGAGGCCGAAGCAAGAATGACCACCTGGCATGTGGCTGTTCCATCTGAGAATGAGTCGGACAGTGTGCAGAGCCAGGATGTCAGCGAAGGTAGTTTTTTTTTCTCTGTTCTGCAATCACAGAGAGTTTAAAACACTTTATGCACCCTGATTTAAATCCATTATAAAGGTAAGACAATGCTGATCAATGTAAAATAAAATAATTAACTAATAGTTATCACAATGTTGATTGCTAACGTTTAGAAAACCTATAATGCAAAAATATAATGTTCAAAGATGCATAAATATTTATACATACATCTGTACAGTAGATGTCAGTGTGCATGTTTACATATTAGACTGTATGTATTATAACTGTACTTATTACATAAGTTTTTTTTTAGAGGGAATAAAAAATAAATTTCAGAAAGTTATTCGAGCAATTGTTTTTTTTATGAATAAAATGTATTTAATCTGGCAAATGCTGTATAAATATATCACTTTCTAAAAGTTCAGAATATGTATATATGTACATGAATAAAGCTGAAGTTTGGTGTAAATGTTGCTGAAGTGAAGGTTTATGGCTTAGTGCTAGAGAATAAAAACTAATTTTGACAAAGCGCCTTTAAAAAATATGTTTTGTCATTGAAATCCACAGATACTAATTGTTAAAGTGTGATTAATAAAACACTTGCACTGTATATATATTTTTATTTTCAATACATTGAAAAGAAAAACAAAAACTTTATGAAAAGCCAAAACTAGAGAGGTCTGTGTAAAATCTTTATCTGACCAACTCTGCTTATGTGTCCCAGGTCGTCAGTTGTTGCTCAAGGCTGTGAATCGTGTGTGGACGGAGCTCATGCACAGTAAGCGGCAAATGCTGGAGGATATTTTTAAAGTGTCTCTGCCTGTTAATGACAGAGGACATGTGGACATCGGCACCGCTCGACCTGCTCTAGAGGAACCTGCTGCTAAAAGCTGGCAGAACCACCTGGGTGAGAAATGCATCCAGTCTCTCTCACACACACACATACACACACATACAAAGACATGTTCACTTATATTATTTTTTTAGATTCTCCCACATATCATAATCCACAAAGAATATGTTTCAGGTCAAATTTAATTACTGACGATTACCAACTTTGTAAACATTTCTGTCATATTTGTGACTGTGAAAACATTTCAGGCAACTGACTGAAGAAAAAAAACACCAGCCCCAAATGTGTCTTTACTTAGATTATGTTGCAGGTTAACATACGAAACTTAACAGAGGCACTGAGTAGAATAAGTAGCAGCATTTTTGAAATCCATAAGTTTTTACTTTAAAACTGCCATAGAAGGGGTTTGGCTTTGGTATATTCCCTTTGCTATATTTGATAGTATATGCACTTTTATATCCCCAGAAATTACACCTTGAATCAGAAGCACTTTTGACCATATTTGGAATGGTCATGAATGTTAATGATTTCTAATCTGAGGCTCTGCACTTTGTCAGTGCTTAATCTCCCTCTCTCTCTCAATTCTGATTTATACTTCTGGGTCGAGAGCATGTGTATGGTCTGGCGCAGTCTTCGCAAGGTCGTATAACCCTAAAAAATGTTGCGCACCTCTCAAAAAATGTAACTTTACCACACAAGTGCTTACAAGTGTCGAGTCCGGTGAAGGAGCTCCAGATGGAAACTTTTGCGTTTATCTTATGATTATAGTTGCACGTCCACCGATTCCCTCCTCTGAATGAGCGAGTTTTAGCTACTTGTACATTAAGGAAACGTTCAGAAAAAACAAAACACCAGCAAAAAACTTGACACAGAGGTACATAAAAACCTACTGCCAGCTAGTGTTTTGGAATTGTTTTTGCAGAGCAACACAAACAACATGCAGATATATACATACAGTGGGTCACGCTGATCACTCTACACAGAAGTATAAATCAGCCTTTACACACACACACACACACACACACACACACACGCTCGCAAACACACACACAAAGTATAATGCACTCTGAAATAGGGTGGGCTTTAGTCTTCTTGTCTCTTTCATTTTGACAGGATTTCCACATAAATAGTATGTTTTTTATAAGCTTGGATACATTTTCCTTCATAAAAAAAACCTCATTGTTGTAATCTCATTTGGTAATATCGTAGCCAATCACAACACAGTATGTTGTGCTCGCTTGACTTTATTTTCTATAGCAACATATTTCAAATAAAAAACTGCAAGTTATATTATGAGAATTATGGTGCTCAAGTGTTCAATTCAGAACTCCTTCATATGTGCAGCTTCTCCCACTCAGTTTAATTTTAGCAGCTTGTTGCTTTCACGCTCGTTCTCGTCTCTGTGTCTGTCGCTCTGCTATTTATGTCTTGTTCAAGATTTTTGCTGTTCCCTCTCTGTTTTCCATCTAGTCCATGAAAAGAAATGCATTAGCAGAGGTGAGACTGTCGCCCCAGCAAATCAGTCCAAATTGTCTCGAGTTAGCAGTGGCTTTGGTCTGTCCAAACTGACCGGCTCCCGTCGCAGCAAGAAGGAAAGTGGCATGAACAAAAACAACCTTTCAGCACAGGTACCTGACAAAAACAACTGTCGCAGACCTGGCAATGCTTTTGTAGCTGAACTTGCAGCTGATTTTGATTGTCAGTTTATACTCACCTCTAGTTTTGACTGTGCACAGGAGACCTTCCAGTGGATGTTCACACATATTGCTGTGGTTCGGGACCTAGTAGCAATGCAGTACAAAGAGCATCAAGAGGTAAAGTTTGCTATTTAAATAGTGTCCAAACTTTCTCCTGTAGGGTTAAAAAATGAATTCACACAAAAATGAAAATTCTTTTATTAATAACCCTTTGTTGGTCCTCTGAACACAAAATAAGATATTTAAGATGAAATCCGAGAGCTCTCTTATCCTCCTTTACCAGCAGTAATTCTGACTTGTTCAAAGTTCAGACATCCTCTTATTAGACCATACTTACAAGAAAACATTTGTGCACACATAAAACAAAAATAATGACTTTATTCAACAGTTTCTTCTCCCTATCAGAGCGCCTGTGAAGTTCCTTTGCTTTGCCTCAAACAGAGCAAGTTGTGCGTGAGCATCTGGAGTATACATCACTACACTGAATTGTAATCCCAATTCTACCCCCTAGCCCTTCCCTATCCCCTCTTGTTTTATGCGTTCCCGTGAAGGAGTAGGGTTGTCCCAATTCTCGTTAGCTTGAAGGCGTAGGGCTAAGGGGATGGAGTAGATAGCCCTTTGAATGGAGATTTTTCAGGACCACACTCCAAACCAAGGGGTAAGAAAATTTCCCTAAATACATCAGCCACAGCGGCTGCGTAGCTGAAGTAAGGAGATCCATAAATTAGTATCTTTAAGCTTATGTTTTTATATATTCATAACCATGTTGGTTCACCGTCATGCTTTAAAAAAAAACGCTAAAATAAAACCACTAAATTTTGCTATCTATAATTAATAATAATAACAACTCCTGTACAGCAGTCCCACAACATTCTGACACTCGATGACACTCGAACACACTGTCAAAAAAAGTCTAGTGGCTGGGAATGACCTTTTTACAGTGTCTGCTATAATGTTAATGTTGTTTTTGGTGTGTTTACAAAGATGAATATGGCTACTGTGTAAATGCAGTATTGTTACTATCTTATTGCTACATTAGATTGTTATGATGACATAATACTGTATATTCCTTTGGTGATTTCTTGAAGATAAATACCAAAAAAATGACACAACTGGAATCACTACAGCAGTTGCCACCATCTGATCTCATATAAAGCAAGAGATTGCGATGACATATGATAACGTGTGCAGGTGCTGTAGTGTTGTCCCATTTCTTAAGGGTAAATTTTGAAGCCCTTCCCCTTCACACTTAGATTTAAGGGCCAAGGGTAAGGGGAAGGGGTACAAAAATAGAATTGGGATTGGGATTGGGATTGGGCCTTGATTTCCTGTCAATCTTAGCTTTAGTTTCTTCAATTTGATTATTTATTTTATCGATAAAGCACATTTAAAACAACTTTGATTGACCAAAGTGCTGTTAAAAAAGTCCAACACCTAAGTTATAATATTAAACAATATGATGTGCACAAGACATCAAAGACACAAGAATACAGATTGTATTTAAAAGACTTTTGAAATCTGTAGGTGCTTTTGTAATGGATTATAACTTAGGTCCAGCCATGATACTTAAAAAGCTCTTAGACTCCTGCATTGCAGTCTAGATTTGGGTGAATATGGGAGATAACTAGTTTATTATCCAAGTGATATCATAAGATTGTGTTGTCTTTAATCATCTCTGTAAGGATTAGGTATGCAGGATTGCTTATAAAACACTTTCATATTGTTTACAAAACACTTTGTATATAAACATCAAAATTTTGAAATCTATGCAATATCCAGTACAGAGAACTTAAAATAGATGGGATGTGGTTTCTTTTGCAACCACCTATGAGCAGAAGAAATCCCAAATTGTTGACAGTAAATGAGCGATAGGGGGTGAGAGAGTCATCATAGCTCCAATATTTTTTTCCAATACATCTGCCTGGAAGGCTTTTGTTAGCTTGTTTTAGTATGTTTTAGCTGTGTTTTATTATTGTGGGAGCTAAACTCCGTTGCCTCCAGAAATGGGATTTGACATTGCTGCAAAATGTAAAACTCAGATTTTTTTGGAACTGTAATTCATTTTTTAATTCCAGTTGTAGTGGAATGACTAATCAAGGTAATGATTTTGTTTTTCTGCAGAGGCAGCAGAATGCACTGAAGTATGTGATGGATGAGTGGGCAGGCATTGAATATGAGCTGCTTCGGGAGAGGGGTCTCTGGGGGCCTCCCATTGGCTCCCACCTGGACAAGTTTCAGCTGGACATGACTGAGGGACCCTGTAGAATGAGAAAGAAGATGGTCCGGAATGATATGTTTTACATTCATTATCCCTATGTGCCTGATCCTGAGCCCAATGCAAGCACTCAGGTTAGTCTGCCTCTTTTCTTTTTTTATAATTGTACATTTTAATGAGATACGTATAGGGTGTTTTCCGTATATGTTTAGGACAAAACAATGCACTAAAATGCATATTGGATTGATTTGAAATGTCAGTGGTTATCTATTATTCCGTTGTTTATTCATTACATTTTTCTTTTTTGTCTAATTTATCAGAATAAGTTTTTGCTTTGTGATAAATTTTTATTTACACACATACTGAATATTTGTAATTTATAGTCTTTATATACATTTTTTCCATTTTAACACACATACAGTTAAAGTCAGAATAATAGCCCCCCTAAATATTTAGCCCCCCTGGTTATTTTTCCCCCAATCTCTGTTTAGCGGAGAGAAGACTTTATCAACACATGTCTAAACATAATAGATTTAATAACTCATCTCTAATAACTGATTTATTTTATCTTTATCATGATGACAGTAATTAATATTTGACTAGCTATTTTTCTAGACATTTGGGAAATATTTAAAAAGGAAAAAAAATCAAAGGGGGGCTAAAAATTCTGACTTCAACTGTATATGTAACATTTGGATAATTTAAAATTCATATTTTTTCCCCTTATTTTGCTGAATGTTTATATTTCCATGTTTGTTTTGTCATATGTATCTTAACTAGATAGCTGAGTTGTAGCTAAGTAACTTTGTTTCACATGGTCATATATATATACACAATGATTTAAAGATATGTTTAAACCTTTAACTTCCTCCTCAAACAAAAAAATAATAATAATTTTGACCAGTTGTTTTGGCTAAATTTTGACATTTTTTGTTTTAATGATAATCTCTGTACAAAAAGTCAAACAAGGCCAAACAATTCCAGTTAAATTGTTAAAAGCATTGTGACTGTCTGAAATAGAAAACAAACATATGTAACTGGCTTTAACATTATAAAACCTCATTAACTGAAGCTAGTCTGTTCAATGTGCCTGTAGTTTCAGTCACTTTATAACACTAGTGGTAATAATCTGCTCTGAATGGATCTTTTGTCAAGTCTCAAATTTGAATTAGCAGCAATAGCCATATGAAGGCATCATAAGTAGCCTTATAGGCGAGCTTAAGTTTTTATCGCCAATTTTTCTTTTTTCAGAATGACTCTCAGGTGCCAATAATGGGTGCAATGATTAACATACCAGTCCAGGTACATACTAATGTGTGCCTAAAAACTGTAGTCTTGTTGTATGCTCTTAAAATAACCAACTGCATTGCTGAATGCATAACTAGAGAATAAAATGTCTTGTTATGATGGAGGTGTATGCGGATTCACGCATCTGCAGAGCTTTTAAAGTGCTGGTTGGAAAATGCTGTTGTTCCTGCTGAATACATTCAATACACTAGAGAAACCTCTGCAAATGCAGATTTAGGACAGCTCCTTCTCTCTCAAACTTTGTATTCCCTATACAATCCGTGTTATAAAATGTAAAGGGGAACGATTGTTGTATGTGTTACATATTACTACAACAATTTGATAATGATTTGTATTTTGTCATTTAATGTTCTGTAATTTCTGCACTAAACAAATAACAAAAACAAAGATTATCATATTTTTCCCCCATCTTACATTGTTCTACAAGAATGTAAACACTTTTTACTAGTCAGAAACTTGTCATTACAGTAGTTTTGATGCGTTGGAAATGCACTTCATGTCTGTCATTCCTGATTGTTTCTGTTTGGTGCTGCTGAAACAACCTTTAAATATGGTTAGACTTTTTTTTTAGTCCGACTTCGAGACTTCTTCCCTACTTGAATGTAATAGTTTTAATAAGAAGCTAATAAACACAAGGTTTCTGTAGATCTTAACCCCTTAACTGTCACCTTAGGACCTTTGATAAATTTGACAAATTTGTCTAAACCTGAACTTATCTTGACAAATTATATACCATCTTTTATTTTTAAGTGTGAACCCCTAACACTTGATGGGTTAAAAAGGAGTTTAATTGCCTTAATTACAGCTAAAAATATTGTATTTATGAAGTCATTACTTTAAATGTTGCTTACACTGCAAAGATGAGTTTCTTACTCATTGAGATTAAATTGAAAAGTTAAGTTTTGTTTTCCTGAGAAATGTAAATTGAATTTATGCTGACACAAAAGAAACACCCATTTGACGTATTTGTTCTTGCTTAAAGTTCACTGTTCTCAGTCTACTGGCAGATATTAATCATAAACTTTTTTCATTTTAACAGCAAACCAGATTTCTTATTAAATGTATTTAATTTTTAAGAGTAAATGTATATATTTATGTCTTGTGTTTCCTTCAAATGATTCATTACAAATTATTGTACCAAATGTTTGAACACTTTTTGTTTGTGTTGTCTTAAAAAATTAATCTAAAAATGTGTAGAAATGCCTAAAAGTGCTTTATAGGTCAATTTAAACGTAACATTCATTTGAGCTGTCAGTGTGGGCTTTTCTTAAGGAGTGATGTACATGTGGTTTGCATGGCTCTGGATTCTTCTTTCACTGTCATTCAAGATGATATTTTGCATTATAAAATGAAAGATGAGCTAATCAGAACTAAATACATCATATAAACAGTTTTTATTATATTTCAATTGTTTCAGAAGCCAGCCCGATACCGGCGAGCAATCAGCTATGACAGTAAGGAGTATTACATGAGGCTATTGTCTGGAAACCCGGGAATGTACCAGCACTCCATAGAGCAGAACACAGAGGGAGAAACCACACAACAAGAACCCGAACATGGAGAGGACACCATCGCAAGGGTCAAAGGTCAGCAATCTTTATTTGATATTCTGAAATGATTACAGAAATTTCCATGGTTACGTTTTCATTTACAGTCCTGTTTCACATGCACATGCTGTGTACTTATTATAGTAATTACAATAACTGGATAATAACTAGGTGCTAACTCTGAACCTAAATTTATCCCACATACGTATCTGTTAGCTATTACTTTCATAAAGAGAGTGGCTGCACTTTATTTTACAGTACAGTACATGAGTTACACAGTACATTTTTCTCACAGATGTATGATAAATGATTGGTTGATTAATCCAATGTGATTTTTTGTGTGTTTTGTCAATAGAGATGTCTATTACGGATCTAGTAAATATCCAGCCTGTTCTTTCAGATGGAGCAGCATTTAATACAAAGAGTTGTAATTCACAGCTATCAATAGCTATATAAAAAAAATGGTTTCAACATCGAAATGGATTTAATCAGTTGATTTGGACATCGAAATAATAATCTTCTCAGTGACCTACAACTCTGTGTAGTAAATGCTGTACATTAAAGTACCACATATAATATATATTTTACTCCAAACTCACCTTTAGGCACATTTTTTAAATACAACGGGGGAAAAGTATTGAACATGTCGTATTTTTGGGGGGAATAATATTACTTAATGAGCAGTAGACATGGAATTGAAACAGATTTTGGTAAAAATCCAAACAATACAAACTTAAAAATATAACAAAGCAAAAAAATGTTGTGTAATAACAATCGAATGACACAAGGAGTAAGAACTGAACTACTGAATGTATTTAATACTTTATATAAAAGGCTTTTTTGGTAATGGCACCTTAAAGACGCCTCTCATATGGAGAATGGAGTGGCATTAAGTGCGGAGGTGTGAGTTTTATTTTTATTTTTTTACAAACCTCAACAGGTTTAAAAATCTTGATGGTTCTGAGTCTTGTCTATCAATTCTGATCTTTTGTATTTTCTATTGGATTCAAGTCATGTTATTGACTGGGTCATTCTACAGCTTAATTTTCTTTCTCTGGAAACATTTGAGAGTTTCCTTGGCTGTGTGGTGGTTCATTGCTTGTCCACCCTGGTTTCATCTTCATCATCCTGATGATGTAGATGTTTGACTGAAGTAGCTGATATTCATTTACACTGACAAAGGGCAGAGGGTTGCTAAATAACTTACTAAGAAATTTGAGCTGCTGTCTGGGCTTTCACTGCCTTTTTACACCTCCCTTTCTTCATGTGTTCGATACTTTTCCTCTGTGTCATTTCATTTTATTACACATAATTAAATTTTTAAACTAATTAATATTGTTTTCTTTGTATATATTGAGTTCTTTGGTTGTTACCAACATCCGGTAAACATTTTAAGTCAATAGCACCTTTAGAAATATGTTTTCTGAGAAAAAATGGTGACATGTTGAATATTTATTTCCCCCACTGTAAATCCTTCAGTGGGATGATTCAATTGTCCTGTGATTATTTGTCATGATAAATCAATGAAAGCAGCTAAATCTTGTGTTTATGGTGCAACGCTTTGGGGATGGTCTGGATTGTTTCATGGAGGTTTTATAGTTTCCATGCTAGAGCACCCTCTAATGTTTAGAGGAGATTTACTAGTGATCACACAACCATGCTTTGCTAACAAGATGTGCACAAGAATCACAGCTTTATTCAATAGGGGTTGCTATAGAAAACAATTAGCAATTTCATTTTAATTAATTGACCAGCCCCATATGAAGCAGACTACAGACAGTAAACGAACACCACTAACAGTACAGTGAGTTTGGTAGAACTTTATTCTACAGTCCTGATTTTATGTGTTACATGAACTGGGATAATACATATTATTCTCAAACCTACTAGACCTAAGGTTACTCTGAACGTTAACCCACCTAGTTATCCTATGTAGTCTAAGCTTCCAAGGAGAAAAGTCAGACTTTACTGATTTTAACTAGACTATGAGTTTATAACTCAAAATTGTAAGATATACTGTAAACTCAGTTCCTTAATTCCATAGAACCTGTATAAATTGAATGAGATAACTGGTGTGCTGAATTACTGTTTTATTTAAACTACTGAGCATGTAATGATAGGAGTGCGTTGTGTGGACTGAATGAATGTGCTGTGTGTATGTGTTTTAGGTCTGGTAAAGGCCCCTTTGAAACGATCACGCTCTACAGCAGATGGGGCTGATGAGGAGAGTCAAGACCAGCTGCAGGAGCTGCTGGAGTCAGGAGCAATGGATGAAGAGCAGAAAACAGACAACACCACACTGCTCCGTCTGCTGGAGGAGGGAGAGAAGGTCTGCAGCATTACATAATAGAAATGAAACAAAACAGTTTGCTCATGGTTCAGTTCTTATCATGGATTTAGGGTCACGGATTTGGTACAGCTTGGTATGTGATATGTTCAGTAAAAAACGTAAAGCAATTTAGCAAAGAGATCACTAAAATAAACAGGCTTTTCAGGTATCTGATGGTAGATTTTAGGTACAAAAACTAAATGATATAATCAAATATAAAACTGCATACTATATATAAACGTCACTGTATTAAATAAAGGTTAAACATTATTTAAGTTACCTACAACAACTATTCAGTCACGAGCGTAGAGAGTGAATCCATTGTCATTTGTTGGTTGATTAATGTTAAAAACAGAGAGCAGAAATAAAATGTTTTCACTTTGACACACTCCACAGAGCTAGCACATTGAACAAGTTACAGATAACACAGTTTCTCAAATATTTAGGTTATGAGGCATAACCATTTGCTTACTCGTTAATTCGGGCATGTTGACATAATTATTGGACATAATTTATCCGTTTGTCCATTCAAAAGCAAGACTTAACAATTTACACATCATAACTTTGATTCACAGATTGAAATGAGTGCACTTTTCAAATATCAAACTTGATGTTCAGTGATTAAATAACAAAAACTTGAGTTTAGTTTAAGCATGAATAGCAGCGGACAGTGAACTTGTGTGCTCGCGTGCTGTCTAAACCAGGGTATTAATGATGCTGTGAATGACTGGACATACAGCACTCAAACTGAGATTAAAAGGAGTGATTGCATTTTGGCAGAGTCAGTTCAGAGAGTAATAAAAGGCATATGAAAAATGCAAAATGCTATTTAAATCCAAAAACTGTGTAATATGTGCATATTGAACTGTGAATGATGTACCTAACAGTTTAATTTTATATTATGTGTTGTGGCATCCGTACTACATATCTCCACCACATACCCGCCACTAGAACTAAAATCTTTTTCTTTTTTTTTTTTTACTGCCGTTCACTAAAACATGACAACAGTTTGACTTTTTTTTTGACTAGTGTCAAAAAATAAATACATTAGTATTATTCTAGTTGTATGATTATGTCCTAATGTAATGAGTGAACCATATAGTGAGAATGTGTTTGTGTGTTCTGGTAGATCCAGCACATGTACCGCTGTGCTCGAGTTCAGGGTCTGGACACCAGTGAAGGCCTGCTCTTATTTGGGAAGGAACATTTCTATGTGATCGACGGCTTCACCATGACCGTCACCAGAGAGATTAGAGACATCGAGACACTTCCTCCAAAGTAAGAACAATAAAATAACTTGTTTGAAAAACAGCTAATCTGCCTGTCTGTTTTATTCTTCTCTTATCTTGCACCTAAGATTTTTGTATTGTTTTTTATATTTTATTTATTTTACTTATTTGGTTTTAATACTATAGTGTGATGGTTTTCAAACCTTTTTTTCTGTGTTTTTTTATTCTATTAATAATACATTTTATGGTTTTAGTTTAACCATACATTAAATACTTGTATATTATATGCTGTATATTATTAAAAAGTGGGTAAATGGAGTAAAATCAAGCTGCTGATTAGGTAAAATATTCAAGTTTTTTTTCTTTTTTTTTTTTCTTTTACCATTTAAGTGTTCAGAAACGTTTACTATCAATCAATTCCAGTCCAAAAAGCATAGTGGATATAGGATAAAGGCTAAATATGTTTCACAAATGGTACTTAACACTGCTTTAAGGGTTGACTTTATATTGTGCTTGTTTTTTGTGGCATTTGCAGTATGCATGAACCCATCATCCCCCGAGGGGCCCGGCAGAGCAAGAGTCAGCTGAAACGAACATGTAGCATCTTTGCATATGAAGACATCAGAGAGGTGCACAAACGCCGCTACCTGCTTCAGGTGTGCAAATCAACCGTTTATTCTTTTTTAAAATTATTTTTAACACACTGGCCAGCTTTTATTCTAAGCTTGCTATTGAATTAATGCTTTGCTGTCTTCCTCACAGCCTATGGCAGCTGAAGTGTTTTCTGGAGATGGAAGAAACTATCTGTTGGCTTTCCAAAAAGGAGTTCGGAACAAAGTATATCAAAGGTATTGTAGATAATGACACTTGTTAAGGGAAACATACCACTTGAAATCTCAAAACAATTCTATTTTTGTTGTGGTTGTCAGAATTTCTAACAATATTAGATGGAATCTCATTCTGTTCTGTCAGACTTTGTCACACTAAACAATTAGGAAAGGAAAGTGTTGACAAACTAGATGACTTCCTCTGGCATTTCTCTCAGATTATCTGTCACATACTGCAACTCCCTATTTTGGCAGCAAATCCCTGTGAAGTTTTACTATAATAGAAACACACACACACACACACACACACACACACACACACACACACACACACACAGTTTTAATAACTCATTTCTAATAACTGATTTATTTTATCTTTGTCCTGATGAAAGTTTAAAGGCTTATTAGTTTAAAGACATTTAAAGGCTTAACTAGGTTAATTAGGTTAACTAGGCAGGTTAGGGTAATTAGATAACTTATTGTATAATAATGGGTTGTTCTGTAGACTATCAAAAAAACAATATAGCTTAAAGGGGCTAATAATACTGACCTTAAAATGGATTTTTAAAAAATTAGAGAAAAAAAGACTTTCTCCAGAAGAAAAAATATTATCAGACATACTGTGAACATTTCCTTGCTCTGTTAAACATCATTTGGGAAATATTAAAAAAAGAAAAAAACAAAAAAAAAACAAAGGGAGGCTAAAAATTTTGAAATTCTTCATACCCCTGGCAAATTCTGACTTAAAGCTTTTGTTTAAATGTAAATGAAAGTGGAGAAATATAATTTTTTACCACAATGATGTCTTTTGAACGTCAGTTTTTTATCTTTAGGAAGCAGCCTGTCATTTTCAGTAAAAAAAAAAAAAAAAACTTGCTGGTTGATTAAAAGTCTGTCTGTCCATCCATTCAACCATCTCTAATTGCATACAAAGCAATTGCAGAAATAGGATGCAAATTGTGTAACTGTAGTATTACTTCATGGTTTGTTTCCACTGACTGGTACGGTACGGTTCGGGTCGGTACGGGTCACCTTTATCAGGCTTGCGTTTCCACTACCAAGGGTACCCTTTTGGTGGGTGTGGTGTATGACAGAAAGTTTCAGTCGCGTCATTTTCACTCGAGAAAATGTCTACAGTAAAGCTGTATAGGTCGCTCACAAATCATATGAGAAGCACTTCTCACAAAACAGATGCTTCATACACATAAATACTTCTGTATAAATGTTTATTACTAGGTTATATATGAACAGGATTTGATTATAACTGCAGATCAATGACAGCGCAAAATAGCCCACTGTAACGTCTGTAATTATTTTAAATAAATAAATAAATGAACATATATGAACATATACAGACCCTTACAGTCCCCGATATGTTACCAACTACAGAAAAACTACACACAGCATACATTTAGTCCTTATTTAGGTTCAAAACAACACAAAATATAGCCCACAGTCAGAGCAAACCTCTCATCTGTGTCTGTAATCTTCAGCAGCACATGTAGCCTCTGTTAGAGAGTCATTCCATCTTTCTGAGTTCATATTAGTTCAAAAGGTGATGATAATGGTTCTCATGTGCTGAAAAAATAATGTGCTCCTTTTTTTCTGACTTCTCCTTTGTTTTTTTTCGCTTCACTCTCACGTTTGTCAGTTTCTGACAGGATCGGGTTTCAAAATCACGTCAATAATCAAGCGCACGTTATTATCATCAGCTCAAGAAGTTTGTTATTTCAGATATAGATGTGCGGCGAGCGCAAGCAAGAAAGTGAAACCGCTCGCGCTTCAGACTGGCTTGTAAAAAACTAATGCTAGGGGGCACAGGGTAAATCTGCTATTTTTTTGGCATTGTGGCTATTCATCAAGACGACGACAACGGTTTATTTGAGCCCGATCGACCATGGCTCGTTAATATATGTATATATATTAACGCTGTAAAAGGTCTCTCGGCTGTGTATTTTAAACATGGCGGCTCTTTTGTTTTCCTTCTGGCTTGTTGCGTAAGCGAATGACGTATCTCAGTAAACCAATAGCGTTCAGCTGCGCGTCTAGCTCTGCCTTTTGATACCTTTCTTGTATTTGGGACCGTTTCGAAAGGGTGCCAAAAAAGTGGTACGGTTCGGTACACCTTTTAAAAGTGGAAACGTCCATAAAAGCATACCGAACCTTACCGTACTGTACCACTCAGTGGAAACGGGCCATCATACATTAAACATAAATATAATTTGAAATTTTCTGTCCTTGCAAAACTTAATTAAGTATCCCAGACTCCATCAGACACCAGACTCCAGCATCACATGATTCTTAATTATCCTAAAATCATTGTTACTAGTTTGTATGTAAACAAGAATAAAACAAGATTTTCGAAGAGCGCTAACTCTTTACATGTCACATGATCTTTCTTAAATTGTTTTTATGTGGTGATATGCTGTCAAGATCTTTTTTTATGATTCTCTTACATTATTTAGAACTCTTTGAATAAAAATAAGTTTCATTTGAAGTATAATTTTTTTAATTGTTATTACAAATTGATTAACTGATCAATTTAGCAGATCCTTACTACAAAACAAAAATATTATTATTATTATTATTATTATTATTATTATTATATTCTTTCCAGACCTCTGTGTGAGTACACAGTGACCACAGACGTCAGTTAGCATTCTTGACCTTGTGTTTTCTGAAGTGTACAACTACAAATCATTCAGCCGAACACTAGAATTAGCATAAGTGTTTAAAGTAAACAAATGTGGTATTTTTCAGGTTCCTGGCAGTGGTTCCCTCACTAGCCGACAGTTCAGAATCTGTCTCTGGGCAGCGTCCCAACACCAGTGTGGAACAGGGGTAAGTTTCCCCTTACATTACAAGATTATAATGTGATTTTGAGTTTATTTATTTAACTGAACAAAAAATAAATCTTCATATGTGTGTTTTTGGTTAATAGGTCAGGTCTTCTCAGTACGCTGGTCGGTGAGAAGTCAGTAACCCAAAGATGGGAGGTACGGTATCTCCACTTTCAATTTTTGCTCTGTTTTGATTTTGCACTTTTGCTTATGAAAGACTCTTTATTTGCAGAGAGGAGAAATCAGCAATTTCCAATATCTAATGCATCTCAACACACTGGCTGGCAGGTCTTACAATGACCTGATGCAATATCCAGTGTTTCCATGGATCCTGGCAGACTTTGACTCAGAGGTACAAATCTGACCTTCAGCATTTCTCTTAATAGATAATACAGCAGGAAACGTAGGCAAGCACGGTCAAATCTTTCAACGGTCAAGTCTTTTAGTACATCGAGTTGTTAGATTTTGCTTTGACTTTGATTGGTGGAATGTGTGCAATAATCAATAACGTTTAACGCCTTGTGACTAATCAAAGGGTGCTAATGTGAGTTTGCAAACTAATGCACAAAATGACATAACTTTTTTTTGTTGTTGTTGTTCTTTATTTTTTTGACTTGACACACTACACTAAAAACTGTCCGACCAATGATATTGGTACCTTTGTTCACAATTGAAGATTAAATAAAATAGTTTAACAGATCACTCAATTGTTTTTTCATGGCTTGTAACCTTTTCCCACACACTATTGACCAGGGCTGTGTCCGAATTCACCTTCAACTCCAGTAGATCCTACTTTTGAATTTGAATTTATCATTATCACGTGACCTACATTAGTCAGTTGTGTCGCTTCACTCGCATTCATTTGTTTTTCATCAAGCGCCATCTAATGTCAGCGTGTGATTTTGCACACAAACTCATCACCAGTGAAAATGGCTTGGGCATGAATGGTAAAAAATGTTGGTGATTAAGAACTAGTGTTAAACATTTGAGGATGCATAAGACTTGAGCTTGAATCTTCTCTCAGCAAGTGAAATATTGTTGAATTACTCCTCAGGAACTGGACCTCAACAATCCAAAGACATTCCGAAATCTGTCCAAACCAATGGGAGCTCAAACAGATGACAGACTGATCCAGTACAAGAAAAGATTCAAAGATTGGGAGGATCCTAATGGTGAGTCGAAGTTGATGATATGCAGGTTCTTTGTGTTATGGGCAAACTTTTAAAACAAGGTTTTGTTTCTGTACAGGCGAGACTCCGGCATATCATTACGGCACTCATTACTCTTCTGCAATGATTGTTGCCTCATATCTGGTCAGAATGGAGCCATTCACACAGATCTTCCTTAGGCTTCAGGTTAGTCCATGGCCTGTTTTTAGTTTTGTTTTTTAACTTTCTTCTTTTCCTTGTTTTTTTATTTTATTCTTGAGAGAGTTGTGAAGAAAAAAAATCTCTAAATAGAGTGTATATTCATATATATATTTAAACCATTTTTTTCATGTCTCTACATTGAAAGACAATCCTAAACATAACAGGATTTGTTGCTCGTCTTCGGTTGCTAAACTTTACCCATTCTTATTCAAATGTAAATACTTTATAATAAATTATGTAAAATTAGACATCTATAGCTTCAAAAACACAGTTAGATATAAAGCCTGGAGATGAGCTGTCTCCAAATAAGCAAAGCATCTTCCATAGTTGCACAAATATTTGCAGTATTTATTCCTATTTTTAAAATTATTATTATTAATTCTGATTATTTCTACATGTTCTCATAGAGTTAAATGTGAATTTAAAAGTGTGCAGTTATCAGTATACGTCATATTCTCACAAAAGCTTAAAACTGTCGGCTTCATGCAAGTTTCTTCTGTGTTTTTAGGGAGGACATTTTGATCTGGCCGACCGAATGTTTCACAGTGTGCGAGAGGCTTGGCTTTCGGCTTCCAAACACAACATGGCTGATGTGAAAGAGCTCATTCCTGAGTTCTTCTACCTTCCTGAGTTCCTGCTCAATTCCAACAATTTTGACCTTGGTAAGAACAGGCTTGCTCAGCCTTTTTTTTTTATTTGGATGTTATTACATTGGATCAAGTTTTTTTTTCTTTTTCATATAGGGAGTAAACAGAATGGCACCAAGCTTGGAGACGTGATTCTGCCTCCATGGGCAAAAGGAGACCCAAGAGAGTTCATCAGGGTTCACAGAGAGGTAATTCACATCAAAATAAATCTTTCATGATTGACAAAAGCAGGCTCTGTGTGTAGTTTAAAGCTGGATTTATACTTTCGACTGGCGCTGACTGCGCGCACACCTCATGAAACGGACAAGGCTTTTATACTTGCTGCGTTTGCCGTTGTGATTTTTTTTAAAACAACAGGGGGCGGTCAAAAGAAACCAGTCTGATGGATAAACAGAGAAGTAGGAAGTTTCTGGGACCACGTCATATCATTAATAACATTTAAGATTTTTAAACGAATTATTTTTATATATTGTTTTAATGATTATAATGATTATAAACTGATTTTTATAACCATTCAAGACTTTTTTTAATCAAACTTTGATGCATCACTTGATTTAGTTCATATCTCAGACAGTTTTGCCTCATTCATTTATTCATTCATTGTCTTGTCGGCTTAGTCCCTTTATTAATCCGGGGTTGCCACAGCAGAATGAACCGCCAACTTATCCAGCATGTTTTTACGCAGGGGATGCCCTTCCAGCTGCAACCCATCTCTGGGAAACCGTTTTGTCTATTAAAGTTTATTAAAATATTAATGACAACAGAACATGGGTTGACAAATATATTTTTATTATGGCAGAAATAAAAGCAAATAATAGTACACTTACTAAAAACTACCAATGTTTTTTTTAGATTTAGCCCTCTCCACAAATCATACTTTATTGTCTGGCTACTTTCTGTTCTCTACATATGTTAAAAAGGCAATAATGGTCCAACATTCCTGACCATTTTCACTAATAAAGCCTAGAAAAACAGGACATCAGTATATTGTAAACTGATGGGTTCAAATATTATTTTCCAGTTATCAAAGAAATAATTTGCTCTTTAATTATAGTTTTGTAACTATTAAATTGTTTTAAACTCAAAATTGTAATATACTGTATACATCAGTGTTAAACCTATAAATAGTGAAAAAGCATATTCTGTAATTGTGTTCCTGGGTCTCCACTTTGCCATGGCCTCTTTTGGCTTCAACAAACTTATCCCTCAAGCTTTTCCAGACTTTTTAACAAAAAATTTCCTCCTTTCCCATTTCTGTTGCAATTTTTAGCCAAGAATTACTGGTCATCTGGTTATCTCTATGATCACGGACCATAAAGGTGTCTGTACAGTCACACCTGTTTCAGACAAAATCTCTTCAAAGTGATTTATATTCAACTCAAATCAAATGCGGCGCCGTGTGAACTGTTCCCTCGAGTCTCAAAAAAAAAAAAAAGAAACCCTGGTGAAATGTTGTGTGCACCCAGTAAAGCATATTGGTCATTAGGCAGAGGGTATGTGATCTTTTGTGGCTGCAAAAAACCCATATTTAAAAGTAAAGGAATTTTCTAGAAGTTGAATACAACCTCAAAACATTTTAGACATTTACACCTGTTTTTACTGTCAAACACTTGTGACTCAATAGATGAAATTCACATCTTTGTAATTTAAGGCACCATTTACAGCTGATATTTATTTCCGAAGATTCCAAGAACCACAGCAAAGGCCTCCAGAAACATGTTAATAATAAACATTTTGTTTCTTTTTTAATTTTTGTTTTGTTTTTTGTTTGTTTTCAGGCTCTGGAGTGTGATTATGTCAGTGCCCATCTGCATGAATGGATCGACTTGATCTTTGGTTATAAGCAGCAGGGTCCTCCAGCAGTGGAGGCGGTGAATGTCTTCCATCATCTTTTCTATGAGGGCCAGGTGGACATCTACAACATCAATGACCCACTGAAGGAAACCGCCACAATTGGATTCATTAACAACTTTGGCCAGATCCCGAAACAGGTTTGTGATTTCATTTTCCAAAATCTTATAAACATTTTCCAGTGAATAGCGTCTTCATAAATCTATTTAAAGTCACAGTGACATCAGTTGAGTAAAGTAATGGAAAGGAAAGTTGTAATTTGTCTCATTTAATCTAATTATGTTCATGCAATATGTGTGACTTGTGACTTGTGTGAATATGTGGGTGTTCAAATAAATTTTCCGAGCTCTTTGCAGTAATTTGTTTTATATGTGGAGCAGTAGCCTGAATAAACATGTGTGTCCTTTCTTTTAGCTGTTCAAGAAGCCTCATCCTCCAAAGCGTGTGCGCAGTAAGTCAAACGGAGAGGCGCCTGGAGGGCCTGTTACACTCAATTCCACATTAGACAAAATCTTCTTCCATCATCTGGACAATCTGCGGCCCTCTCTCACCCCTGTCAAAGGTAATACAGGTTATGTAGTCTATGAGTTATGAGTTTTACATTGGTACTTCATACTGGGTGTTTTGTCTTTTGGTTTGTTTGGTTTGGTTTGGTTGTGTGTATTGCTTTGTAAAATTTTTGTTTTGAATAATTTTGTTTTGTATTGTATAGTGTCGTTTAGCTTTATTTAGCTGAGCTGGATTAAAGTTATTTAATATATATAGATTCTGCATTGAATGTGAAATTTTTAAAATACATTCTTTCGTGAATAGATTTTTTAATAGAACATGGTGCTGTTTGACCACCATATCTGATTGGATCCCATTTTTTTTTTACAAATGCCAAAACATGAACCGAAAATAATCATTAATAATGTTAAGAAAAGTTTACGCAAAGTACATACAGTTAAAGTCAGAATTATTTGTCCCCCTGTTTATTTTTTTCCTCAATTTCTGTTTAACAGAGAATATCTTTTTAGCACAATTCTAAACATAATAGTTTTAATAACTCATTTCTAATAACTGATTTATTTTATCTTTGCCATGATGACAGTGAATAATATTTGACTAGATATTTTTCAAGACATTTCTATACAGCTTAAAGTGACATTTAAAGGCTTAACTAGGTTAATTAGGTTAACTAGGCAGGTTAGGGTATTTAGGCAAATTATTGTATAACGATGTTTTGTTCTGTAGACTATCAAAAAATAATTTGGTTAAAGGGGTTAATAATATTGATCTTAAAATGGTGTTTAAGTTTAAAACTGCTTTTATTCTGAAAATAAAACAAATAAGACTTTCTCCAGAAGAAAAAATATTATCAGACATACTGTGAAAATTTCGTTAAACATCATTTGGGAAATATTTAAAGCCTAGAGCACCATCTGCTGTTTCGCTCACAATCCATTTATGAGAGAATGACAATGCATTTTGAAAATCTCTGCATTTTGAATTGATTTTTCACAACAGCTCTATTGTTTTGTTTGTTTGTTTTTTGTTGCTATGACTAGTTTAATATTTTAAATCAAGATAAATGCAAAAGGTTTAATAACATTTAGTTTTTTATTAAAATGTGATTATTTGTACTTTATTTGTACTATTTTTTACTATATTCATAAATTAGCAATTGTAATTTTCTTTCACCCATTTATTTATGCTTTTAAACTGCATTATGGGACATTGATGTTTCTTTCAACATCTTTAAACCTTGAAAAGTTCGGAAAAGGGACATTTATTGATATTTTTAATAGTTTAGGGTGATCTATTGTTTGAGTTGGTGTTGTAAATTACGGTACAAAAACCTTGTAATAAACTGTCAGTACATTCTCTATTATTTTACAGACTTATTCCTCTATGTATTATTTCTTATACATTGTAATATTTTAAACTACTAATGTCAATAAAAGTCACTTTGTTAATCTGTAGAGTTGAATTTTCGACATCAAAATTGACAGAGCAGAGTTCAAGGTTACAATTCACAGCTGTAAAAAATCAGAAAACACTTGTGAATCATTAAATACGAAAACATAATTTATAGATATTTTTTACAGTTTAGTTTAGTATTATTAATGTTAAACAATTCAGTTATTATTATATAACTATTAATTAAACTAATTTACATTTTTGAAATAATACTTTTTACATTTTATATTTTAATATTTAAAATTTTGATAATTATATATTTTATAATACATTTAATTTAACAAAACCTTTTTATTCAAAAATACTTCATGTTCTGAATATTGGTAACGGTTGTGTCCACGCAGTGCATAGCATTTAAATGAGCTGCGCGTGTGTCATTTGTGTCTTGCAGAGCTGAAGGAGCCAGTGGGTCAGATAGTGTGCACTGACAAGGGCATTCTGGCTGTTGAGCAGAACAAGGTGTTGGTTCCTCCTGCCTGGAATAAAACTTTCGCCTGGGGCTATGCAGACCTCAGCTGCCGTCTCTCCAACTACGAGTCTGACAAGGTCATTTGCAGCATACAACTTCCTCTGTTTACTTGCCATGATTTCAGCAGCTGGTGTGAATGCCTGTCAGATGCTAAAATCCACTAGGGAAAAGAGCATCTGCAAAACATTTTACATATTCATAACATGTATATTTTGAAACGGTTGTGTTGCTTTTTATTATCACTGCTGTTTAAAGGTTTTGAGATTTTTTTTTTAAAGAAGGCACTTATTGTCATGAAGGCCACGTTTATTTGATTGGAAATTCTGTGAAAACATTGATATTATGAAATACTGTCATTTAAATAACTGTTTTCTGTTTGAATATGTAACTTGTCTTTGTGAATCCAGGTAAATTTCACTCCATGATCATTCAGAAATCATTCTGTCTATGCTGAATTGGGGCTATATTTTAATAATCTAGGCACAAAGACTAAAGCGCCGGGCACAAAAAAGCATTAAAGGCATATCCTAATGCACTATTGCTATTTTAAGGATGGAAAAATACGTTTTGCGCCACGGAGTATGGTCTAACAGGGTTGTGCTTATTTTCTTAATGAGTTATGGGAGTCTTTTGAGCATAACATGCCTTACACCAATCTCCCATTCCCTTTAAGAGTCAGGTGCGTCGCACCATGGTGCATTTGCTATTTACATGGTGGACTTTGTAAATGAAAAAACTAAATGATAAAACTGAACGCTTCGCTGGCAAAAAAAAAACAAAAAACAGTTAATTAGACCATCTGCAGCACGAGGATAAAGAACGAGCCTCCTCCATTCAGCCTATTTACACTTACTCTTTACTACTTCACTTTAGTGGATAAGGAGACGGTGTTGTACGCACTCAACTGAAGACATCCATTAGTCTACAAATTTAATTTTGTTTATTAAGCGCAAAAAAATAGTTTCAAAACTATTTCTATATTCAGTTCTAATATCCAGCAAACGAATAAATGAACTATAATAAACTGAGTTATATCCAAAGATACGTCCTATTCTTATGTCCCATATGGTGATGCATACGTCTTCAAAACCTGACAGACGGACAAATCTAAACTTGTTTTTACTAAAACAATTATAAATATGCATTTAATAAATAATACTGCTAATAATAATAACATTATACCAATGAAGATTGTTGTAAATAAACTGAAAAAAAAACCCCGAGATTAAGCATGGAGGCAGTGGTTTTTATATTTATGTAGAAAATAAAAATGTTTGTAAAATTTTAATCTTTTTATTTTTTTCATATGTAAAGATATTTGTGCATTGATATTTGTGCATTGCTGTACATCCTGTGTGTATTAAACAATGAGTATGCGTTTAGACTCGCATGGTTGAATAACTAACACACTCTGCGCTAAACTTTAGACCAGCTTTTAGTTGGTCAATGGCGCAGTCTATTTCAGTTTCTCAACACGCCAACAATGCACCTTAACACATCTCCTTTTCAGTCCAGCATGCTAATGACTGCAAAACCTGAAAATTACTGTTGCGCTGGTCTGAAAATAGCAATAAATCATGCCATACACATCTTGCACCTTATTGCACCCGGTATTTAATAGGGCCCTTGGTGTTTAAGAAAAGTTTCATATTATAATCAATACTAATATTTCAGCATTTTTACAGAAGGTGTACCTTTTTATTAGAAAGTTCAAAAGAACTGCATTCATTTCAAACAGAAATCTTTTGTAAAATTACAAATGTTTTTACTATGGCTATTAAGCATTTTATTGCCGCCTCATTAAATAAAGTAATTAATGTGGTTCTGTGATTAATTACTATTATATAAAATTATTAACTATTAAAAATAAATTAAACAGCCCAAAAACGTTTAACCAGTATTGCATTTATTTATTCAGTTTTTGATGCTTTTGTTTTTTATTTAAAAAAAATATTATAATTTAGAGGCAATTTCTGAAAGTAGCTTTTAAATTACCTGAATTATTTGAAATCTAGATTTTTTTAATGTTTCTCTATTTTAATCTTTCCACCTTCTAAACAATATCTGTAGGAATGTACAATGCTGCTTTGCCCGTCAGCTGTGAAACACATTATTCTCAATGTTTTACAGATGACTTTCATTTCTTTAGCTGTGTAGCAGTGCCCACTAGTTGTTGTGTGTGGCAGTGTTTTGTTTTGTTTTTATAGCAAAATATAAGCTTGTGTTTGTTTGGTTACTCTGTGCATTTCGTTTTCACTTGTCTGATGTTCACATGTCGTGTTTGTCTCACAGGCAGTTGTAGTATATGAGTGTCTGTCTGAATGGGGGCAGATCTTGTGTGCCATTTGCCCAAACCCCAAACTGGTCATTACTGGAGGATTCAGCACAGCCATCTGTGTGTGGGAGACCGGCTCCTCCAAAGAAAAAGCCAAGAGCCTCACACTCAAACAGGTAAATGCTCTTAGTGATCATCTTTGTGTTGTTTGATTTTATTTGTTTTCGTTTTGTGTGTTTTTAAAGGTATTTAATTCATAAATAGGGATCTATATTTATTTAATTCAATAAAACTTGTTTATTAAGAAATAATTTCTTTTTTTTGAATATTGGTGACATGTTGTTTGATTGTTTGATTTCATTTGTTTTCTTTTCGTTTGTTTGTAAAGGTCTTTAAGACCACTTTTACATTTGTTTACTAAGCCTTTTATAGTAAATGTGTTTTATGTGTAGATTAACATGTATTCCCGTGCTTCCAGGCTCTGCTGGGACACACAGACGCAGTTACATGTCTCACAGCGTCATCAGCCTACCACATTGTTGTGAGTGGCTCTCGAGACCGAACATGCATCATTTGGGACCTGAATAAGCTGTCTTTTGTGACCCAGCTGAGGGGTCACAGAGCTCCAGTCTCAGCGCTCTGCATCAATGAGCTCACTGTAAGATCACACTGATGTTTACCTGGCAACACAATTAACAGATTGAAAAGTGTTAAATCTGCATTTAAAATCCTTTTACTGTCCGAACATTAAATTAGTACTCACAGAAAACTGTGATTTATTGATTAAATAAATATTTCTATATAAATCAATGTACACATAAATTAAATTAATAGATTAAATAAATAGATAAGTTATTGATTAAATAAATAAATATATAAAGGAAAAATATTGTGAAATTACAAGTCTTAATTATGAGGACATTTCCTCTTAATCATGAGGATTTTTAAAATTATACATTTATTATTACAATACTATTGTTATATTAGTATTATTATTGTTAGAAGTAGAAGTAGTAAAAGTATATACTTTTTTGGTATGAAGTTAATTAGATCTGGTTGTTAAAACTAGTCATCAAACAAAATAAGAACCCGTAAATGTGCTTTTCCTAAAAATGAATAAATTACATTATTATGTGAGATTATTCAAGTGACTCATGTAAAGTTTGAACTACTTTTGAAATCATTTTAGTTAAAGCATTTAATAAACTCACAGAAAAATGTTAATACGGGCTCACACTTTACAGTACAGGCCACTTAATGTAATGCATTTACTAACATGAAAACAACAATAAACAAAGCTTGTACTGATTATTATTTACTAATGCAGTTGTTAATGTATTCTTGAGTTAACATGAAAAAACTAAATTTTATTTACCACCGTTAACAAAGATGATTAAATACTGTAATAAATGTATTGTTCTTAGTTTGTTTGTGTTATTAATACATGAACATATTGAATACGCTTTAGTTCATGTTTAATAATAATTATAATATACATTTATGTATCATGTTTTTTAAAATACTACATTTTATAAAGTTTATTTACTTCCCGAGACATTTATATACAAATTGGTGTTTTGAAACATCTCATTTTTACAAGGTGGGTCGTTAGTCCAACGCTCAACTCCCAACCTGGAGGACCAGGACATACATGCATACACTACGGACAATTTAGCTTACCCAATTCACCTATAGCACGTGTCTTTTGTGCTTGTGGGGAAACTGAAGCACCCGGAGGAAACCCACTGTTTTAATATGTAATATATAATAGAATTGTTGTTGTTGGCTAATTAAAAATAATAATGGGCTTACCACCTTTTATTGGTATGGTGATTTAATAACTAATATCAGTTGATTAGTTTCATTATTTAAAATGATTTTGTCATTTAATAAGCAAATAAACATAATAAAGATAATAAGAATACAATATTTGATAGCAAAATGGTATAGTTTATAGGGATAAAAAAAATCATTACAACTTATACAATGGGCGAAGCAGTGGCACAGTAGGTAGTGCTGTCGCCTCACAGCAAGAAGGTAGCTGGGTCGCTGGTTCGAACCTCAGCTCAGTTGGCGTTTCTGTGTGGAGTTTGCATGTTCTCTCTGTGTTCACGTGGGTTTCCTCCGGCTGCTCTATTTTCCCCCACAGTCCAAAGACGTATGGTACAGGTGGATTGGGTAGGCTAAATTGTCCGTAGTGTATGAGTGTGTGTTTATGTGTGTGTGTGGATGTTTCCCAGAGATGGGTTGCAGCTGGAAGAGCATCCGCTGCGTAAAAACATGCTGGATAAGTTCATTCCGCTGTGGCGACCTCGGATTTATAAAGGGACTAAGCCGACAAAAAAATGAGTGAATGAACTTAGGCAATACTTATAAATATTTTTTTTTTCTTCTTTCTTCAAAGTTTTTCTTGTTCTTGTTGACTTTTGTGTAGTTAAAAACATCTAAAACTCATGAAACTTTTTTGGTATGAAGCCAATCACAAGATTTAAGTTGCTGTAATACATACATTCAAAAAATAAGTCTGGCTTTGAAAAATCCCTCAAAAAGAGCAGTTTGTAATTAAGTGAATCATTGCTAAAGGTTTGAAAAATAAATATTTTTCTCTATTTTATGATATGCTTCAGTTTTCAGTGAACTGTGTGTGTGTGTGCAGGGTGATATAGTATCGTGTGCTGGCACCTACATCCATGTGTGGAGCATCAATGGAAGCCCGGTCGCCAGCGCCAACACTTTCACTGGCCGCAGCCAACAAATCCTCTGCTGCTGCGTCTCCGAGATGAACGAGTGGGACACACAGAATGTTATCGTAACAGGACACTCCGATGGTGTTGTCAGGGTAAAAATCCTGTCTTTAATTTACTTCTTCTTTCCATTATGTGTCTTTTAAAAGGTTTTGACAAGTCATTTTTTTTGCAGTTTTGGAGAATTGAGTTCCTGCAAGTCCCAGAAACCCCTGCGCCAGAGCCCATAGAGCCCCCCGATGTGCCAGACTGCTGTGGAGAGATTGGTAAAATATCCTCCCTCTGCATTTTTTTTGTGTCTTTAGTACCCTTATATTTCAGGCATTATGAAAGAGTTAAGCTTTTTTAAGCATTAAGACATTGCAGATTAATACATTATTAATATTCATCTTCAGCATACTGCAGCATACTCCAGTAAATCAATTACATTAAGAATTGCATTTTTGTATTACAAGTTTTCTAAAGCATTGTTTAAATATGCAAATGAGGCATTGTTTTGTTAAATATGTGATTGTGCATATTTGTAGCACAAAAAAATCTAAACTTTGCATGAAGTCAGGTTCAAAATGTTTATTTCTTTTTTATGTTTGAGTGAAAGGCTTTTGCTGAGAAGATGTTGGGAGTGGTTAATGGTTGCCTCCACAAAGTGTATTTAAATTCCTTTAATGAACAGCAACCTGTTTATTATCGCTCTCGTTCTGTGCTCATTTGCTAAGTTATAGACAGTCAACAGTAGTTTTTCTCTATGCACTGCAATATTTTACTAGAATTTATTCAGTTATGACATGATAGATCTCCTATGCCCGCATCAAATCAGCAATTACAGGCAGACTGAAACAAAGAGAGAGAGTTCATGTGTCTGTATGTAGATGATGCTGAAATGTCTAAAAGCACATATTAACCTGATTTTGAAATACATTAATAAGCTATTTTGGCGAGGCAGTGGCGCAGTAGGTAGTGCTGTCACCTCACAGCAAAAAGGTCGCTGGTTCAAACCTCGGCTCAGTTGGTGTTTCTGTGTGGAGTTTGCATGTTCTCCCTGCCTTCGTGTGGGTTTCCTCCGGGTGCTCCAGTTTCCCCCACAGTCCAAAGACATGCGGTACAGGTGAATTGGGTAGGCTAAATTGTCCGTAGTGTATGAGTGTGTGTGTGAATGTGTGTGTGGATGTTTCCCAGAGATGGGTTGCAGCTGGAAGGGCATCCGCTGCTTAAAAAACTTGCTGGATAAGTTGTCGGTTCATTCCGCTGTGGCGACCCCGGATTAATAAAGGGACTAAGCCGACAAGAAAATAAATGAATGAATAATAAGCTATTTTCTGCAATTGTTTTAGAACTTCTGATTACTTTGTCTATGAGGAAATAAACAGAATTTGCATTTATTTATTTATTTATTTTTGTTAGAGTAAAATACAGCAAAACTAAAAAAAGGCAAGGCAAGTTTATTTATACAGCACATTTCATACACCGTGGCAATTCTTTTAAAAGGCGTTTTAAAAAATGATTGGTGTATGTACATGCTGCTGGAGTGGAGATTTATGGCTCAGTGCTTTAGAAATAACAAATTCTGAGAACACATCCGGTAAGGAATGGACTAAAATGAGAATACTGGGCCAAAACCAAAATTCTGAATAAAATTATCTAAAAACTGATCCCAACAATGCTTTGTATTAGTTAATAAAATAATATATAATTATTACAAAGTAATTTTGTCAATTAATAAAAAAACACGGCATTAAAATAACCAATTTTATCAACAGTAAAATGTATTGACGCTCAACAAGACGATCATTCTAGGCATCATTTTATTGCACAGTAGTTCAATTGCAAGCTGCAGAAACAAGTAACTAAGTAGAAATGTCCTTTTGCGGTGTTATTTGAGCGGGAGTTATATCTTGCTTTTCCAGTTAGCATGTGATGTTCATGTCTAGATATGTGAAAATGTACAAGAGCAAAATATCCACAGAGTTAAATTTAACGAGCTATTTTGAACTTAAACCGTGGCATACATGCAAGTTAGTCAGCAGTGTGCTCCACTTCTCTTGTGCTTTGGTCAGCATGGCAGCAAACCACCCTTTATGTGGCACAAGCCATTGAAATGAAATGGGTTTCATAGCACAACTCTTTTCTGATGTGAAAACTGCTTTACGGCTGGAGGGAGAGTGAAACTCATCACCGCTGGGCAGTGCGGTGCAGCATAGCCTTTTTTCTCCAGCTCATAATTTAGCTGGTTTCTCTTTTGCATAACAAATGAAAATGCCTAGATAGTTTGTAAGGGACACATTAAATTTAATAGATTGTAATGCCAAAAACATTCTTCATGCCTGCAGTGTTTTGCCATAAATATAACAAGGGTCAACTGATCAGTTTGACCTGCCCCTCTGCATTATCGTACTTTCTTTTAACATTTCAATGCGGTTTCCTGATTAAATAAGCTGAGGTGTTGTTGTTGCAGAGGGTCGTGATGCTCCGGATGAGGACAGCAGTGAATCTGAAGGAGAGGAAGCCAGTCTCAGTCAGGAGCCCAAACCACGCTCCTCCAACAGTCAGCCCAGCAGTGCCGTCCACAGACCCAAACCGCGCACAGGAGCCTCCTGGTCAGTGGACAGCAGCTCTGACGACTCCCGGCGCTGGTCTGACACACTCAGCATAGATGAGAAAGAAGGCTTTGTGTTTGTAAACTACTCGGAGGGCCAGGTCAGACCAGGAGTCCCTGTACAGCCACATTCCCAGCAGCCGTCGGGGCCCTCACATGGGCCTGTCCCACAGCCTCTGCAGCCCAGCACTATGGAGGCCCGGTCCTACAACAAACTCAAACCAGGTGCAGTAGATTGATTAAGTAGCCATATATGGTGAAGTGTCCACGGTATGTTAATGTGTGTATGTGTGTATATTTCCTTGTTACATAAAGTGGTATTTTTCATGACTTTTTAAGATTATTGTGTTCCGTGACTTTCCGTTCCGTGATTTTGTATATGTAATTTCTAGTTCCACACTTATCTGAAAACCAAACTGTTAAACATAATTTTGTGGAATTCCATGTTTTTAATGTTATCAGACAATTTTTATCTGGAGAGACTTTAAATGAAATATTTTTAACTGTAAATCCTTCTAAAATTGTACTTTTTTATCAAAAGTAAACTTTAAAAAACTGTTTTAGATTTTTATCTTATATATTATCAGCATTATTATTTATGCATTTTTCTTGTTTATCATTTATTGCTGTTGATGACTTTAATTGTTAGTATATTTTTATAATTATAGAAAAGTTTCATTTATAAAATGTGGTAAACTTGAACTTTTTTTTTGCCATGACTTAGAAGCTGATATGGCAATACACTCTAAATTCTCACTCTCTCCACACATATCTGTTTTTTCCAAAACTAAAACTTGATCGTTAAATAAAAATGACAGGTGTTGAGGAAACAAATTATCATAAGAAGTATTTTCTCTTTTTCGGCTGCAGAATTTAAAGCATTTTAATTCATCTAATCCTAATTATGCAGTTTATTAGAGATGTGCCAAACCGAAACCAAAAGTTCTGAATGCACTTGGTCTAAAATCTAAATCAATAATACATTGTAACAATTATTTATTATTTTATTAAATTATATAAACTATTTTTGTAAGACTTTTTAAATGTTACTCAGTAACTTTAAAAAACTCTTGCCTTTAAAATAATAGCAGCTCCTATTTTTGGCTGTTTTTCTCTTTTAACAAAAATGGAAAATTTAGAAAAATATTAATTCGTATTAGGAATAGATCACTATATTATAATTTGAGTGTTGCATTGTCATTTAGCTAAATAGACATGGCATATATATTTAAAATGATTAAAAGCGTCTCGCTGTCAAACGTGTAAAACCTAGTGGTGTAAGTAAAGCAAGGAAGGAAGTTTATTTATTTATTTTAATATATTTTAAAAGTAGTCTACTCCAAATGCTTTGATATTTGCGTGTTGTGTGTGATAGATTTGTTCATTCATTCATTTTCTTTCGGCTTAGTCTTTTTATTCATCAGGGGTCGCCACAGCGGAATGAATTGCCAACTTATCCAGCAAATGTTTTACACAGCGGATGCCCATCCAGTTGAAACCCAGTACTGGGAAACACCCATACACTCTCACATGCACACACATACACCATTGCCAATTTAGCTTTTTCAATTCACCTACAGTATGGCGCATGTCTTTGGACTGTGGGGGAAACTGGAGCACCCAGGAGAAACCCAAACACTGGGAGAACATGCAAACTCTATACAGAAATGCCAACTGGTCCAGCCGGGACTCGAACCAGCGATCTTCTTGCTGTGAGGCGACAGTTCTAACCACTGAGCCACCGTGTTGCCATGATAGCTAAATAACATTTTTAAATAAAATGTTATGCAGTTTTATTTTTTCAATACCAATGGGCTGTATGTGCAGCTAATGTTTTTTCAGCCAACATTAAACGTCCAGTGAAAGGTTTCAATTTTATAAGGTTTCTTTTACAGCATCAACGTTGTAATCAGGGCTTTACATTAACACCCGCCAACCCGCTAAATGCGGGTAGATTTCAGCTTTGGCGGGTTAGACAGCCGCTCCCACTAGCCACTGTGGCAGGTTGGAAATCATTTTTACATTGTAGTTTTCTTAAAGCAGGGTTCGACAATAAGGATGGCCCAATATGCGTGCAAGTGTGATCTTAGAATCGAGAAGTAGCACGACTGAAAACAATAACTGTGTTCGTGCGAGACAAAGCAGGTGAATACCGCATGAGAGGATGATTACGCGCGCACAAGTGATGTGATGCGTGCGACTGTTAAAAAGCGCACGTGCGCTCCCGTTTACATGCGCTTTTTTTCCATTCACTTGCGATCGGTTCTCTTTAAAAAAAGACTAGACAAAAAATGATGCTCGTTTACCCACAGTCCTGCTGCTTTTAAGAGCTCAAGATTGAAAAATAGATAAATTTGTAAGCAACAGCAGCAGTCACTGCTTTCGTTTCAATTATGCTCAGGCACGTCATCCTTTCATTATCACTCGAGGTATGTTTTTACATGCTTTCTTTTGCTTACAGTTATTTTTGTTAATATAGTTTAATTATCATCCTTTACAATAACATTTCTTTAATATGATTAACTCCCCATTTGTGTGTAGTAACTGCTGATCTGGGACCTTTAGCCAGGACAGATTACTGTGCATATTTTAGATGCATGACAATAGATCTTTTTAAATGTTAATTAAAAAATAAAAAAAGTTTTGTTGAATAAAAAGTGCATGTATACAGCTACACATTTACTTGTTTTGACACATTTTAATATGCGGCTAAGAAATAATTTTTTCTTTTTAATGTGGTTAGAAATGAATTTGGTAAAACCTTTAATCTGAGCCCTAAAAAGTCATGTGAAATAAAAACCAATTGCAATGCGACAAAACCCATTTGCTCATGCACAGTGAGCAAGCTCATACACAACACACTAGGGTTGGGCATCTAAGCTATAATGCCGATCCGATACGCATCTCGATACAAAGAATACGATCCGATATATTAGCGATACATTTGTGACATATTGCGATGCAACACGATACGATTCACACCCATATCACGATACGATGCGATATTTCAGCACTAACTAATTAGATCAAGTTTATGAGATGATGTGAAAGAGGATGCTGTGCCATTGAATGAGTTTGATTATTTATAAACCAAGCAAAACCAAGACTTTTTTTTACAAACTGGCTCTTCTCTCAGAGCCAGAGTGTCAGTTTACAGTAGAGGGCCATTTTAGAACATATAGCACATATTATTTAAGTATTTTCAAGATAAACAGAATGTATAAGTGCAATATATATTAAAAAAATATGTATATATTTGCACTCTTTCAACATAAATAAATTTAGCATTGCACAACAAGAATTGTGATTTAACTTTTCAACTATGAAAACAAGTTTTACAAAGATATATTTTGCCACTGATTATTCAAAACTTAAGGTTGTGAACTAGCAGTGTTATGCTGCTTTGAAACATCACTGTCACTGTAAACAACAGGCTAATAAAAATATAACAAACCAGCAATCTTCTTGCTGTGAGGTGGTCAAACTACCCACTGTGCCACCGTGACACCCAATTATTTTTATCATTATTATTATTAATATTATTATTATTATTATAATTAAATAAAAATTAACAGGAGGAGGTGTTTAAAACCTTCGTTCTCCGTGACACTAGGCTGAATATCTTTGCAGATGAACAATGCAATAGCATTCGTTATTGGCGTAGAGCGAGCAGAACTGTTGCGCATGGAAAAAAAAACTTGCAATGCTTTTCTCACCACTTTTGGAGCTGGTTGAAGCAGTGCGAAAGCCGGGGATGCAGAAACACTGGAAGATGCTTTCACAACAACACCGTGGCGCCGCTTCAAGTGAGATTTCAGATTAGTCGTACTGCCCGCGTATTTTACAGATGCGCGGCACATTTTGCAAATTGCATCTGTCCTGTTATGTCGTCCATCCTTAAATCCATAATGTTGCTTGCCATACTTTAGATTTAAAACTCAGTGGGGAATATGTTTGTTTTGCTTCTCGCGCTTTCTGAGGGCGCACCACTAGCTTCATCCGCACACCTGATACACTGAGTTGTAGTGAAAGTGTACACATCCGCAAATCCGTTGCTAAGGCTTACTTTATGTAGGTCGATTAAATTATGCGCCAAAAACAGGTTGACAACACTTGTTAATAAATAAAAAATACATTCTATATTAAAAATATAAGCTGTATCTCGGAAAAATCGATGCATCTCGCAAAAACCGATGCATCTCGATTTGCTTCCAAAATTTCATTCATCCTCTGCTGCTCAACCGATGCACTCGCATCGTGCACGCGCATGACCGTGTATCGATACATATCGGTTAATCTTCCCATCCCTACAACACACACAAACAGTGAAATAAAAGAGGAGGCATGTGGACAACACAACATCTAAATCAAGTCATTTTAGCATGTCAAAATCACATTTATTTATATAAAATATATTTTCCAAGCAACAAAAGTGTGGCTAGTGAAAATGGCAAGTGGCTAGTAATGTTGGAAATCTACTAGCCCCAGTGGCTGGTGATCAAAAAAGTTAATGTAAAGCCCTGGTTGTAATGTAATTAAAATAAATAAACTTAAGCATTTATTTAGTCCTTCCAGCATAAAACAATATGATAAACTGTGTGCAGCTATTCAGCACAGAAACTCCATTGAAAATACTGGGGTAAAATAAACTTTCATATTTTAAAGAGATGGTGGGGAACAGTGGAATTAAGTAAAGTGCTTGTCTGGTCTGAGAACCACTTTATATCATATATCTACAGTATCAGGCAGTGAAGATCACTGATTTTTAAAGAAAGCACATCTTAATTGTGGTGATTTTTGTAAGGGAAAGTTCATTGGAAGCCATTGGGCTGGCTGGTTGAAAAATTAGAAGTCTGTGTGGATGTATGATATTGTGCATTGTGAAAGTTTGCTGAGGGCCACTGAGAAGCACTGAGAAGATCAGTAAATCCTAAAATTAAAAACACATTGGTGTATTCATTTAATAATCATTCAAAGGCTGTTCTCTTATGGTGTAGGAATCTTCTGATATTGTTTATGCAACTGGCAGTTTGCTTTGTGTCCTGTGCAGGCTACAGATGGGAGAGACAGCTGGTGTTTCGGAGCAAACTCACCATGCACACCGCGTTTGACCGCAAGGACAACGCTCATCCTGCCGAAATCACCGCTCTTGCCATTTCAAAGTAGGCGCTTTGTGTGTTCTGTGGGGAAATGAGAATAAAAGAGAAGATGTTTTCTGCTGTGCTTTTTATTGTTACTTAATAATAACACTGTTTGCACAGAGGATATCTAATGAATTTTGTGCAAACAAGGAAGAGGGCTGACGGCAAGCTGTTGTTGTGTTTTCAGAGACCACAGTAAGATTCTGGTAGGTGACGGTCGAGGGCGAGTGTTCAGCTGGTCAGTGAGTGATCAGCCGGGTCGCTCTACTGCAGATCACTGGGTGAAGGACGAGCAGGTGGACAGTTGTTCTGGGTGCACCGTCCGCTTCTCCCTCACCGAAAGACGCCACCACTGCAGGAACTGTGGACAGGTCTTCTGCCAGAAGTAAGGTTATGTGCAGTAAAATGTATCATGTGCAAACAACACAATTTAATTAATGAATGAATTGGTTTATTTAAATTTTATTAGTTTATATAATTAATATTTTAGAATAAAAGGACTACTTCTGTTGCTGTTTTTTTTTTTTTTTTTGTATTTTTGTGTGGTTGTTTTTAGATGTGTGTTGTTGTTGTTGTTTTTAGGCATATACCAGTTGGATTTCTTTTGGCTGATCCTGATTTTAACAAAAAACTTTCAGCTGATTAAATACCAAAATTGGTCAATTGCAAACAGTAGCATACATATTTATTTAATAAACTTAAGTAATGAAAACCAGTGCTGTTGCTATGAGTAAATTATACATTTTGCTATTCGCTAAACTATTACATTTTGTTCAGATTAAGTTTAGATTTTAAAAAGTATTTAATGGTCTTGCTATGAGAAAAACATTGGATTATTCAAAAGAACTGCAGCTTATTTTTGTGTGTGTAATTAATAGTCAGTATCAAGCTTTTTCTTATTATTGCTGATACAAAGATAACTTTCAGTTGATGAATATTGGGGGTTAATACATCTGTGCAACTCTGTTAATTAATTAATTAAATAATTTTTATTATATTATATTATATATTATTATATTATATTATATATTATTATATTATATTATACTACATATTTTGCTGTTTTTTTATTTGTGTTTTCTTGTTTTGTTGTTGTTTTTTGTATTTTTGTTTTGTTTTGCTGTGTTGTTTTTTGCTTTGTTCTAAGTTTGTTTTGTAAATTTTTGTGTTTTTTTTTATTTTTAATTTTTTACAAAAAGTGTTTAAAATGACTTAATGTTGTCGTTTATAAGTCTATATATTATCTTGTTCTATTAATTGGAAATGGTCCAACAATTTTGTTCACATTTGCTGCAAATTCTTTTAAATCTTTTGATGACTAAAATGAGAAAATTAACTTTGTGTTTAATTTATTTGTTATATTATTACTTTTCATACCAGCTGAAAACCACTGTAAATATTTAGTTTTTGTTTTTCGTTTTTTAATAATTGAAATAATTGAATTGCATACAATCAGTAAGCTCTATAATATATTACATTAGCATTATATTCAACATAGTTTCAGAGTCTACATTTTCAGCTCTTTTTCAATGTTTCACAGTTCATTGTTTGTTTCCCCTCAGGTGCAGTCGCTTCCAGTCTGAGATCAAGCGTCTGAAAATCTCCTCTCCTGTGCGAGTGTGTCAAAACTGTTACTACAACCTGCAGCATGAGCGCAGCTCTGAAGAAAACCCCAGAAATTAGATCACCCTCACCCACATCCCATCCTCAACCTTCCAAAACACCAACCACCCCCCCCCCCCCCCCCCCCCCGCCCCCTCAAAAAAACACATAGTTCATCACTCCCACCGGTAAAGCACTGACATAGACCAAAATGAGGTCACTAATGCTCCTAATTTCATATATCACAGAATCGTGACCATTAAAGAGAGACGATTGTTAGTTTACTTTTCCATTCACGCAGTTTTCTTTTGGCAGTATGCGCCGTCATCTCATCGCCATCAACATTTAGATTTTAGAAAAAGCAATGCGTATAAAACTCTTCTCGAGATGACATTTGTTAATATTGTAAATACTTACAGTGACATTTTTAACTAGAAACCGTCAAACAAGAAGTCATTATTAAGAGATAAAAAAAAAGATGAAATCAAAACACAACACTTTGCTTGTAAAATAGTATTACAGTATGATAAAAATCACTCCTGGCTTTAAAAGAACAAAACATGCGAGAAAGAGAGATAGAGAGAGAGAGAAAGAGTATGTGTGAGTGTGTGTGTGTGTGTGTGTGTGGTCAACATCACAAGTCACAGCATCCCAGTGAGAAATAATATTGGGGACTATGAATGTTGATAAATATTTGTGGGTTGACATTACTAGCTTGTCTAGTTATGCAAATGCTTAACTATTATATTTGTTTTATGTGTTTTATTGAAGTGTTGCCCACAGTATCAGCCAGTTGCCATTCTGACTACTTTAGTTCACTTTTTGTTGCCAAACTGCCTTGATCTGTAACTACGATTATATTTCTTAACAGTCATATATAGGTCAATGAAAGTATGTAAATGTTGATTTTAGATTAAAGACTGTTGTTTTTATTGACAGGATTCATTCACAAGCTCGTAGCCAGCCTGGTGAAAGGGGTGGTTCTTTTTTGTTAAAAAGACCTTTATAGACCTTTTTACAGCTATTCGCCTCATTTTCTATTTAATTGCGAACTTAAGTATTTCTAGTTTAAATAGCTACTGCATTTTAGTGACATTTAAAGCACTATTTATTTCTGGAGTAGCTTGTCAGGTGGTCATTATAACTACACTTTTTGATGTAATAAAACATTTGCTAAAGATTTAGAATGGAAAAGAAATATGAAAAAAAAACATATTTATACATACTATTTTCATCGTATATCATTAGAGAAAAAAGGAATCTGTTAAAGTTTTACATTAAAAAATGCTTATTAAGGCTAACAGCCCATTCACACAGGGCGTCAGTATCAACGCTTCCCATTCACTTTGAAAAAGTGACAACAAGCGTTGCCAAACTGAATTGTGGGTCCATTGTCTGCTCGCTGCAGAAGTTGGGATTTTCTCAACTTTTCAAGTGCCAATGAAAGTGTCAGCCAATCAAATCGCTTTATGCAAATACCAAATAGACAGTAGTCGATTGCAGGCTAATTTTTTTGGCTGACGCTGCTATGACGATCACGTCAGACCCAACTTTAGACACGCCCTCCGTCAAGCGTTGATGCTGAAGCCCCATATGAATCGTGTGTGAGCCTATTGTCTTTTATTTATTAAGTAACAAACTGGCAAGCACATTCAATTTGGCCACTTGAATACAAAAAAATTACACATGATAATAAAAATAATAATAATGTAGAGCTTCACAATTTTTCTAGTCTCTCATGTAAAAAAAAGTACATTTGAAAATTGATTGATAACAACAATAGCCTAATTTGTATTAAAATGACCTTTTAGATGCTTCAAAATTTACTTTTAGTGCTTTAAACCATTTTATTGGTCATTTTTTCTTTAAAAAATAAGGCTAGAGATTGAGAATAAAAAATGTTTACTCTATTTGAAAACAATACTGTAGGTCAGTGATTAATGACTTCACCTACATTAAAGCAGGGATGTCAAACTCAATTCCTAAAGGGCCGCAGCTCTGCACATTTCAGTTCCAACCCCTAATTAAGTCCTTCAGGCTTGTTTGAAACCTACCAGTAAGTGTGTTGAAGCAGGGTTGGAACTAAATTGTGGAGGTCTGCGGCCCTCCAGGAAATGAGTTTGACATCCCTGCGTTAAAGCCTTCGATGAGTTATTTTCACAATTTATGATGGCATAGCAGTCAAGATAGGACAAATGAGTGTATGTAAGGACAAATTCTGGACCTTTCTCGGTGGAAGTTGGGTCCTTCGAACCCCCCCTGGCCACGGGCCTGATTAATACTTTAAAGTCGGTGTGAAATAAATTTTAAATGCTTATTTTGGAAGTACTTTAGGGTTTTTTTTTGGCTGAACGATTAATTGATAATCTTCGATCAAAATCTGAACATTGGCCTTCGCGTTCGGAGTGGTGGTTCTTCTCTATTGACGTTATTTTGACGGCTTCAGTCATGATATTCTTAAGCACACCCCTCTTACGTTAGTTTGCTGTGAGGGAATTATGTGCAATAGAAAGCCCCGCCCCTTACTTAGTATTCCATTTTAGATAGAAGTAAATCAACATACCGAAATAAAAGTCTCAGCAACTTCCGGTTCACGCAAACTTTAAACGATTTCACCACCTGTCTAATAGAATGTTTTAGAGAAAGATTTCACCACCTTTCTACAAGAATGTTTAAAAAAGTACTGAAAGACTATAATTTGAATCAAGTTTTGATCATGCATTGCAAAGCTTTGTGTTGATTCTTTATCTGTCATTCATAAGCATATGAATAGGACGTCTTAAATCTTAGTTTAAGGCTTTGTTTTTTATTAAGAACGTGCATTTTATTATTTTCACTCTTCAAAACTCAGTTTGAACCATTTGCGATGTTGCACCAGTGTAAATGTCTGTAGTTTACGATAGCAATAGTTACTGATGTTTTCGCTCCACACACATTCAATGAATAGCCGCAGCTTGAACATTACAGTGTGTAAAGAAAAAGGGATTTGACGGACTGTACGCATAGTTTCTACGTATTTAAGATGAGACAAGCCTGCGAAAGAGAGCGTTTGTTGTTTTTGATTTATTGATTTGATACTGTGGGCAATACTCTTATTAAAAGTGCTGCTTTGATTAATAGAGAGATATTTTTTCTCTTTCTTTCCTTAAAGGGTCTGACACTCACAAGTTTTAGAAAAAAGATGAAGATTTTGTTACATTTGCAGTTGTTTTATTCACCGTTGTATGCCAGCCTAATATGCACTCGTTATATAGCTGAGTTATTCTTTATTAATGTACTGTAAATCTGCGTGCAATCGTAACATCATGAAGCTGTTGGGATTTTGCTGTCGACAAGCAGCTCATAGATCAAATGGCTATATCAATCGGAAATTATTTTTGCACCTTCGCGTGTAGACGAGATAAAGAAATGGAGGATTCCCTGTTTTATCAGATGCGTTTTTATGTTTTGAAAGGCTGCGTTTCTTTACAGTGAGATGATCTGTACAAAGTATTTATGCAATTCTAAGGTTTTCTTTTTTTACGATTCTGACTCTTTTGTTATTTCTCAGCAAGTTCGGTTACTTGTTGCATGTCTAACACCGCTGACTTTCTGTGTCAGTGTATTGTACATGTTTTGGCATTATGTTTTATGAGTTTTCTCTCCTTTTTTTGGCTCAGTTTTTATTTGTTTGGCATTATCTAACGAGTCGATCCTGAAGGTTTTGTGTACAGTTTTAGACGGATATACAGAGAACATGTCCCACGACTCTTGATCGACTTTTATATTGTATGTATGGATGTTGAGGACTGATCGCAGAACTGATTGTCCCTGTTTTGTGGTCTTGTGATAGACTGCATTACTACAGTATCTAGTGTGCAAAACTGTGGTAGCTGAATGTTCATTGTATATTTGTGTTGGAAAACAATGACATGAAACCCCCTTCCCCCATAAATAACCTGTTATTATGACGCAATAGATATGGTACTCATACTTTTTAATTTAATTTCAATTAAATACTTGCTGTTTACCACCACCGGAGTCCTCAAATGAGTTATGTATTTATTTATTTTTCTAGCAGTGTCATGCACAAAGGTGAAATATAGTAGGCCAAGAAGTGCAGTAAATAAAAATGGCAGATTTATGGTTGACCAAAAGAAAAACACTTAGCATTTTGCTAACAATTAACTGGTAATGTTAGTACACCTTAAGATAGCACGTTAAAAGAACTAATATTTGTTTTGTACATTTACAATACACTAACAGCCACCAAGAACAAGTGCTGATGGGAAGCCACATTTTGAATCAAAGCTCATCATGAGCTGCTTTTCCACAAGCTTTAAATCATACAATAATCCTCGACCTAAAAAATATGGAACACTTTACTTGAAGGGGATGTTGATAAGATTTACAATCATGACATGACACGGATATGAATATAAAGGAGGTTTTATGAATGCTTATGACAACAGTCATTAAATGTCATCATCTCAGTTATGTCTTTTTAAAGCAGATGTTTGATGTGTCTTTGACAACTTGACATTACCAAGGCAATCTCGTCATAAACCTGTCATAAACATGATTTTCATGAGGTTAATGTAATTAAGCTATTCGTATTTTTTGATCACTTTAAATAAATTTCTCAATTAAAGTGTTAAATAAATTTAGAATAGTGCCATCTATGTTTAAGGATATTTTAGTGACATCTTGGATTTGTACCACTGTAGTTGAGGTCAAGACAAATATTAACGATATTGACACTGTTATAGTAACAATTAAAATCATGACATGATTGTTATGGCCTCATGACATTCATGTTTAGGACTGATTTATGAAAAGTTATGTTGTCTTGGTAATGTAAAAGATTGTCATGACAAAGACACTGACAGGTTTTGTTGTCTTCGTAATGTCAAATTGACAAAAAATCTCAAACAATGTCATATTTGCATTTAAAATGACATAACTGAGCCAATGATACTTAATGAAAGTTGTCATAATCTAATTCTTACTGATGACTAGGCCCACATGGAATCTGTGGATTTCTGCGGATTTTTAGCCCATCATTGATTCTGTTTATTTACTTGAGTAAATGTGTCTACATCTATATTTACTCGGTTTTTAAATTAATTACAGTAATATTATTGACTAATATGAAAATGTTTATCTGATTTATGTACAATGCAGTTTGTAAAGTAATATTTTCTGTCTTTTAGTAGATATATGTGAGACTTGCTTTGTTTACCAAATAAAGTGGATCTAATTTATTTTAAATATGGAATAAAAGTTTAAAAGATATTATTTTTTATACTCCAGAAAAAACAAACAAAAACGCTCTGGGGTAAGCTCAAATGTATGGTCGATGCTCTTTGGGTAAGGAATTCATCAAAACAGCAACAAGAATCAGACCTAAATATGTGAAATAAAAAATAAATTCAACAAGAATCAGTCCAAGGCACTCGAATAAAGTGAAAAAATTAAAAAGCCTTTATTCACAGGGCTAAATCTCTAAAAACCTACGCGTTTCGGCAGAAGTCTGCCTTCATCAGGGTAACGAATAATGAACGCGTAGGTTTTTAGAGATTTAGCCATGTGAATAAAGGCTTTTTAATTTTTTCACTTTATTCGAGTGCCTTGGACTGATTCTTGTTGAATTTATTTTTTATTTCACATATTTAGGTTTTGGTTATGATAATCCCAAAATAATTCTGCAGAAATTTGCAGATTTTTACCAAAATTCTTGGCAGAAATAGCAAAAACGTGCGCACTGTCTGGCCCTGCGGCATGTCATTATTATACAGGTTTCAAAACAGTCTTTTGAACACCCTTTCAAGTAGTGTTACCAAATATTTTACCGTAAAGCGAAATGAATAAGTTTCACAGGGAATTTGGGGAACATCATTGTACGTTTTTTCACATTGCGTACCCTTTTTTGTGCATTGTCAGGATTACTCTCAAGATTTTAGACTTTTATCTGTTTAGTAACAAGATTGATTAAGTAATGGTCTTGGGACATAAGGGATTGCTCACCCAAAATTGAAAATTTACTCACTATTTATTGACTCTCAAGTGGCTCCAAACTCTGTGTTATTTTTTTCTGAATACAAAAGAAGATATTTTAAAGACAGTTCAATAGTTAAGAGTTCCAACATTCATACTTCAACAGAAGAAATACAGTTAAATTGGTTAGGAACAGGTAAAGAAAGTGTGAATAAATAATGACAGCTCTTTAAATGCTGCAATGTAAGCTAAAGAAGATGTTAAAAATACTTTACATCACTGACTTTTCAACTGAACAAATTACATCAAAGTTGAGTTGTGGTCAAGCTGTTGAGTTTATGGTTTTAAAGAAGTGGAAAACAGCAACTGCAAAGCCCAGTGTTTGATGACTGGTTTGCTGGAACATGCTGAATACTCGTTTGTCAAAGAGACAATCTATTAGAGAGTGGAACATGAATCTCTCAGACTGTTTGCAACATGTGTGTATATAGGTGTTGAATAAGTCTTTGTGTGCCATCTTAAGAACGTAAATGAGAGATAATTGTGCAATCCTAAGTGACACATCTGTTTACTACAGTATATTATTAGAATAACCTTTGTTAAAACTGAATGAATACAGCATAAAATATAATAAAGCATCTTGACATTTCGTGTTGCATACAGTAAATGGTAATAAAAAGTAAGCTGAAGTCTTTATTGATTTTGAATCTACTGGGTAATCTTATGGAACTAATTATTTGTAATAATCTCTCATCTAAAGAAGAGGTTAAATCAGGCATGTCCAAACTCCAGTGTCCTGCAAAGTTTACTTCCAACACTAATCAGACACACCTGGGCTATAGCTAATCAAGCTCTTACTAGGCTTTCTAGAAACATCCTTGCCGGTGTGTTGAGGCAAGTTGGAGCTAAAATCTGCAGGACACCGGCCCTTCAGGACTGAGTTTGGACATCCCTGGGTTACATGTACAATGCAGTAAAATCACTTTCATAACTTATGCCCCCTGCAGGATTTACTGTAAATGAAGTGTTAGTCAGAACGACTGCCTTCGTCATGTTCACTTTGACTGTATGGGGAAAAAACTCAGGGAGTGTGAATGATTGCTATTCGGCCATCAATCTCATTTCATGGTAAACAGAAGAAAAAGGTTAACGCCTCCTAAAAAACTAGAATAAAAAATTTGTCATTGCTCCCTATCTAGGCCTATTTAATAATGTTGAAGGTCGGAATTTTGTAATGCTGTTTCTGAGTGGCTGATTTCACTCATTCATTTACTACTTTATTTATTTATTTTTTATTTATTTATGACTTTTATGGCAAATTACAGTAAAAAAAGAAGACAAAACAAAATTATATTTCAAAAAGTATAGATAGTATCAACTTGAGCACATACAATAAGGCAAAACAAGCAAACTAAAAAAAAAAAAAAAGCCATACCAACAAATAAAAAGGTAAATAGAAATGTGGCTCAACAGAAACTACAATTGTACAAATTGAAGCACAAAATACACTCTACTTTGCACTTAGAAAAGAAAAAAATCTATTTGCTGGAATAAGGATTTGGTCTGTAGTTGACAATAAAACATGTTCTGGGATATAATTACTAAATGGGTCCTAAATTTTCTTAAACTGGTTAGATAAACCTCTAGTGCAGGGGTGGCCAACCCTGTTCCTGGAGAGCCACCTGTCTGCAGATTTCAGTTGCTACCCATATCAAACACACCTGAACCAATCAACTAGGACCTGAACACCACGTGATAATTACAGGCAGGTGTGTTTGATATGGGTTGCAACTGAAATCTGCAGGAAGGTGGCTCTCCAGGAACAGGGTTGGCCATCCCTGCTCTAGACAGTCTAATTTTTTCCAACTTTACAAAGAAGAGGACATCACGGATCCACTGTGTTGGGGTTGGAGGTTTCTGATCCTTCCACCTTAGCGATATTAGTCGTTTGGCCAGGAGCACAATAAAAGCTATGCAGTCAGATTGTATTTTTGAAAAGATTATATGACAGGCAAAATTCCTGTGGCAATCAGTAGGCAAGGGGAGATAGATATTCCCAAAAAACAGATATAGTTTTAAAAAAAATAGTGTCCCAAAAGTAATTTAGCTTTATACAAGACCAAAACATATGTGCCTAAGTGGCTGGGGTGGAATTACAGTGATTACAGGCTGGATCTACATGCTGAAAGTGCTCTGAGAGCTTTAGGTTTTTCCAGTGTACACGATGCACAATTTTGCACTGCAGAAGTCCATGTCTTGCACAGAGGACTTGTGAATTCTGTATAAGACTGATTCCCAATCCTCATCTGAAATTGTGATTCTCAGATCGTCTTCCCAACAGATTTTATTTGGGAATGGGGTGTATCAGTTGGTGCCATAATTTTATAGTAAAGTGATGATATTATTCCTTTCGAAATTGTGGACCTCCCCAGAAAGTTATCAAATGAGGAGCTAGGAGGCGATGCCGGAAAATGAGGGAACATTTTACGCACAAAATCGCGAATTTGGAGATGACGGAAAAAGTTGTTATTTGGAAAAATAAACTTTTCACATACCTGCTGAAATGAAGAGAAAATTCTCTCATGGTATAAGTCATTTATTTCAGTAACACCTCTAGTATGCCAGAACGCAAATGATTTATCAATTATTGATGGACTAAAAACATAGAACGAATGGGAGATTTTGAAGATATGGTTTGCCAACCAAAATGACGTCTAATTTGTTTCCAAATGTTAAGTGTGGATCTTACCATAAGGGTAAATTTGTCATAAGGGAAGGAAAGGAGAGGAGGAGCAGGAGCTCCTAAGGGAGGAGCAGAAACTAAGGCTGCTAGGGAAGAGGACAAGCATGAGGTAGACTCGATGGCTATCCATGATAAAGCATCAGCCCCAGGATCTTCGGAAACCCAGTGAAGTATAAGACGAATACTTGCAGCCCAGTAGTAACATCTAAAACCAGGTAAAGACATTCAACCTATAGACACAGGATATTGCAAAAGACTTTTACGCATTCTAGCAGGTTTACTATTCCTACGAAGAAAGGAATTAGGGATAAACACTGGGATTCATTGAAACAAATAGATGAACTTAGGTAGCACTTTTATTTAAATAGTTTATTCGACCTGCGACTGATCATGGAAACAGAGGCCCAGCGCTTTAAATCTTGTTCAACTCGCTCCAGTAGGAAGATAAAGTTTTCAGCAAAGAGCTTAAAATAAGCATTAGATAAACGTATGCCTAGGTATATAAATAAATTTGATATCTTGAATGGAAAAGATTTAAAGGAAAACTCACGGGCAGCATTATTCATTTACTACTTTATACCCATCCAATTATTTCGAGCGTACATCTGCTATAAACTTGAAGCACAGTTTCCTATTATCCAATAAAGGAAAGGAAAAATGCAACAAATGCAGCAGCAACCTACTGTCACATTATAGGCCAAGTTTACCTCAGATTCAGCTCAAGGACAATGGAAACACTGGGAAAATAATTATGTAAATAGAAACTAAGCTAGCAGTAGGTGGCTTCAAGTCACTGTTCTAATTTGATTTGATTCCTTCAATTATTTACAAATCACTTTTATGTACAAAAAAAAAAAAAATTTGATTAGGATTGAAACACGAGAATAGGTGGATTCGTTCACTCTGAAATGCCTGCTCAATGAAACTGAAATGTCTGGTTTTAAACCACAATATTTTATTAGTATGATGTAGAGCCTCCTTTTGGGGCCATTACAGCATCAATTTGTCTTGGGGATGACAGATACAAGTCCTGCACAGTAGCCAGATGGATTTTGAGCCATGTTTCTAGCAGAAGAGTGGCCAAGTTATGTGATGTTGGTGGAGTAGAACGTTTCCTGACTCGCTCCTTCAAAACATCCCAAAGTGGCTCAATAATATATAGATCTGGTGACTGTGCATGCCCTGAAATATATTCATCTTTAATTTCAGGTTTATCAAGCCACTCTATCACCAGTCTTGCTGCGTGTTTTGGTGCATTATCAACCTGATACACTGCACTGCCTTCAGGATACAATGTTTGAACCATTGTGTCCACATGGTATTCGAGAATGGTGTGGTAGTCCTTGGCAGCGACGCACCCATCTATCACAAGTATTGATATTGCAGCCCAAATCATCACTAATCCACCACCAAGCTGACTCTGGGCATGGGTGGTACACTTCTTTGGAGCTTGTCCACACCATAACTCTCTCGGATGTAGGAAAGACAGTGAAGATTGGACTCATCAGAGAAAAATGATTTTTCCACAGCCCATGATTGCCGCTGCTTTGGCATTAGCACGAGTGACCAAAGGTTTTGGCTCTTGCAGTCCGGCCATGTGCAATCATCATGTGGAGCTTCTGTTGAACAGTTTTGGTGGAAACGGGAGAGTTAAGGTGCACATTTAATTCTGGGTCCACAGTTACTCCTGTTGGTTGTGATTCTTCTTCTTGGTGGTATATGCTGACATTACCTTGGATACTATTGCTCTTGATACATCGCAAAAACTTGCTATCTTGATCACAGATGTGCCAGCGAGACACACAAAAACAGTTTATTCTTGTTTGAACTCTGATATATCATCCATAATGTTATGTCCATTGAAATATATTAGGCAAAATTGTGCAATTTCTCTGGTAATTGACCCTTTGCTAAGCCACACCCAAACACCGCCATCCACCAATTATGGCTTAGCAACCGTAGCTACGCGCAGGGGCTCTGTCAAGCTTTCGAGCGAGGGACACAGACCAAAGCGATGTGCAAATGGATTGTGCAAATCTGACACCCGGTATCCTAAAAGTTTGAACAGGATGGTGGAATGTTTTCCCTTTTCAAAACCAAAAACCCAAGAGAAGAAATGCCAGCGTGGATCAAGCTATGTGAGAGGCGCTAAAGGAGCGGAGTTAAGGTTAAACATTAATTTATTTTACGATATTCACATTCAGTGATAGACCGACGACAATAACTCTCACACCTCTTACCCTAAACAGAACTAAACTGTGTTTCCTCCAAAAACACAAAGCAGGTTATGTTTCCCAGCTGTCTTTTTCTTTTTTTTCCGCTCGATATTATGAGCAACTTTTCCGTTGAAGCCTTCACCATAGTAACTTAGTCATACTAATAGCGAATACGTCCTAATGACATGAGTTATTGATAGATATTGAGTTATTGACAGTAATAAGCAACTTACTGTAAATTGTATCATTGACAGAGTCAATGATGCTAATATTCAGCACAAAATCCATCAGTTTCCCCTTTCTGGCGGCTCTTTCTATGAATTAATTATGTAGAAGCACTGTCCATGCGTGTCTCCTTGTTGGTGTGTAACGCTATTTTTCATTGCACAACAATTAGTCTATCAGGCTTTTTGACTAAAAATAGAGAAATCATGGGTTCATTTAGATTATTTTTAAATTTCACCTCTCCTGCTGTGCATGATCTAAGCTGTTGAATGGTCAGCATATGAGGCGGCTAGGCTAACCTAGCTTTAATATTGATTGAATTTTTCTCTAATCCGTTGCCTATTATGTTGTGAATATACCCCTGTAATGCTTACTGCAGTCCTTTTTTGTCTGGCTTTCTCGGATATCTCATCTGTTAGCCAAAAATGACATTATTTCCCTGGCAATTTCTGACACCAGGGCATACACATTGTAAAAGACACGAAAGCCAGGCACGAAAGCTTGACAGGCGTAGCAAAACTAACTAAGGAGAGTGGGGCTTAGCGAAGGGTCAATTAAACCTTAAACCTTCACACCCTGCTCTTACTAGTGGAACGTGCAATCACTGAAGATTGGCCACCAGGCTGGTTAAATTTATTCATGAAACCTCCAACATAAAACTGGCCAGTGTTTCAGTCTCAGGGGGTTCATGCACACCAGAAGTGCCATTCGGCCATGCAGTGCCATACATTTTAGAATTCTAAACATAGGTTAAGAGACATGTTTTTATGGGTAGGTTTAAAGTGTTGGATCAACACTTGTGATTATAAGTCAACACAATTTGCAATGGGTCAACACTGTAATTATAAAGGTAATTACAGATTTTAATTACATGTGTAATTACATGCAGATACTTTTTAAGGCCTGCAATGTAAAAACATGTACATATGTTCATTGTACCAAATGCTTTAAATGTAATTACATAGTAATTACAGCCACAACATACAGTTGGACCCCTAGTTGTTAATGTTTGATCAGTAAAATCATCTGCTGTTCTACAAAAAAGTCCTCCAGCTCAATTCACAGGATCCTATTTTACCAGTTTTCAACAGTGGCTTTGTTTTTGACATTTATCATATTCGAGGAACATAAAAACTCTACATGAAATAAGAAGGGGATTAAATTTTAAACAGAATTGAATGCATGTCTTTCTTGTTTTATTTAATTTGTTTGCATTCAGTACTGCGCTTCAGCAACATGTTTCTCAGAAGACAAAGTGTATCAATTCTTCTTTTGAAAAAGCTCATTGGGTTGTCTTTTGGAGTTTCAGAAATCTTCTGTATAGAAACATCATGGAAAAATACTACTTGTCTCTGCACTTGTCTTCATATGGGTCTGCTAATAAACTCAGCAGTTGGTCATGATGACAGAGCCTTGAGGAAAAGAAACAGCGACTGATTTCGCTGACTTCGAGCTCCAGCCGCAGAGTGGAGCAGTGTTTCCTCTTTTATATGTTGAGTCACTGGGTGAGTGAGCGAGGTAAAGAGAGAGAGAGAGGTTGGTCTCTCACTTAACTAACAAAACAGCAGTAGTTCTGCGGGCATAAACAAATGCACGACACGCAGGCTTTCTGTCCCTCCACCTGCCGCGAGAGACTCTTTGATGGTCGGGTAAATTAGCCGGATTACCAAGAGTGACACATGCCCGCGCTCTGCTTCATTTAACGCGGACCTCCGACATTATCTATGTATTATTTTGACTGAAATAAGACAAAATGACGGAGCTGAGACGGCGAGGAGGAGGGGACCAGGACAGCGCTGAAAACATCAGTGACAAGGTAATATTCTCGGTTCATTCAGCTTTATTTCCCTCAATCGACTGCGAATGACCTTCTAAGCTAAGCAGCTAACGAGCGACCAGTCAGACCGCTTTAACCTGAGCTTTTATGACATGAAAAACAACTCGCTGAAGGTAATGTTGGGATTGTTTGTGGTGACATTCGTGTTAAGGGAGTGCTCCTTTAATTGATTTCATCTTTAAACGGTCGCTTGCCTAATGTGAAGTTGCTGAGCCAAACACTCTCCAAAGCCAGAGTCAGTGGCTGTGTCGCAAAACCAAGTGAGCAACCTACATAGACAGCATTTTTGGGCATCGTAGACTCGTCTGGAACATTCTGAGCACTTGAGTCATCTTATAGCAAACAGTGTAGGTACTTTAGACATACACAACGTTACTGTAAATGTAAAGAGTGGTCAGAGTTTGTTTGTCATAGAGTTGCTTCATATTAGCCTATTTAAATTAGAGTTCAGGATCTATGTCATAAATAAATTGCTATTCCCAAAACTATAATAAATAGTCATTATTTAATCACCCATATGTTGTTAGAAACAAGCATGCTCTTTACTGTGGTACACCAAAGCAGAAGTTGGCAGAATGACAGGAGCGTTCTCCATTCATTTACAGTGCATACAGTGAAGGTGAATGAAGTGCCATATAAAGAAAGTTGTGCAGTTTAGAAAAAGAGAGGAGAGTTAGTTAATGAGGACATTGTTATTTTTGGATGAATTATTCTAAGGTTATCCAAGTAGGCTGGTAGGGCATCCCCAGCATTAAACATATGCCAGAGTAATTGGTGGTTCGTTTCGCTGTGGCAGGGACTAAGCAGAAGGTAAGTGAGTGAGGTTTTCCAAGTTTTTGTTTTGACTATGTTTAAACAACATTTTTAGTTTTCATTTTTTAAGATGTTTTATTATTGTACACCTTATTAATAGTATGGTTAAAATTGAGTGTTGCCAATAAAAGAACTGTTCACCCAAAACCTCAAATCTACCCACCGACAAGTTGTTCTAAACTTTTAAACGTTTTCTTTTTTCTGCTAAACACAAAAATAAGACATTTTGAAAAAAAAAAATTGTTAACCAAAAAGTTTATGGTCCCCATTGCACTTGGGGAAAAATTACTATGTGAGCGAGAGGGGACTAACAACGTTTTTTTTTTTTTTTTTTTGTGATAGAAATTGGTACAGGTTTGGAACAAGTGGAGAACAAGTGAATGATTGCATTTTTGAATGAACTATTCATTTAAGTGAAGGTATGGGATAGAATTATGGGATGCAAATTGTGGTCATGAAGAATCAATATGTTAATTAGGGCTGCGCAATATATCATTTCAGCGTCAGTCGCATCGATGTGATCATTCGCAATAGTCACATTGCGAGTAGGCGCAATGTTGACTGGATTATCATTTTGCAAGTTCTTTTTTATATCAGTGACTGTGTGAAGCTTTTAAATGTGTAATTGTACCATTTTTAAATTAATAACGATTGCTTTTATTAAATTGTTTATAAAATGAATTTTAATTTGTATCTTTTTCTTATTTATTTTATCTATGCTTGTAGATTGTTGTTATATTTTGTGCACCCTTTATAGAGAATCATCCCAATCAATCTAAAATTATAAATTATTTCCAAGTAGTTATTCAAGTCATCTAGCGAAATTGTATTCATATTGCAATATATATCGCAGATTAAAAAAATATCACAATGTTAGATTTCTCCAGTAGCGTGCAGCTCTAATGTTAATGTTAGTTTAAATATTAATAAACTCAAAATTGTCGTCACGGTGGCGTAGTGGGTAGCACGATCGCCTCACAGCAAGAAGATCGCTGGTTCGAGCCCCGACTGGGTCAGTTGTCATTTCTGTGTGAAGTTTACATGTTCTCCTAGTGTTGGAGTGGGTTTTCTCTGGGTGCTCTGGTGTCCCCCACAGTCCAAAGACATGCTATAGGTGAATTGAATAAGCTAAATTAGCCGTATGTGTGTGAATGCAAGATTGTATGGTTGTTTCCCAGTGTTGGGTTGCGCAAAACATATGCTGGATAAGTTGGCGATTCATTCCGCTGTGGCGACCCCTGCTTAATAAAGGGACTAAGCTGAAAAAAAAGGGGTAAATGAAGGGAAAACAACGGTCAATATGCAAACTAATAGTTAAAAGTGAGAATTGCTCCCCGTTCCAAAGTGTTACCCAACATTTATTCATTGTGAAACACATCGGGTCCCAATAAACTTGTAACCGGACTAGAGCTCCGGTGTGTTTTTTCAGGATGGGAAAGAATGGGTATATTGTGAAATATTTATTTACGAGCTGAAAAAATACATTTCGGGTCAACTCTGTAATATTAGTTTTCATCAGTTCAAAATGTTTAGTTGAAAAATGATTGAACATGGAAACATGCTTTAGTTCAGATAATGTGTGTTGATGACATTGGCATAGATCATGTATGACAACAAAACGCTTGGCAGCAGTGAGAACAAGTTAAGAAGGGAGTGACACCACAGTCGTCCAGCAAATTTGAACTCATGACTCAGTAATTACAGTTACAAATGTGTTTAGTCACAGACAAGGCTTTTGAAGGAGATCTGTGTGTGATCTTGTCGTGTCTTCACTCTATGTATGCCCCGGGCCAATCTCAAATGTCAGTATTAAGGCATATCAAGGCATTTTTGACCAATCAGTCTGGATATATGAAGACAGACTCAGTGACTGCGCAGTGGCGCAGTAGATAGTGCTCTCGCCTCACAGCAAGAAGGTCGCTAGTCGAGCCTTGGCTGGGTCAGTTGGCATTTCTGTGTGGAGTTTGCACGTTCTCCCTGCATTCGCATGGGTTTCCTCCGGGTGCTCCGGTTTCCCCCACAGTCCAAAGACATGCGATACAGGTGAATTGGAATGTGTTTGAATACTTGAACAGTGCATTCTTACTTTATGCTGTTGAGCTGAGCTTTTCTTGATAAAGTTCTCTTGGAGAGTCTGTGTGTACAGTGTTTGCAGTGACAGTAGGGCCAAATGCATCATGGGTCTTCAACCCAAAACTTTACATAAGCAAACAAAAATTGTGGCATGGCGTTCTGACATCAGGTCAGACTTTGCTGTGTATATTAATGTTTACAGTGTTGGGTAAGTTACTGTAATAAAGTGATAACTAATGACATCACCAGTGTTGTATTTAAAATGCTTTACTAATTACCCTATCTGAAAAGTATTGAAATTACTTAGTAATTAAACTTTAGCTGAATCTTTTAATAATTTAAATTCAGAGTTTTGGAATTCAACCGTAAGCCAACATTTTAGCTTCTTTAAAACAAAGTTGCACTTTTTTTTGGTAAGAAAATGTAACTTTCATTAAACAGAATACCATGCTCTAAACATTTTTCTAAACAAAGAGCACCCTTATTGACACATAGTTTGCTCGCAATTAAAAAATAAAATAATTTTCTACATAATTCCTCTGCAATATATTTTATTAACAAAAAATATTAAAAATATTCTGCAAAAAAACAAACAACTAAATTACTTAAAAAATAATTTAATTAATAAAATTTACTCCGCAAAAGCAAAACAATAAAACAATTTAATAAAATTACAGTGAAAGTATAGCTAGCGTAAAACATGGGTTGGAAAAGTGGGCGGTTCGTTCCATAAGCTGTGGCGATCTATGGAATAGAGACTTAGCCACAGGAAAATTAATGAATGAATTGAAGGTGTAGTCTTTTAAATGGCATTATTTTTTCAAGATGAGTTATTTCATAAAGTTGTACTGTTTATTTCAACATGCATTTAGAGGTTTATTTGTGTAAATTTCGTGCTATGCTATATCAGTTCATACGTATAAGTTACTCATGCTCATGTATTATATAGTATTCTATTGCTTTTAGTTGCGTTGGGCCACTGCTTCTGTTAGACTGGACACTGTTCTTCGACTCTGTGTTTTGTTATGAACAACTTTATGGCTGGGCCAGGTAGTTTACCTGGGAAGAGCAATGCTAAATTCTAATCAGATTGCTAACTTCATTTCCTTCTATATGCTTGCGTCTGGTCCATTAATTGTATATACTGGCTCAAGTTATATATATATTGCATTTCACCGTGAGAAATACAAGGTGTGGTGGTGCATGAGCCTGTGAATGGGTGAAAACGTGTGTCTAATGATGTGACTTGGGTAAGTGCAAAAAAAATTCCAGAAATTTTAAGTCCATTTACAAACCTAGAAATTGGCCCTAGAATGAAAACTCTGTTTTTATCTTATTTGGAAGGGTTGAGTTCTGAATATTAATGAGCTCTGCTCTGATACTTCTCTAAGCTCATATTTTTAATGCTCCGAAGCGTAATGTCATCTGAAATATTCATGTGCAAAATAATCATACTTCAGTTGTTAAGAGTCGATGTCTTGTCAAATGACAATAATTTCAACAGAAGTGCAGAAGCGCATCTACCTTTCTGAGCTTTCTGTCTATATTTATTATATTATTGTTCTTGAGTTATGTGTTGAGAATATAGGATAGAGTGCATGTGAAATTAAAATTTACAATGTTTTGCTAGCTCACATTGTTATTTTAAGATAAATAAAGATTATGTGCAAGTTAATCTATTGATTTTATTTATTTATTTATTTGTAATCTTGTTTGGTCAAAGTGTAAACATTCGCTTCTGCTTTTGTAGTGGTGGCCCTTCTGTTGATGCAACCTAAGGGCTTTCATACCAGCTGTATATTAATACCCTTTACCACACCTCTCTAACCATTAGTTTGATATGAGAGTATAATGTGCAATATAAAGTCCTGTCCCCTGCTCAATATTCCATTTTAGTTGGAAATACTTTAACATACGGATATAAAAAGTCTCAGCAACTTCCATTTCTCACGAAATTTAAATCATATTTATACCCAAGTAACCCAATAAAAAGAACTGACATGTTTTTAGAGTTATACTTTGCAGGTTTAATGTGTAATATCAAAGAAAAATGTAAACCTCTGTGTAAAAAGATGAGTTTTATTAAGTTTATT